GAAAAATAACTCCCCAAAATAAGAATTCATTTTAAGAATTATTCAAAATTCTGCACAGTCTTAAAAGTTAAGACAATGGTCTCAAGGCTAAACAGATGAGGTTTTCTGCCTTTGATAATACCAAGATAGACTTCAACAGTAGATTTCAAACGCAATGACTATGCTTCTGTGTGGATGGAAATCCATCTTCACCTTGTAGAATAAATCAGGAAATTACCATGTCCTTGATTGTATCTGTAGCTTTCTTCACCACTTGCTGCTTTGTAAGGTCAAAGCTTTTGGCAGCACTTTGGTTTTGGGAGGCTCACACAGTGGGTAGTAACATTTAGTTCTTAGCTCATTAAATCTGCACTGGATAGAAGCCAACATTCGTCTGTTGGGAGTATTTCTCCAGTGAACTAATGCTAACTAAACATCTTGATGAGGTATACAATACAATATCATTTACATTTATATAGCGTCTTTCACATCAGCAGGATAACTCAAAATGTTTGACACTGAGGGACCTGAGCTGGTGGGGGTGGGAGACAAACAGGGTGGGGAAGGGGAAGAGGACCAAAAGCCTGGTCAAAGGGGTACACCTTGAACAACAGGAGGAAGGGAGTGAATTGGAGGGTGGGGCCATAGGATAGAATGGCTATTTTCAGGAATAATATTATCAATAATAATAATCTTTGCATTTGATATAGGGCCTTATCATATCTTCGAGACATCTCAATTTACTTCAATCGACTCTGTATTTTGTGGGCGAGATTCGCGGCAGCCAATTGCGCACAGCAGTGTCCGGCAAACAGTTGTGAATAGAGTGAGCAAAGTATTATTTTTTTTGAAGGAATTATTACCCCCGGAAAAGCAATTCGCCAATCATCTAACAACTGGGTTCCTACTTCCAGGTGGTGAAACAGAGGCGTGTGGAGTAAGGAAACTTGCCCAAGGTTTCGCCCTGCCCGAGAATCGAACCCAGGTCCTTTCGCTTGCGAGGCGAGTGCTCTAACCACTGAACTACAGGAGTCCATTTCATTGCTCAGGACTTTGAGCTTCTAGTCTTAGGCTGACACTCCAGTATAGTGTTGGGTGGAGATCTGCTCTGTGGGTAGTGTTGCCACTCGGATGAGATGTTAAACCAAGGTCGGTCTGGCTGTTCAGGTGGATGTTAAAGATCCCATGGCACTATTCGAAAAGAGGAGGGAGTTTCTCCTGGTGTCCTGGCCAACATTCCCCCAGATAAAATTGAGTCATTCACTCCATGGTTGTTTGTGGGACATCTCTGTGCATGGAATTGGCTGCCGCCTTCGCACACAAAAGTCACCGCACGTTACAGTAAATTCCTGTGAAGCGCTTTGAGATATTTCAACCATGTGAAAGGGGGTTAGATCAAGGCATGGAGTATACTTTGCGCCATTGGCTGCCGAGTTTCACACACAAAGTACACAATCACTCCACTTAACAGTGTATTCTGTGAAGCACTTTGAGAGGTCTCGACGACGTGATAAGGTACAATATCAAGTGCAAGGATTATTATTGTTTTATTGATTACTATTGTTGATTTAACTGCATTATCTGCTCTGCCATTCTACTGAGCATAATGTGGAGGAACTTTATACCCAACGGTTGAGGTCCCAATCTGTTCCAGATTTCTTAAGCATTCTTGCAGAGAACTGAGCACACAATATCCATTGTCTTATGGCAAACACAGCACGATTGAAGACTTTGTAATGACAGTGGGGATCCTGCTATCCTGTAGTAGCTTGAACGCAAAACAGTTGAGACAGTAATGAACGTGCGATGATATATAATTTTTTCCATCCAGGATGGCAATCTACACCTGCATTTGATCACAGACTGTCAGGGACATCATGTGACATCAAAGGTTCTCTGGTCTGCTGCTTTTCGACTGGTGTTACAAAGATCACATGAAATATAGATTTCAATTTCAGCATTCATTCCAGAGGAGAATATCTCTAGCTTTGGGCAGACATCCATCAAACCCACTAAGGAATGAATTATCTTTGCTATCCTTGTCAGTGGTTCTTTAACACGCTCCAAGACGCTACCCTGTGTGAAGGGCCTTGGATAAATTCAAGTTGTTGTTCGATTCATATCCCTCTTGATGCCAACATTCGTTACCTAATAACATGGTGCACCAGCTATGACCACCTGCAGCTTAGCTTTGTTACTGACGTGTTATTGAGCTCTGTAATAACAGGGTTGCGAAGGACAATTTTACAACAGATACCTGGAAGCAATGCTTTACACAGAGGGTGGTCAACAGCTGGATTGGGTTGCCAGATAGGATGGTAGTAATCAGAGCGCTGAACTCATTTGGGGAAAAAAAGCTTGATGCTGTAATGGGAACTTGGTACAGTGGATATTCTGGAAGGATGAGGTCAAATAATACTAATGATAATCCTTGCATTTGGTATGGCTGCTTATCACATCGTTGAGTCATCTTAAAACACTTTGCAGTGTATACTGTAAAGTGAATTGACTGTATATTTTGTGGGAGAAACGCGGCGGCCAATTGCGCACAGCAGTGTCCCACAAACAGTCGTGGATTGAGTGACCAAGTTAATTATTATTTTTTAAATGGATAATTACCCCTGGAAAGCGATCCGCCAATCATCTAACAACTGGACTCCTACTTTCTGCTGGGTAAACAGAGGCGTGTGGAGTAAGGAAACTTGCCTAAGGTTTCGCCCTGCCCGGGAATCGAACCCGGGTCCTTTCGCTTGCGAGGCGAGTGCTCTAACCAATAACCACTATGGAGTCCCAAACGGGCCGAAAGGTCTTCTTCATTTGGATCTCACTCGTGATTTGCACCTTGAGATTCAAAATCGTGTGTAACTCCTTCTCACACTCAGCACTGAAAGAGGGCAAGGAGGAGTGTTGAACCTCACATTTGTAACAATATTGGAGATTATAGGAATGGACGGGAATGTATTCCATGCAGTGTCTCGAGTACAACGGTTGCTGCAGAGGGTTCCTAGAACTCTTGCCTCTGAGTCAGAAGGTTGTGGATCCAAGCCCTACTCACACAGTCTAAGCTGACACTGCGATGCAGCGCTGGGGGTGTGCTGCATTGTCAGAGGTGCCGTCCTTGGGATGAAACGTTCCACTCAGGTCCCTTCTGCCTGTTTGGGTGGATGTTAAAGATCTCATGGCGCTGCCTGGAACAAGTTTGTCCTGGTGGCTGTTTGTGGTTCATTGCTGTGCAACAAATGGGCTGTTGCATTTGGCTTTCCCGCAATCAATGCACTTCACAGCCAATCCCGTGAAGCCCTTTGAGACGTCCCCCTGACATCAAAGGCATTGCTGTCTTGAGGAGGCCATCGGTTAATCCAGGAGTTAGTATGTACATTGGGATCATGAGGGAAGCAAGCAATAGTTTAGAGGAGAACATATTCTGCCAGAAATTACTTGGTGTGTTTTTCACACTCTCTTGAGGGCTTGAGGTCAGTACTGTTAGTGGTCAGTAAATCTATCAAACACAGTAGGTTCCATAACTCTTGCTTTTGTCCTGTCTGACTGTGACATTGAACTGACAAATCCTCTTCATCCAAATCAACCTGCTTTCCAGCTTGGATCAATTATCTGCCATCTGTTGATTGCCAATTGTGAAGGGTAATTTGGGAATCTTCCATTAACTTCGATGACAGCTGCTATGAAACCGCTTTGTGTTTCTAGTTTCAAATTCCGTTTGTTTTTAACCCAAAGTGAACTTAAACAACGTTCAATTCCCGGGCAGGGCGAAACATTGGGCAAGTTTCTTTACTCCACACGCCTCTGTCTACCTAGCAGTAAGTAGGAACCCGGTTGTTAGTCGATTGGTAGATCGCTTTCCAGAAGTAATAATTCCTCCCCCCAAAAATAATAATAATTTGATCATTTAATCCCCGACTGTTTGTGGAACCCTGCTGTGTGCAATTGGTTTTTGCCGCTTTTCGCCCCACAAACTACACAGTCAATTCACTTAAAGTATAATCTTTGAAGCGCTTTGAGATGTCTACAAGATGTGATGAGGCAAGGATTAGGAGGTGCAAGGAATATATTTAGGTATTACTTGCACTTTGACATTCATAAGTGGTCGATGGCTGACAGTGTGGAGGTTGCATCCGAGGAGCTCACAAACAGGTTGCACTGCAGCATTGCTTGCAAAGCTTGCTAATACCATCTAGTGGATATTTCACAGCGTTGCAACGAGGAGCATTCATCGGCAACAGTATTCAGTCATATCATGCGTTTGATAAACCTCCTTTCAACGTCAGGGTGACGTCTCAAAGCACCTCACATGATTTACTGTGGAGTCCTGTAGCTCAGTGGTTAGAGCACTCGCTTTGCAAGTGAGGGACCTGAGTTCAATTCCAGGCAGAGGGCGAAACCTTGGGCAAGTTTCCTTACTCCACACAGAGCCTAATAATAATCCCTCCAAAACCAAAAACAGTAATAAAATTGGTCATTTTCAATCTACGACTGTTTGTGGGACATTGCTGTGCGCAATTGGCTGCCGCGTTTGCCCACAAATATACAGTCAATTCACTTTACAGTGTGTTCTGTGAAGCACTTTGGGATGTCCTCCTGACATGAAAAGCGCTATATCAAATGCAAGGATTATTATTATGAAGTTCAGTGACTGTGTACTCTGCAGGCAAGTGCATTAAGCAGCCCATTTGCGCACAGCAATATCCCACAAACAGGCAGCCTCACATTTATTTGGGGGGATTGTTGGCCGGGACGCTGGAAGAACTTTCCTTTTCTTTTCTTTCGAGTAGTAGCCATGGGATTTTTAACAACTGCCTAAACAGGCACAGACAGGACTTTGGTTTAATGGCTCATCGAAAGGACAACGCTGCAGTTGTGGAGGATACAATGCAATGCGTTCCCAGCATCGTACTGGGGTAGCAGGGTAGCATCTCAGAGCAGGCGTTCCAGGACACTACCTCGCTACCTGAAGGACGCTCTATAAATGCAAGTTGTTGTACTGGAGCGTCAGCCTAGATGATATGAATCCAAAGTCTCGACGTGGGTCTCGAAGTGGTGAGAGTGCTGCCAACTGCGCCAGTATGACACAGTGTGGGCAAAACATTTACCCATATTGCTAAGTGTGGGCACATTGATGATGTTCACTAATACACATTAATACACATCATTAATGCCCATACACTCAGCCCTTTGATCTGCATGTTTATTGCCGTACGTTTCTGCTAAGATTTTAAATAACACTGAAAACTCTGCCTTGTCGATAACCTGGATAACCTGGCTGCTCTGCGATGTGATTCACACACACACCACACACACAACCCAACACACACACAACATATCCAATTCCCTTTTGAAAGCTACTATGGAATCTGCTTCCACCAGCCTTTTCAGGCGGTGCATTCCAGATCATAACGAAACTCTGGGTAAAAAAAAATTCTCCTCATCTCCCCTCTGGTTCTTTTGGCAATTAACTTAAGTCTGTGTCCTCGGGTTACTGACCCACCTGCCAATGGAAACAGTTCATCCTTATTTACTCTATGAAAAACCCTCGTAATTGTGCACGACCTCTGATATGTTAATTCAGGTTGCAATTTCCAGCCCATGATTATTATTACGGAGAGCTGAGCTGAGGAGCAACGATACCACTGTGTATACCACAGCAAGGCTCAACACTGGAACAGAAAAGCACTATAAGTCAGAATTTGTTCTTAGGTGATAACAAGCTTGAATCTTGAAAGCAACATTGCTTAAGCATTTCCACTGAGGATTCTCCTAACCTATGTCTTCCTTCAACTGCTAGGCTGCAATGTGTCTAGAGTTGTCTGATCTAGGCTCTGTGTTTTGTTTTCAGTGTGTCTCATAGCAATAGCAGCTGATATTGTGTTTATGGTGGATGAATCGTGGAGCGTAGGAGAGGCCAACTTCAGAAGCATCAAAGAATTCATCAACAGCGTCATAACATCCTTCCGCAATGCTCCACTAGGCAAGGATGGATTCCGATTCGGAGTAGCACTTTACAGTGACCAACCGAGGTAATCCATTCACCTCGCGCTCCGAGACTCCGTCTGGCGTGAAGGACGCTATATGAATGCAAGCTATATAAATGCAAATACACACAGGATACAGTTCAAGGTCCTGGCCCTCCCTCCATGGCCTTGCTCCCCCCTACCTCGGCAACCTCCTAACCCCATGCAATCCTACCCGTTCCCTCCGCTCAGCGGGTTCTGACCTGCTTCATGTCCACCGCTTCATTTGTCCTCCCGACAAATGTAATTTTGTTGTTGTTGTTGTTGAGGTCCTGTCTGCCAGTTCAGGTGGATATTAAAGATCCCTCGGCGCTATTCGAAAAGAGAAGGGAGTTTCTTTCTCCTGGTGTCCCGGCCAACAATCCCCCCCTAAAATAAAATTGATCATTCACTTCATGGCTGTTTGTGGGGACGCTGCTGTGCGCAATCGGCTGCCGCGTTTCGCCCACAAAATACACAGTCAATCCACTTTACAGTCCGTCCTGTGAAGCGAGTCGAGACGTTTCAACGATGTGAAAAGGCGGTGCAATATATCCAATGCAAAGATTGTTATTATAATGCAAAATGGCTGCCTGTTTGGCGTAAAAAATACACAGTCACTACACTTAACCGTCAAACCCGTGACGCGCTTTGAGTCGCCCTCCAGACATGAAAGGCGCTGTAATCAAACGTAAGGAATATTGCTGCTATTATTATTACAATCTCCCTTGTGGATGAAAAAATGCCTCATGAATGACCTTAGTGTCTTGGTTGTTAGGATGACCATAGCTCTGACTGACTACAGCACACTTGAAGAGGTGCTGGTGGCTGTCAGAGACATTCCGTATAGAGGGGGAAACACTAAAACAGGAGCAGCACTCACCTTCCTGGCAGACTCCATCTTCAGCCCGTCAGTGACGAGAGACAACACGCCAAGGGTCAGTAGCAATAGTCATTAATATTTATGAATCGTTAACTTTTTCTCAAACGCTAGCTATTAACGTTATTGATGATAATAATTTGGTGACTCAGTCCTCGACTGGTTTGCGGGACGCTGCTGTGCGCAATTGGCTACCGCGTTTTACCCACACAAAAAATACACAGTCAATTCACTTGACAGTATATTCTGTGAAGCGCTTTGAGACGTCTCGAAGAAGTGATAAGGCGCTACATCAGGTGCAAGGATTATTATAACATTAGCAAGAAATGCTGTTTGTCCCACATAATGGAGAGGGCCTCGACATCCTGATGCTTTGCTGTTTCCACTAGTTTGGGAGTCCATAACCAGTGGATAATATTATAAGATAGCAACTAGGGGATCTAAAAGAGAATTTAGGAGGAGCTACTTCATGCAGAGGGTAGTGAGATTATGGAACTCGTTGCCTTCACAAGAGAAGAGTATGGGAGGGAGTAAAGGAATGGATGAAGACTCGTGTGAAGTATAAACACGGCACGGACTGGTTAGGCCGAGTGACCTGTTTCTGTGCTGTACGTTCTTTGTAAACTTTGTACTGCCCTCGGCTAGTCCTAGGATTCTTTTCCTCCATCAATAAATAATTTCATTTTAAAGTTAAAGTATGGTGACACTGGGTTTAATAATAATGCTTCCACTCAGCTTTCTGTTAACTCTGCAAACCAAAGCCCTAATTGGTTCCTCGCTGGACAAGCAACGGGAAAGCAGGGGTCTGGGGGGTCTGGGGTCCCTAAGCATTGGCTCTGCGTACTTGCGCCTAATACTCTCCAGAATTAGGTGAGCAGGATGTATCCCTCCAGGGAGAGAGTGCGGATTCCATTCCAATGACCTACCTCTGGGATTTCCATGTGTAGGTGGGATGCATGGAGTTCTCAGCTTGGTTTGGAAACTCTTAAGCGACGGTGATGGGTTTTCCGCATGTGTCAGACCCCCCAAAAAAGCATTTAAGAATAATGCATGTGTATGTCGACCGCTTGAACCTCCCGGTGATCATTTCCCTGCCTCATAATTCACAGATTGTGGTTTTAGTTACCGATGGGAAGTCTGCAGACTCGATCGAAGTGTCAGCCAGGAGACTGCGGGACATGGGAGTGACTGTCTTTACAGTGGGTACGTACCTGGACTTGAGCTGAAGTTAAAACATGCAGATTCTCACTGACGACGGAGGTCAGACTGAGTTACACTACAATTGTTACACTCAAACAACAACCTCCCATTAAAAACAGTCCTTCTTCAAAAAAAAAAGCTTCCAAATTGAGACGAATTGAAGAATTTTCCACAACACTGAAAATTGAAATTGGCTCGGGGCTAAGATCAGGTAGAATTTCTGGCCTTTGGCTGTACGGTGTTTTGTGTTTTGCCTGTGTTATTGAAAGATTTGTTACTACAATTGATATTTTCTGCAGGTCCACATGTTGCTAAGGTACATGGCATCATCTGCTGGCCACTGTCAATATTGCTCAGCCAATTCAGAGATCTGAAATTTTCCCTAATACCTGGTCTGTATTTTTCCACAGACCAGTATTTTTCTGTAAGACGATTCTCCTCTTAATGTTTTCTATCATGCAGAATTGTACCATATTCCCAAATTCGTTCTTAACTTGGAACCCGAATCAGCGCCTTGGGATGTCTCCTGACATGGGAGGCGCTAGATCTCTATGTCACGATATCGCTATGTCTCGGAGCGCTTAAAGTTCAGTAGATTCGATGTAGGGCATACAGCCGTTTTATTCCTGAGTATTGGCAAAGTTACAGATCTATTGTTTTTTCCGGGGGTAATAATCCCTTCCAAAAAAAAGAAGAAAAAAATAATCGTTTGGTCACTCAATCCAAGACTGCTTGTGGGACGCTGTTGTGCGCAATTGGTTGGCGCGGTTCACCCACAAAATGCACAGTCAATCCACTTCACAGTGTGTTCTGTGAAGCGCTTTGAGACGTCTCGAAGACGTGATGTGGCGCTGTATCAAATGCGAGGATTGTTATTATTGATTATTATTATGTAAATGCAATTTGTTGTTGGATGTTTTTAAGAACTGTGAAAACTAGCTTCCAAATTGAGAATAAATTTAGGACATTGCTGCAGTTATACATAGTCTTCAATTTTAAGACAAAATAGTCCCACAGGCTAAAGCTAAACATAATTTCCTCTGGAATTTGGCATTGGATTGGAACGTCCTCCTGCCGTGAAAGGCACTGTACGAATGTAATTTTGTTGTTGTTGCATTGCACAAGTGTACTATTTCTGATCATAAAAAAGCTATGTTTTAGCTGCATTGTTAGAAGTGCCATTCTTTGGATGATAAATCGAGGTGAGTGGTAAAGATCCCATGGTCCTATTCAAAAAGAGAAGGGAGTTTCTCCCAGAGAAAATCAGTCATTCAGTTCATGGCTGTTTGGTGGGACGCTGCTGTGTGCAAATTGGCTGCCGCATTTGTCCACAAACACACAGTCATTGCACTTTACAGTAATATCCTGTGAAGTGCTTTGAGCCGCCCTCTCAATGTGAAAAGCTCTCTATATATGCCAAATTCAAGGATTATTATCATCATTATGATCATTCCTCAATCGAATCCACTGCGGACACATATGTAAATATCCTCGTACTATTCTTGCAGCAAGTCAGTGCATAGACCTATCTTGTGGCCTGGCTGTTTGAAATAGTGTATTCGTTTTCAAAAGAAGATGGGAAATGTGCATGGGCTTCAGATGAATTTTCTCTCTTTTAATTTAAGGGATAAAAAACACGGATAAAAAGGAACTGATGAAAATCGTTTCCGATCCTTTCGAAGAGCATCTACTGTTTGTGGAGGATTTTCACCTGCTCAGCAATATTGTACCCAAACTCTCCAGAAGGATTTGTTTCACAGCATCAGAACCTCCCAGACCAGTGAAACAGCCACAAGGTAAGTAATCCGGGGACACAGAGCAGGACACCAGAGAGGTCTAGATGGTGACGTCGCCTTTCACCTCCTAAATCTAGGTTCAAATCAAGCTCATTTTGGTGGGATTGTGGATTCCTGTAGTGTAGTGCTTAACATGCTTGCCTCGCAAGCGAGAGGATCCGGGTTTGATTCCCAGGAGGGAATCAAACCAAAATCTTAGGCAGGTTTACTTACTCTACACTCCCTGTTTACCTGGTTGTTAGTCAATTGGCAGATCGCTTTCCTGGATAAATACTCTACGACTGTTTGTGGGGACGCTGCTGTGTGCAATTGGCTGCCGCGTTTCTTCCACAGAATACCCAGTCAATTCACTTCACAGTATATTCTGCAAAGTGCTTAGGGACGTCTCGATGATGTGATAAGGCGCTATATCAAATGCAAGGATTACTATTATGATGATTATTATTATTATAGTTCAGGGATCATCAAGTGCCAGACAGGGTGTGACCACTTCTCTCTGAAAACCCCCAATTCGCACATTGAGTTTACACATTTATCCAGTTCTTCAGAAAGCTATTAACCAAAGCAGAGAGCTCACACCGATTAAATATCACTTCTCAAAGGAGCTTGAGAAACGGAGGTAGTAACAGCTCCGAAAATAGAGAGAGGACAGCAGTTAGTACAGTAATGAACCCTCTTTATTCCTGCAGTTGATTAATGTATTCCTTTTTGTCCTGTTTCCCAGTGCCAGAGAAAATCATTGGCCCTAGAGACCTGGTGATTACTGAACACAGTTACAGCTCAATGAGACTTACCTGGACGCCTGCTACAGGGGACATCACCAGCTATAGGGTTGTCATCAACCCACATTCATCGGAAGGACAACTGACACCTGGGGAGCAGAGACAGGTGCGTGATGCTATTTCTGGCTGGCTGGCTGCCTGTTATTGTATCTCAAGAGTGGCTGTAAAGAATCTGAAGCTATCACCTCTTAACTGGTCGCAGAGGCATTGTTGCTTGTGAGGTAGAAAACACCGCTGGCAAAGATTCATAGAACTATTCAGCCCAGAACTCCTTTCAATCCATTGTGCCTGTTCCAGCTCTTGTAAGAACTAACTGTTAAGTACCACTCCCCTGTCTTTTCCCCAAATTCTTTCATGTTGAAAAATAGAAGTATAAGTATAACTGCTGTGCGTAATTGGCTGCCGCGTTTGGCCAACAAAATGCACACTTTACAAAATAAATTGGGTAACTTAATCCACAACTGTTTGTGGGACACTGCTGGGTGCAATTGGCTGCTGCGTTTCACCCACAAAACATCCAGACAATTCACTTTACAGTATATTTTGTGAAGTGTTTTGAGAAGTCTAGAAGACATGACAAGATGCTATATCAAAAGCAAAAATGATTACAATGACTATTATTACAATATATTCTGTGAAGCACTTTGAGACGTCTCAACGATGTGATAAGGCGCTATATGAAATGCAAGGATTACTATTATTATTATATTTTTCCTGTTCAGACATTTGACTAATTCTATTTTAAGACTAATTGTAAATCCCCCATGGATTTCTAATTCATTAGAGTCATTTCAATTGAAACAGCTAACTGAATAAAACAGACTGAATATGTTAAGATTTTCAGTGTGTGGTAAATCCCAGGATAGACCATGTCCTTTGAGGAACAATTTAGATATGACAGGACTTTTCAGCCTGGAAAAGAAATACAGTATCTCAAAGGGGACCTTATAGAGGTGTGTAAGATGCTGAATGGCATTGAACAATGCCTTCAGATTCACCAAGGCAGCAGGGCAAGAGGACACAGGCCTACAGGTAATTTCAGGACAGACAACAGGAATTATTTCTTTACTCCGAGGTTAATTAACGTCCGTAGGGGGTTTACTAAGAAGGATGGTTGAAGCCAGGAGCCTTGACTCGCTGAGAAGCACTGGATGCTGTCTTGGTATAACTGAAAGTATTATTCTAGGTTAATTTTCTGAATCCCATTTTATCTCATTTTCAACCCCTCCATTTCTCTGCCGTTAAACCTCTATGGTCAACTCTGCCTTCCACACTCCCCCTTCTCCCTTGTTCGGTGTCCAATTGCATCTTTGTGCAGTACTTCGAGATATCATCTTACATGTAGGACACCTTATAAATACCGGTTGTTGTGATTTAGTATCTTCTAACACCTCTATAAGTATGAGATAATCTGGAAGGATTAAATGAACTGAAGTATTTTGTTACATCTAAAGCTCTCTTGTCATTCAAGAGATGCAGGAAAGAGTTTTATAGTATAAACTCCTGAAGCTCCGTTTTAGGGATTTTAAATATAAAAATTGAATTATATAAAGAGAAATTGTTTCCTCTGTTGGGTAGGTCAGTAAACAGAGGACTACAGATTTAAGATAATTGGGAAAAGAACCAGAGAGGAGATCAGGATTTTTTTCTTACGCAGCAATTTGTTACGGACTGGAATGCATTGGGTGATGGAAGCAGATTCAATAATAACTTTCAAAAGGGAATTAGATATTTACTTGAAAAGGAGCAATTTGCAAGGCTATGGGGAAAGAGCGGGGCAGTGGGACTAGTTGGATAGCTCTTCCAAAGAGCCAGCACGGGCACGATGGGCTGAATGGCCTCCTTCTATGCTGTGAGATTCTATGATTCTATTCTATGAATTGAACACTGACAATTTTCTCCTCTGTTTTTGATGGCAGATTGTTATAGATGGTGAATCAAATACAGTACTTATGACAAATCTAAAGCCCACAACAGAGTATTCCTTCACAGTGGTTGCTGTTTACGCTGATAAGATTGGAGATTCCACAACTATCAGAGGAAAGACAAGTAAGAAAAGCAAAGAAAATGGCCCTTTGCACCCAGACTCTACCATTAGAGATTTGGGACCTCAGGTACAGTCTGTAATGGAGGAAGTGAGTAAATTGCACCACGTGAAATGATGATCAACACTGATGGTGCTAATTAACACATCATTGAAGACCAGTCAATGTGTTGATTATTGACTGGTTGCTTATGTGCAGAAGGGCACCATTAAGCAATGGTTACTTCTGGAAGCCAGATGAGTTGGACTTCTGGTTCATTAATCACAACATTGGACTGAGGATGAGTGGGATACTGGCCTTATTGTGATTTTTCTTTGTTTATGTTTTCACCAGCAATTTCTGCTCCGCTGCTCAGTTAAGGAATTGAATGTGTTTAGCAACACCGTAGTTTTGCGCATTATGAACTTATACAATGCCACTAACTTGGAGATCCCAGCTATCTGAGTCCAGTTCCCACCTGTTCACTCTGTGTGCGCTGGCTGGTTGGTTGGTGTGCTTGTGTGCTTTCTGGAACATGGGTGGGATTGCAGGGCCCAGTCACAGGAAGGACAGTCCAGGGGACGCAGGTCGATTAGCAAACATTCAGAGCTTGTGTGTGCCTCTGAGATGTTCCCCAAAACTACTAAAGACGTGGGATTTATGTCCCTGAGATCATCTGAATAATCCTGGCTGCACACTCCCTCCCTTGCCTCCTTCAAGGCCCATCTCAAGACCCTCCTCTTCGACAGCGCCTTTGGTCACCCTCCAATCCCTACCCTCCACCCTTCCTGATCCCAANCCCCCCAGCTCAGGTCCAAATCCTTGACTATCCAGCGCCTTGGGACGTCCTCCTGATGTGAAAGACGCTATGCAAATGTAATTTATTGTTGATGGTGGAGTGACATTGATCCAGACAGATTGATTTTGTACAGTATTAATAAAATGTTTTTACTTTTTGATATGTTGCAGCTGTCCTGCCTCATGTGACAAACTTCCGGGTGATAGAAGTCGGGTTGTTTAGTCTGAAGGTGGCGTGGACGCCTCCCCTGGGGCCCTTGGAGGGCTACAAGATCTACATACCAAGATGTAAGACATGGAGAGGGGGAAGAGGGGGGTGGGGGGGAGTTTGCCTGCAAAATATACAGTCACTACACTTGACATATATCCTATGAAGCTCTTTGAGACACTCTCGACATGAAAGGTGCTTTACCAAACGTAAGGACCTTGATCTTCTTTTGTCTGCCAATTCTTATGTTCTTATGTTTATTGTTAGACTAGTAGAATGTGTTTCTAATGGGATGCCCCATTACATTAAACGAATCAGAACTCCAATAAACTCCAAATGTAATAGACCCAAGGACTCAGGCTTAACTCAGGACTTTTTTTTTCTGCGCATGGTTAGAAAATTAGGAGACTGATAGTGTTACTTGTAGTCCTTTTTAATTGGCTCATTATTAAAGGAGATGCCGAGAAATGGCGAGACTCCTTCTTAGTGAGAAATCTAGGTTATCTCTAGCAGAAAGAATGCTCGGAGACGCAATAAGGGGGGCGGGGGTCATTAACATTTCTGTTGATGAATTTAGTGAAGCGATATTCAGTCCAGTTTCCAAGATAACATTGTTTCTTTGAAGCCAGGTGTATTGTGAGTGAAAAGAAAACCATGACAGCTCTGTGCACTGAGAAACTCTGTCTGTTGCTTTCAGCTAACAGACCCGGTCTGACCTATGAGCAGAACCTGAAAGGAGATGTCTCGTTCCACCTGATCGACAACCTACAGGAGGACAAGGAGTACACTGTCAGCATCTACGCCGTGTATCCTCAGGGACCCAGCGATCCAGTGTCCACCACCAAAACAACATGTAAATCATCTTTGAGTTCTATTTTTCTTTCCTGAGTCCTCTTTTTGGGCGGTTAATCGGTTAGGGATTTGGACTCAACTGGGTTGGAATCAGGAAGGGTAGAGGGCAGGGAGAGTAGGGGTAGGAGGGTGACCGAAGGCGCGGTCAAAGAGGACAGTCTTGAGACGGGCCTAAAGGTGGGAGCAGAGAGGCTGAAGGCTTTAACCATATAAAGCAAAGCAAATAGCCCACCCTGGATTTGGTTTGTTTTATTATTATGTTTTGTTTTCGATTCAAATCACTTTTCTTCAGGTTTTCTGACAGGGTTAGATCGCCAATGCATATGGTATACGTAAGCTGGAGCACAGGTTAAATGTGGAATGTTGTTTTTTTTCTCCCTAACGCACTTATCACATTCAATCTATTATGAAACATTGCACTTTTCACCTGTGGTCACCACCACAGTTTCGCCCACAAAATATACAGTCAATCCAATTTACAATATATACAGTGAAGCATTTTGAGACGTCTCAATGACGTGATAAGGTGCTATGTCAAATGCAAGGATTATTATTATTATAATTATTATTGTTAGTATTATTATTATAAAACCCTGCCAACACCAATGAAACATAAAAGTTATCTCGTCCCTTGGGGGTTTAATGATTAGCTCTGTCTGATCTTATCACTGTACCCTTCTATCTCATTCCTATTGATCCAGCTCACTCTTTTTTTTTGGAAGGAGATAATTGCCGCAGCATTAACTTATCTTTGTTTTGTCATTAAATCAATCCTTTCCAATCTGGAACCTCCCTCAAAGCCTTTTGGTTTCACGCTGGTGTCCTTTTGATTCCTCATCCAGCAGCCTGGTCACGAACCTTCAAAAACCTCTACCTTTGGGGGAGTTCGAAGCGGTTTAGACGGGGATTCAGGTCCTGTCAGAGTGAGTCCATGTCTCATTGCTGGAGTGAGCTGCCAAAAAGCCCTGTGTCTGTCTCGTTCCCCACTCCAGGGTGTTTGAGGCCTCTATTATTATTTCACTATGAATAAAACATTGTTCAAAATAAGTTAAAGACCAGATGTTGTTCTTGCATAACATACAACTCTTTAATAATGGATCTGCTCGCTGTATAATTCATTTTGCCGAGCAGGAAAGCGGAACATGGGATGGCTTGGAGTAACCGGGTTAAACAGGAACATTTTGCACCAAGTGCGGTTTTACATTTTTGTGAAGGAAGCCAGCGATGGTTTAAGGCTTAGGATTGTGTTTTAAAACTCTTCCGCAGTGAAACTCCTGCCGGTGGAGAAACTGACCCTGGAGAACGCAACCACTGGTATCATACAAGCAAAATGGCCTCCCGTCAAAGGTGCCACTGGGTACAGGCTCACATGGGAATCAACAGGTAAGGCTCCCTTTAACACAATCTGATAAGAGAAGACGATGGGAGGCTCAGGTAAGGTGGACAGGGAAAGATTATTTCCAGTGGTTAGACGGTCTAAACTAGAGGACATTGTCTTAAAATCATAATAGGAGGATCCAGAACAGAGATTAGGAGGAACGTTTTCGCACAGAGAATAGTGGGAGTGTGGAATTATCTGCTAGAGTCAATTATTAGAGCGACAACCATGTGCACATTCAACAAAGACTAGAAACATGGGTGAGGCAGAATAAAGTTGAGGGATATATGGGAGAAAAAGCCAGGATATCGGACTAGAGATAAGATCTTGAGATGGGCACTCGTGTGATGTATAAACACCAGCCAGACTGCAAGGTCTGAATAGGCTGTTTCTGAGCTGTACTTTTTATGAATCAATGAAACGCTAAATGCGTAAAAAAATATTGATCACTCAATCCATGACTGTTTGTGGGACACTGCAGTGCACAATTGGCTGCCACATTTTGCCCACAAAATAGGGTCAATCCACTTTACAATATATCCTGTGCATCGCTTATTTACAGATGGACAACTGCAGAATGTGAACCTGGGTGACCGTTACCAGTTTTATATGATCCAGGGTCTGACTTTGGACACCCAGTACACTGTTGCCATCAACGCAATCTTCGGGGACATCGAGGGTCCCATCATCTCCGCCCGGGCAAAGACATGTAAGGCTTCTGCTCTGACAAGTGCGTTCGCGCTTTCAGCCACTATGCCCCGAAAGTCTGACACGCTCTTCCTCTAACCCTCTGCCCTGCTGCCTTCCTTCCCCATCTTCAGATCGTGCCTGAAGATCTTCCTCTTCGACCGTGCCTACGGTCACCTTCCCTGGCTTGGCGTCTTGCTCGGCCACTGTCACAGGCTCTGGGACGCTACCCAGCGTGGGTGGGGGCACTACATAAATGCACGTTTTAGTTATTGTTCTGCTTGAGTGGACAGTCAATTCAGTATTAGTGAGGTTCACCAATGTCTCGCCACACTCACTCATGTCTTGGTCAGCACTAAGTCGCATTATTTCACCTTCAGCCTCTCTGCCCCCACCCTTTGGAACTCCATCCCAAGTTCCCTTCGCCTCGCTCCCTCCCTTGCCTCCTTCAAGACGCATCTCAAGACCCTCCTCTTTGACCATGCCTTTGGCTACTCTCCTAACCCTTCCTGCCCTACACCCTTCCTTATCCCAACCCCCTCCCCCCAGCTCGGGTCCAAATCTCTGACTGTCCAGCGCCTTGGGACGTCCTCCCGGTGTGAAAGGCCGTGATATACAAATGTCATTTCGTACGGTATTATTCCAACGCCCTCCTTTTTAGTGCATTATTTACGTTTAAAATAAAAAGACTATATTTTGTATTTGTATTGCAGTGGCCACCAGTTCTGTGCAAACCCTACGAGCTTCTGCTATCAGCACCAGCAGTGCCCTGATCACGTGGAATTCTGTCCCTGGTGCCACAGGGTACAGGCTGGCGTGGGGACCCACACCAGGTATGGGATACTTTGGCATAGCTCTGGACAAGAAAATAATTATGATTAAAGAATTAAAAATTGCAGCCATGACCTGACCTGCGCAAGGGAATATTTTCGGAGGCAGTCATGGTTTTCTCTCCTTGTAAGTTTCCCTTTCGAAACCATAAGTGTCCTGCGCCCAGAGGCACTGCCAATGCTGCTCTTAGCTCTTTGCTTTGCCGTACGTTGGTGGTTGAGATAATACGCTATCAAGCGCTTTGAGATGCTTCAGTGTCATAATATCTATACCAAATGGAAGGATGATTGTTATTCACATGTGGCCCAGAGAGTTAAAATATCATCCTTTCACCTCAATGCTTTCCAGTGACTTGGGACGTCCTCCCGACATGAAAGCGCTATACAAATGTAATTTGTTGTTGTTGCCGTTGCTTTGGGTTTCTCCTGCTTAATGTCAACGTCAAGTGCTCAAGGCTTGGGGCTTGACTCTTGTCTCACTGGTTGCCTCTCCCTCGTTCTAAGAATGCATTGCATTAAGGGACTGTGTTGTCTTTCCTTCTCCCTCGATCCCCACCCCACATCCCAGAGTTTGCTGGCAGATATCGCCCCCGGCAACTGGCTCTGAACAGCAGCTTCACCTCGCATCAACTGAACCACCTGGCCGACAACACAGAGTATGTCCTGTCTATTTACGTTCTCTTCGGGACCATGGTCGGGCCAGGGATCACCACCACCGTCAAGACATGTGAGTGGATCACAGCTTAAGTGTCTGAACAGGCAACCCTGAGATGAAATAACGCTCCTTCATTCATGTTCCTTCAATTGCCATGCGCAATTGGCTGCCGCGTTTCACCCACAAAATATACAGTAATCCACTTCATAGTATATTCTGTGAAGCGCTTTGAGACGTCTCGAAGACGTGATAAGGCGCTATATCAGATGCAAGGATGATGACGATGATTATTATTATTATTCCCCTTGGTTTAGAAACTCCATTCTTAGCAAGAGCAACTCGATTGTAATAATCTACACCAGGCAGACCTATCTATGTCAACTCTAAATTGACATATCTTTTGTTACATTGTTGGAATGTATGTTAGACAAGGGAGGGTTGAATTTATCACTCTCCCAACATCTAGTGATCTCTCCTTATCTTACTGGCATATAGAAATAGACAGTATGTGCATCAGTCACTGAAAGAGAAAGAGACATTCATGCTTGAGACCAAGGGAAATGTGCTTTTTGGAGGGTAGGTAACAAGGTTTTTAATAGTGGAGATATTGAATGAAACAATAATGCGGAGATTTTGTGCTTTGGTTTTTCATGGGGTCTTTGCTGAGCTTAATTCTGGGACACAGAGTGAGTGAGATGGACCATTGGATGTCCATGAGTTTTTGCGTGGACTGTTTTGTTACGCCCTTAACTTCCTCACACTTATTCACTAATGGATCTGACAGAGTAGACTAACAGATAGAAAAGCACCTTGAGACTTTCTATAAGTGAAAGACGCTACATTTCGCCTACAAAATGCATAGTCAATCCACTCACTTTACAGTGTATCCTGTGAAGAGCTTTGAGACGTCTCGATGACGTGCTAAGGTGCAGTATCAAATGCAAGGATTATTATTATTATTATTATTGCATAATATTACATAAATGCAGCTTGATGTAGAACGAGACTGCCACCTTGTTTGGTGAGTGTCGGACAGATTCCGATTTGTTCGCCCACAAATATACGGTCAATTCACTTTACAGTCTATTCTGTGGAGCGCTTTGAGACGTCGAGAAGACGTGAAAAGCACTATCTCAAATGCAAGGATTATTATTATTCGCAGGACGTCGAAGACAAAAGCCAAACTAGATGGTGGACCACGCCACAACAACAATAACAACAATCACTTGTGTATATAGCACTAAAGAAAGCCACCAAAAGACAGGCCAAACTAGATGGGTTGAATGGATGTTCCTCTCACCTATAGTGTGTTCCTCATGAAGATGGATGGATTGAAATGGAATGTGGTAATAACTATCGCTTCCGTTCGTTCACTTTGCAGCTCCACTTGGCTACGTATCGACGTTCAGGGTAACCACCTATTCCACTACCTCGATCACTGTTATCTGGAGCGCTACCGTTGGGGCAACAGAATACAAACTAACATGGAGTCAGAAATCAGGTAAAAAATCAGGTTTAAAAAAAAAGAGTAAAGAGTAAAGTGTCTGATAAATATTATGCCGTTCAGCATTGATCAAGTCAGGGCATTGCATTGCCTTTTGTCAGGGACCTGATGCTTGTTGCCATTGCTGGGGGCCAGGAGTGAAAAGCTACCATTTTTTGGGGGGGGTCAGCCGGTCAGTCTGACACGCGCGGAAATCCATCACTGAGTATCCAAACCAAACTGAGAATTCCATGCGTCCCACCTGCACGTGGCAATTGAAAAGCAAATAACAGCAATAACATCTCTAAGGGATAAAAGGAGAAACTGTGAGAACATGATAGATCCTAAAAGTGTGAAACGTTCACAGTGAGTAGATCAACATGTGAACCAGACAGTCGGGACTTCCGCTCATAGTTTAGGCAGGGCCTAATGGCCTGTACCTGGGAAGTGCTTGAGCATCATGCCATTCTACAAGTGAGATGTTTGTGCAGTCCTGCAGTTTAACGGTTAGAGCACTCGCCTCGCAAGCGAGAGGACCTGGGTTTGATTCCCGGGCAGGGCAAAACCTTAGGCAAGTTTCCTTACTCCACGTGCCCCTGTTTACCTAACAGTAAGGTAGGAACCCGGTTGTTAGTCGATTGGCGGATCGTTTCTGGGGCTAATAATCCCTTAAAAGAAAGTTTTAAAATAATAATTTGATCAATCAATCAACGCCTGTTTGCGGGGCGCTGCTGTGCGCAATTGGCTGCCATGTTTCACTCACAAAATATACAGCCAATTCATTTTACAGTATATTCTGTGAAGCGCTTTGAGACGTCTCGAAGACGTGATAAGGCGCTATATCAAGTGATTCATTATTATTATATTATTATTATTAAACTGAGATCCTGCCCGTTTGTTGGATGGACATTGGAGAGCCACAATAGTAGACCAAAAAGAGTTTGTCCCAGTATCTTCATTGGAGTGTCAGCCTAAATTATGGGGTCAAATGTGACATGTGGTTCGAACCAGAGGTTGATTTGTTACAGGCATGAATCAGTTTGCTGTGAACGTTCCTTTTAAGATGGAATCTGAACTTGTCCGATTGAACCGATTGAATTGTCTGCGGACTGTGATAAAAAGGAATCGAATACCTGCTGAAAGTGTAACAAATAAGACGTTTTTGCACATGCAGAGAGAGTCACGCAGACCAGCTCTGTAGGACTCGCGGTAGTGCTGATTTTCGCAGAGTCAATACACACAACCGGCTAATCAACAGATTTATTGTGTTCGGAGCACTCCTGGACCAGGACGGCTTACATCTATGCGCCTGCAGTATATTTGCTGAATCTTCGTGAATCTGTGTCGAGGCTCATGTGCTTCTTGTGTTTGTCGTTGCCAGGCAGAGGAAATACAAGGAATCAATACGTGGAACGCAACACGCTCTCCTTCCACATTGAAAGCCTGAGTCCTGGGACTCTGTACACAATTAGCATCCACGCTATGTTCGGTGATGCTGAAGGCCCCCCGGTGTCTCTTTCTCAGATGACAGGTAATTAATGAGACAGGCGGCCGTGGGAGGTGGCGGGGGGGGGGGGGGTTGGGTGTTGTTGGGAATCTGAAACACTGCTGAAAAGCACATCTTTCATTTACAGTCACAGCAGGAGAAAGGTTCACAGTGGTGCATAAGAGATGCTGGAGACGTAGCAGTCCAGACGCTGTTCGTTTTGAAGCGACGGTGGTCTCTGACAACAGATCTTATTAGTCACAGGAAGCTACCGCAGTTAAAGGAGTAACACCACCCTTGTAATGATATACAACAGGGAGATCCAACTGGTCCATCTGTCCATCCGTCCCCTCCATTTCATCTGGCACCGCCCGACCGCCCGCTCCCTCCATAACCCGTAACAGTTCTGTTATGTTTCTGGAAGGGAAAACACAAAGATGTTGCTGCTGTGGCCCACAGACATTTCTCCAAGTAGGGCATCCGGCCCCCGGCAGCCAAAAGGTCGTGCTGTCATCACTGACGTCTGATGTTGTCCCTGACATTGATGATGGCTTTTACCTGAGTTTAGATTTACTCTATTGTGTATTGACCATCCAGCAGTTTGGGACGTCCTCCCGATAGGAAAGGCACTTATACAAATGTAATTTCTCGTTGGGGCTTTTCAAAGCATCCGGAATTTGGCAAATTCTTAATTACAGCCTTAATTTTGAAGCTGCTTGGCTCAAAGTCCCGTTAAGAAAACGACTTCGGCGTTGTGAATGACTTTCGTGTTTCTCCGTCACTTGCAGCTTCCGTAGATTCGGCGTTTGTCCAGCCAGTGAGGGATCTGAAGGTCACAGACACTGGATCCAACAGCATAAAAATCAGGTGGAGAAAGACACCTGGCCTCTCGGGGTATAGGATATCCTGGGCTCCGTTACGTGGTACGAAATAGATTTTTCTTTCTCTGCTAAGTTTTGTCACTTTTAGCACGGTTTGGCTTGTATCCATTAGAACCGTGGAAATTTACAGCGCAGAAGAAGGCCATTCTGTGTCTGTGTTGGCTCCCTCATGAGCAATCCTATCAGTCCCATTTGGACCCTGCTGTGCGCAATTGGCTGCCGTGTTTCTCCCACAAAATGCACAGTCACTCCACTTAACAATATATTCTGTGAAGTGACTCTCAATGACGTTATAAGGTGTTATATCAAATGCAAGGATTATTATTATTATTTACCTGCCCTTACCCCAAACCCCTATAGATTACTCTTCTTAAGGTATTTGTTTAGTTCCCTCTTGAAGGCCATTATGGATCCTGCCTCAACTATTGCTCCATATGCATTCCATATCCCAAATACTCTGCGTGTGGAAAAAAAACATATCAAAGTCATAATCTTGAAGATCTCTCTCAGGTCACCTCTCAACCTCCTTTGTTCTAGTGGAAAAGTTTGAGCTGGATACTGCATTGATGGTGTAATTTTGTCCCAGGATGGACAAGTTGGGCCGAATGGCCTGTTTCCATGATGTAGTGTTCTGTGCAATTATAACAATAATAATCCTTGCATTTGATGAAGCACCTTTGACGTTAGGAGGACATCTCAAAGAGCTTCACAGGATTTTCACAGGAAGGGAATTTCTCTTGGAGTCCTGGCCAGCAATCCTCCAGAGAAGAAGATAAAAGAAGTGAGGAGGGGAGGAGAAAAGCTGTTGGGGGAAACAAGAAGACACCTTTGAGTTATGCTCACGTGTTGGCAATATTAACTCCTCAGGAGGTCCTGAGAAGACTAGACTTGTTCCAGGTGGTGCTACATCCTATGTGATCAGCGAGGTGGAGGAGAGTTCCACATACACCATTCGGGTCTCAACAGTCGCTGGAGGCAGGGAAGGAACTCCTGTAGTTACAACAGCCAGGACAGGTAAGGGCATCAGTCAATGTAGCTTCACGTGCTGGACACTTTCCAGCCCACAGGGAGTCTCACACTTTGCATTTCACATTTGTCTGCTGGATCTTACAATAATATTATTAATAATAATATTTGTATTTGATATAAAGCCATTGCACACTGGGAGGATGACTCAAAGTGCTTCACAAGGATCACTATAATACACCGTGTGTGTATTTTGTATTTTGTAAGCGATTGCGGGAGCCAATTTGCGTACAGCAATGTCCCCATTCTTCATTGATCCAAGAGGTAACATGTCAAGATATCGGCTGTATCACAGAACTTAGGGGCACGCAGGTCCTAATCAAGATATTTCAAATTGGATTAAATTCATAATTGATTAAACTCATGATCAAGACAATCATCATTTTTAATTCAAAAGATGGTTCTATTGATTTGGAATCCGGATGATAGCAATGCAAAAAACGAATGCACTTTACAAGCTCCACATTGCCACCAGCAGGAATTATACTAAACAGCAAAAAAACAAGTTGCTTGGAAAATTACGTGGATGTAAATTTATTTTTAGCAATAGAAGGAAATAAACAGTTGATCTTGGGAAGCAAGTGGACATTAAGGATCCCATGGCACTATTTGAAAAGCTTCTCTCGGTGTCCTGGCTAACAATAACCCCAAATAAAACTGATCATTAACTACGTGGCTGTTTGTGGGACGTTGCTGTGTGCAAATTGGCTGCCGTCACCGCATAAAATACCGTCACTACTGTATAGGAAATTCTGTGAAGCATTTTTTTTGTAAATGCATTGTATCAAATGTAAGGATTATGATTGTAAATAACCCTTTTGAGAAATCAATGGCAATTAAGAAGAAGACAGGATGTATAAAAGGACACTGGGAAGTGCGACCAAGTTGGTTTATAATAGTGGCTTATAAAGAAATAAAGAAGATTATTGACGCACCTGTGGTTTGGATTTGGTATCATTATTATTATTATTATAGTAGGTAGTGACAGAGATATTCTCATGGAGCCCTGTGGCATATTGGTTAGCGTGCTCGACTCCCGAGCGAGAAGCTCTGGGTTTGATTCCCGGGGAGGACGAAACCTTAAGCAAATTTCCTAACTGCACACGTCTCTGATTACTTAGCAGTAAATAGGAACCCAGTTGATAGTCGATTGGCGGATCGCTTTTCCGCCAATAATCCCCCACGCCCACCCCCCAAAAAAAATGTTCGCTCAAATCCACGGCTGTTTATGGGACATTGCTGTGTGCAATTGCTGTGGCGTTTCACCCACAAAATACACAGTCATTTCACTTTACAGTATATTCTGTGAAGCGCTTTGAGATGTCTCAATGACGTGATAAGGCGCTGTATCAAATGTAAGGTTTATTATTACCATCCTCATCCCAACATACTTACTTTGGTGTTTTTTCTCTTACAGGAAGATCGAGAAGGAGACCTTTGTTGTTGCCAGAACCAAAAATAGCTTTGCCGAGGGTCACTCCTGCATCCAAAGCTGCTGCTGACACAACTTTCCAATCAGCCGGTGCTACAGGCGTCACCAGCAATGACCATCCAGTCCCGGTAACCACAGCCACCCCAACAACAACCAAACGCACCATCACAACCATAATTCAAGCCCATGTTAGACAAACATCACCAGTAAAGGTACAACTGGAAGGACCCGGTAAGCGAATTCTGGTTAATAACTCAACTAAGACAACACCATATTAACCCCTCGACAGGCAGGTCCACACAGGTTCATCTATCCCTGGGCTAACCAGTAGGTTTTTTGGTCACCCAGTACTAGACTGTATCAAATCAGGATATTATAGTGATAGGGCTTCTTACGAATACGTTTATTACTGAAGTATTCATCCTAAAGTAGTGCAATAAACCCTGATGGGTTAACACATAATTGGTGTGATCAGGGATAATTAAAGAGTGTTGTATTAGCGAAAAATGTGTCCTTAATGCCAAGTTTGGGGTGAGCACCACCATTCTGTAGGGAGAATGGTTTCTCCTTGAGGTTCTTCAAGCCCCTGCTAGGCAAACAATCTGACTGTCATCTTGTTCTTAGTTAGGCTGAGATAGGAATATAGGAACAGGAGGAGGCCATTCAGCCCCTTGAGGCTGTTCCGCCATTCTATTAGATCATGGCTGATCTGTAACTCAACTCCCTATTTTTTTTTAATTGAACGATGGGATCACAGACACAGCAGTGTCCATCTCTAAATTCAGTTTCCTTTATCCACACAATAAGAGGGTTGCCATAGAATGAGTGCAAATAGGAGGGGGAGGGGGGCCTGTTAGGTGGGGGCTCGTGTGTACTATAAGCAGTCACAGACTAGTTGTACCACTATATATGTATCTCTGTGGTACTCCCTGGAGTAGTAAACCTATACGAATGAGTTGCATTAGCTATTAAGAGTGTTTTGAGTTTCATGAGTTTTGGACTGCAGGCGTGGAAACTAATATTATTTGAAACAAAAGGTGATGTTTGTTTGTGTTTTGTGTTAGTCTGTGCCAGGGCCAAAGGAGATATTGTGTTTCTCGTCGATGAATCTTGGAGCATTGGTCAAGACAATTTCAACAAGATCAGGAATTTTCTCTTCCGAATCGTCTCGTACTTCCCAAAGATCGGGCCAGCAGGAACCCAGGCAAGTAAATTAGGCCATTTTGCTGATTCATTGAGCATTCAATTTTTTTAATAATTTGGTTACTCAATCCACGACTGTTTGTGGGACGCTGCTGTGCGTAATTGGCTGCCATGTTTCACCCACAAAATACACAGTCAATTCACCTCACAATATATTCAGTGAAGGGTTTTGAGACGTCTCAATCACGTGATAAAGTACTACATCAAATGCAAGGATTATTATTATTAAATGCTTTGGGTTGTAGGAGAATGAAAAGCCTGGGGGAGATAAGATATTCATTCCACAATGCCGAGATCCTGGGAAAGCATGCATTACAGTAGGAGATTATGTATGAGATTTGACTTCAACACAGTGAGACTACACGGATGAGGAAGAATGAATAGAAGGCAAATTTAGAGCAAGAAGCGAGATATGTTCATAGGAGCAATGACCTCAGTATCAATAAAACAGAGGCGTTGGTGGTTAGAGGTAAAAGGTGAGGTAATCACCCATCAGATGTCAAAACCTCACAAGCAACACATAAATAAAGTTTATAAAGTTTGGAAATGTTGGCTAATTGTTCGTGCACATTGAAAATTAGTTTCACAGGAGGACACAAAACCGTTGGCTTTAAAACCCCTGAGTGGGACTATTAAGCCAGCTCAATGCACAATTAAACCTTCACCCACAAAACACACACTCGCTATAGTTTATCCTGTGAAGCGCTTTGAGACATTCTCCTGAGGTGAGACATCTCAACACTGTGATAAATCGCTTTATCAAATGCAAGGATTATTATTATTATTATAATAAGATTAGGTGCTAAAAGATTATAGGTTGTAATAATCCTTTTCCTTGATAATTAATCATTGTCTTTGATATTGGGGCTCATCACATCATTGGTACATCTTAAAGCACTTCATAGATATACTGTGAAATGATTTATTAATATTAATTTAATTGCTTTTCATTGTTGGTTCGTTGAGTTTGCACCAGGTGTATCACTAATCCATTGTATGTTATGGAGCCAGACACTTTCAGCATTTTGACCAAGAACCCAAGTTTTTAGCCTTGTAAGAACATAAGAACATAAGAATTAGGAGCAGGAGTAGGCCATTTGGCCCCTCAAGCCTGTGCCCCGCCATTCAATAAGATTGTGGCTGATCTTCTGACTTAAGTCTAATTAGCTGCCCTATCCCCATATCCCCTAATCCCTCTATTTTTAAAAAATCTATCAGTCTCATCCTTGAAAATGTTCAAGGATTGAGCATCTACAGCCTTCTGAATTTATGGAATTCACTACCCCCTGAGTGAAGAAATGTTTCCTCAACTCTGTTCTAAAAGGCTGACCCTTAATTCTAAGACTGTGACCCCTGGTTATAGATTCTCCTACCAGGGGAAACAGTCCCTCAGTGTCTACTTTATCAGCCCTTTAATAATCTTATATATTTCAAAAAGATCTCCCCTAATTCTTCTGTACTCTAGAGAATATAGCCCTAGTTTATTCCGCCTATCCTCATAGGTCAGTCCCCTCATCCCAGGAACTAACTTAGTGAATCTACGCCGCACCCCCTCTAGGGCAAGTATGTCCTTTTTTAAATATGGAGATCAAAACTGCACACAATACTCTAGGTGCGGTCTCACCAAGGCCCTATACAGTTGCAGCAAAACTTCCCTTGTACTCTAAACCTTTTGCAATGAACGCTAACATGCCGTTCGCCTTCTCAGTTGCTGCTGCACCTGCAAACTAACTTTTTGAGACTGGTGTACAAGAACACCCAAATCCCTCTGAACACTAACACTTTCTAATCTCTCCCCCTCTGGAAAATAATCTGTTTCTCTATTTTTTCTACCTCGGTGAATAACTTCACACTTCCCCACATTAAATTCCATCTGCCACCTACTCGCCCACTCCCCTCGCCTATCTGTACCCTGTTGCAATCTTTTTGCATCATCCTCAGAGCTTACTCTCCCACCTAGTTTAGTGTCATCCGCGAATTTAGATACGTTACATTCAATGTCCTCTGGATCATTGATGTAAATTGTAAATAGCACTGATCCTTATGGCACTCCACTTGTCACATCCTGCCAATTCGAGAATGACCCATTTATCCCTACACTCTGTTTTCAACCCGTTATCTACAATATTCAGTCCACGTCCCCTGTGTTTGGATCCACCACCTGTCCATCAGCATCATTCTCTGGTTCTCATTTTCATTTGAAAATCTCTTGCTGCTCGTCTCCAACTTTCATAAACAATTCTTCTGTTACTCACTTTTGAACCAGATTGCCGTGGCTCATTACAGTGATGGACCCAGAACAGAATTCCAGCTCAACCGATTTCAAGACAGAAATTCAATATTACGAGCCATCAGAGGTATCCGCTACGCGGGAGGCAACACAAGAACAGGTGAGATAGTAAGGAACCTTGTTAGGTTTCTGCTCTTTTCAGAGACCCGTAGCTCAGCGGTTAGAGCAATTGCCTCGCGAGCGAGAGAGCTGAGTTCGATTCCCGGCAGCGCGAAATGTTGAGCAAGTTTCTTTAATCCACGTGCCTGTTTACCAAGCAGTAGGTAGGAACCCGGTTGTTAGTCTATTGGCGGATCGATTTGTGGGTGAAACACGGCAGCCAATTGCGCACAGCAGTGTCCCACAAACAGTCGTAGATTGAGTTTTATGCTGAGATTAATTTGCATCTCCCTCCACCTCGCTCTCTTCCTTCCGACTTTAAAATCTCATCTGAAAACTTACCTCTTCAACTGTGCTTTCCATCATCTATTTCTCCCCCCAACCATCTTCAGCTTCCCCCCCCGCATTCCCCCCCACCCCTCCCCCTCCCCCCAGCTGTGTGAAGTCCTCCCAAAATGAACAGCACTATATCAATAAAATTATATTGGAAATTGTACAAACAGTGCAGATCACAGCACTGTTTGTACAATTGCTGCGCAAGGCACAGCAGGTGAACATCTCAGCTGTTTTGTTTACCTTTTCCTCCCCCCATTTCCCGTTTTCGCAGCCAGAGGGATCGGATATGTGTTGAAGGAGCTGTTCCAGACATCTGCCGGCATGCGGCAGCATATCCCTCGCATCCTGGTGGTGCTGACTGATGGACCCTCCCAAGATGATGTGACGCTGCCAGCGAGAGTGGCGTACGGTTTAGGTAAAGTTCTGCCTGAAAGTCCGGTGTGAGATGAAATAGATAATAATGGTACCCATGCAGCATGCTACTTATACAGCCACGACCACACACCCACCCACCCACACACACACTCACCCATCCTATTCAAGGCTTTGGTTTCCCGAGTTCAGCGCAAGTTTGCACCTCCAATTTGGCTGCTTTCCTTTGTAAGGGGAGGAGATTGCTTCAGGACGCTAAATGACAATTTAAGAAAGAGCCAATGCAATAGGAATAGGAAGTAGAAAAGGAACCTGGGGGGAACCCGGGTAGTTGTGGGTTCATGGGAGGGAGTCTTGTATTGTGAACTGAGAATACATACACCAGTGTTGTTATAGTATAATATTCCTCGCATTTGATACAGCGCTTTTTCACGTCTTCTAGACATCCCAAAGCGCTTCACAGAATAGACGGTCAAGTGAATTGACTGTATATTTGTGGGCAAAATGCGGCAGCCAATTGCGCCCAGTGGCGTCCCACACACAGTCGTGGATTGAAGTGACCAATTTTATTATTTTTTTTAAGGATTTTTTTAATGTATTATCATTATTATTTGTAGACTGAGAATCATTACAGTAAGGGTGTTCAGCATCAGGGAGACCATCCTTATCTGCCTCCTCAGATTACAGAATACTTTTAGCTATTGTATTCACTTCATTAAATTCCATCAGTTGAACGGCTGAATGAATGCACCAGAGCCCTGAAATTGCTCACTGTTTTAGCCTCAAGGCAATTATCTTAAAATTTAAGATTGCACAGACGTTTGAAGAAGTCTTCAATCCAGTTTTAATTTTGAACCCTTTTTCTTTCCCGGGGTTGTCAAAAGACCTGCAAAAAAAGAGGAATATAGGGACAGGAGTAGGCCATTCAGCCCCTCGAGCCTGTTCCGCCATTCTATCAGATCATGGCTGATCTGTACCTCAACTCCAATTACCTGACTTTGCCCCATATCCCTTGATACCCTGACTTAACAAATATCTATTCACCTCAGTCTTGACGATGTAAATGGATCCAGCATCCACAGCCTTTTGGGGGAGAGAGAGAGTTCCAGATTTCCACTAGTCTTTGCGTGAAAAGAAGAGAGATTGTTGGAATGGAATGGTCTTAAGGCAAAGCTCACGCAGTATTTCAAACCGAAGGATTTGAAACCTTCTGATCCCATGTCCAGGTTTTAGTCAACCAACAGAGCTGCACATCCTGATTGTGTGAAATCATGGGACTCTGAGAGACACTGATAAACAGATTGGAAAAGGTTTAGGAAACATTCAGTCAGCGAGCCTCCGATTTGGGGAAAGAATGGTATTACAACTCAATGACATGCTTCCATGTTTGTAAAGAAAGTGTAATTTAATCCTCTCAGCCTTTTGGGGCAAGATGTCACCAAAGGTAGATTTTCCAGCTAGATTTTTTTTGAGAGAAATAACACAGAAAGAAAATACGTTGGACAAGAGGGGAAGCTAAAGCAGGCAATACATAATCCTATAGATACAGGTAAGCTGCTCTGTGATAAAGAGAGTTGACATTTCATTTTATGTGAAGGATTACATTTCATTTTATGTGAAGGAGGTTTGGATAGTGTTTGCAGGTGTATTGTGACTGTTGCAATGGTAAAAAAATATATGAAATATATATACAGTTAATTCACTTTACAGTAAATATACTGTGAAGCACTTCAGAACGTCTTGGAAGACGTGATAAGGCGCTATATCAAATGCAAGGATTATTATTATTATTATTGTGCAGTGTCCCAAGCATTATTATTATTATTATTAATGTCATTGACTTTTAATGATGTTCATCATTAACAACGTATATAAACAGCATTTATATAGCGCCCCCTCACGCGTCTCAGAGCACTTAACAGTGGCGGAGAATGATACCAAGCCGGGGGGGGGGAGGTGAACAATATTTCTTTTAAATCATTAAAGGTCAGTGACATTAATAATAATAATAAATTATGATCATTGCATTTGATATAGAGCCTTATCACGTTGTTGAGGTGTCTCAAAGCGCTTCACATTATACACTGTAAAGCGTAGTGACTGTGTATTTTGTGGGCCAAATGCAGCAGCCAGTTCGCGCACAGCAGTGGCCCGCAAACAGCCTCGGAGTGAGTGACTATTTTTACTTGGGGGATTGTTGGCCAGGACACCAGGAGAGAGAAACTCCGTACTCTTTTCGAATAGAGCCACGGGTGTGTGTAATTATGCCGGCTGATCAGCGCTGTGGTCGTTTCATGTCTTTTAGGCATTAGGGTCATCCCTGTGGGTGTGGCAAGTGCTGACGTTGAAGAACTCAAGAGAATGGTCTTTCGTGGCAGTCAGGATGATGTGTTCTTCGCCGACACGTTTGACGACTTAAATTTGATCGAAAGAGAGCTCATAGAGAAAGTCTGCACGGAAGCCAGGGAGAAGGAGGTGAGAAATTTCCATCGTTCTGAATTCCAACTTACTTTGGCGAGTTCTGGAGAGCAGAGAGATACAGCGACTCTGAGGGTGTAACGTCAAACCATGACCGCAAAATACAATAAGTTTTTTTTTTTGGTGGGGTGGTGGGGGGTGGGGGGGCTGCATAATGGCACTGTATGTTGGAACTCTAATATGTTGTGCCACAAATAACAAGGAGGTTCATGTTTCTGGTGAACAATCTCTGCAAAGCCCTCATGGAGATGCTGGTACCTGATTCGTGGGTTCTGTAAAGCAGGGTAGCCCAACTGGCGGCCCGCGGGCCACATACGGCCCACCAGCCGATTTCATCCGCCCCCCACCCTCCATTTCATCCGGCTCAACCTCTCCATAAGGGAAGGAGAACACAAACATAGTGCTTATGCGGCCCGCAGATGTTTATCAAACAGGGCACGCGTCCCTCAGCAGCCAAAAGTTTGGACCACCTTAGCGTAAAGCGCTCTGGGACGCTACCCCGCGTGAGGGGCGCTAGATAAATGCAAGTTGTTGTTGTCGGAAACCATGGTGTAAGCTTGCGTACAGAGGGAATTAATTGCAGGTGACTGCTGGAAGAAAAGCCATTGATTTTTGCAAGGCCGTGCTGCGTCCCTTCAGCTTCTTGCAGTGTTTGATCGCTGACCTGTTCTCTAGCGCCCGAAACAAGATGGATCTGATGTCACGGCCCGTATCCCTGATCAGCAAACGGAATCTGTCATGTCCGAAGCTTCCAGCAGCGCACCTGAAAATGTCAGAAAACCAGAGGGTCCTTGTCCAGCCCAGTGTTCAAAGGTGAGCTGTCATTGAGAGAAAATCTAGAAGTTAGTTCATAAGAGTTCAAGGGCGTTACAATATTGTGGAGTCCTGTAGCGTATTGGTTAGAGCACTCGCCCTGTAAGCGAGAGGACCTGGGTTCAATTCCCGGGCAGGATGAAACCTTAGGCGAGTTTCTTCACTCCACACGCCTTTGTTTGCCCAGCAGTAAGTAGGCACCCGGTTGTTAGTCAATTGGCAGATCGCTTTCAGGGGAGTAATAATCCCTTGAAAAATAAATAAATAATAACTTGGTCACTCAAACCACGACTGTTTGCATTTTTAATCGAGACTATCAATCTCCCCCATAAATGCAGGAGTCATTAACAAGGTATATATATAATAATTACATAAAGTACACAGTCAATTCACTTTACAGTTTATTCCATGAAGCGTTTTGAGACATCTCGACTACGTGATAAGGCGCTATATCAAATGCAAGGATTATTATTATTAGATTTGTCCTTAAACTCTGGAAGCCAATATTCCTAAGAGACAGAGCTGACTGAGTATTGTGCTGTACAGTTACCCCCTTTACGTGAAAAAGCCACGTGGACGAAAAATAAATCGTGTTTTCTTTTCATATTTTCAGGGTCACAAAGGAGAGAAGGTAAATCTTACATTGGCATTTAATTAACTCTTTACTTTGTCATTTTAACTATCCTCTCATGTTTTCTATCTTTATCACACTTACATACATAGTCTTATGTAGAGTGAATTATTAGTATCAGCGCTCCAAGGCCCTGTCCTGTGTGAAGGGTGCTATATAAATGCAAGTTGTTGTGATTTTTATTTCTTGGGCATTTCCTGGGAATACTGAAGGAGGTACAGAGTTTCACAATCTTGAGATCCTGGGAAAGAATGGTTTGAGTAGGAGGCTGTAATCGGGTTGGATTTCATTAAGGGAAAGGGGAAGAGTGTGTAAATAGTATCTTTGGACCTTAGGAGGAACAAAGGTTAGGAATTCAGGGAGCAATGACCATTGATAATGATAATAATAGATATATATATTAGATATATTGGAAGAGACCCTTAGATATCAGAGCTACATTCAAGTATTGGACATACTTGAGTATTGTGGGATAAGAGCTTTTGAGAGGGGAAATGTTTTTTTGTCACAAAAGATGAAGCTAAGCATTCAGGAAAAAGCTTTAGCAATGAGAAACGAGAATATCTGAGATCAGAGGAGATAGTGATAGTGAATCCAGAATCCCATTAAACAACAAAGAAATGGTGAATAACAGCAAATTACTTCTTTCTGCCCTCACATCCTTGGAACTCCATCCCACAGTCCCTTCGCCTCGCCCTCTCCCTTGCCTCCTTCAAGGCCCATCTCCTCTTCGACCACGCCTTCGGTCACCCTCCCACCCCTACTCTCTCTGCCATCCACCACTCCTGATCCCAACACCCAGCTTGGGTCCAATCCCTGACTGTCCAGAACTTTGGGACATCCTCCCGACATGAAAGGATCTATACAAACGTTATTTGTTGTTGTTGTTGTTGTAATTTGTTGTTGTTATCAACTAACATTTGAACTGTTGTGCTTTACTTTCAGGGTATAAGGGGTGCACCAGGAAGCCCGGTAAGTCTCTCTAAAGTTATGCAACTGAATAAAAATGCATTTGTGTGTCAAAAGAAAACAAATGAACAGAGAGTGTTTTTACAGAGAAGAAATGTGGACATTTAGGACTGGTTACAGTAATCTACCTGAGGGGCACAGATTCTGCCCCCTTAACCAACGTCCAGCGAATGTCTCGTTTTCTGCTTAAAATGAGAATGAAAGTTTGCCAGCGTCATATTCTCCAATATAATCTTGCGTACCAGTACCTTTGAAATAGTAGATGTTGTTTATTTCTCTTGACAGATTATAGAGCGTGACCGCTTGCTTGTTACAACACAATAATAATAATAATAATAATAATAATCCTTGAATTTGATATAGTGCTTTTCATGACTTCAAGATGTCTCAAAGCGCTTCACAGAACATACTTTATAGTGAATTGAATGTATATTTGTGGGCGAAACGTGGTAGCCAATTGCCCAGGGCGGAGTCCCACAAACAGTCGTGGATTGAAGTGACCAAATGATTAATTTTTTTTTAGGGATTATTATCCCCAGAAAAGCGATCCGCCAATCGACTAACAACCGGGTTCCTACTTACTGCTGGGCAAACGGAGGCGTGTGGAGTAAGGAAACTTGCTCAACATTTCGTCCTCTTAAAATACTCATTAACTTAGCACAAACCAGATCTAAACCATTTTGAGCTCTACGGCTTGATATCACACATGTACTCATCCAGTCATGAGGGAGTCGTGTGTGGGATCTAATGTCACAATTCTCCCTCCCCCACCCCACCCCCCCACAACCCTGGCAAAACCTTTCTAGAATTCAGGCTGGTCCATTTGCCTCCCCCCAAAAAGCCAAAAGATTGGATCTCCCTGTTATCATGCCTTCTCTATGGTTGTCCAGTCAGTTTCCCAGGACTTTATTCAAGATGGAGACTGATCATAGCAGCGTGCTGGGGAGATCATTTGCTTAATGTGCTTCTTTCTATTTCTTCCAGGGTGAGCCGAACTTTGCGGGTTTAAAGACGGGCGGGGGATATGATTCATTCGCATTTGCTGAAAAGGGAGAAAAAGGAGAAAGGGTAAGTACCAGAAAATATTGTCACATTTTCCTTTCTTTCTTGGGCTATACAAATGTAATGTTGTTGTTGTTGTTGTTTTTGAATGTGGCTGAATAGCAGATTTCTCCAACATTAAGTGTCATCAAAAAACTGGGTAATTGATTGCTGATGTAGTAGCATTAGCGATCGATATCCTGAAAGTAATTACTCCTTATCAATTGAATATGTCATCGCTATATCAAAGTGGACTGACGATATGAGAAAATGTCAACCTGGCTCAGTTGATAACACTGTACTCTCTTGCCTCTGAGTCAGAAATTTGTGGCTTCAAGCCCACATCAGGTCTTGGGACTAACATCACCTAAGAGGACACTCCAATGCAGTACTGGGAGTGTATTGCATTGTCAGAGATGTCGTCCTTTGGATAAGATGTTAAACTGAGCCCTCTTCCTGTTCAGGTGGACGTTAAAGATCCGATAGCATTATTTGAAAAGCAAAGGCAATTTCTCCCAGTTTCCTGGCCAACAATTCGAGATACAATTAAAATTGATCACTCACTTGGTGGCTGTTTGTGGTTCATTGCTGTGCGACAATTGCTTGGTGTGTTCATGTAAAAAAACAGCGCTTCGAGACATCGCAACAGCACGATAGGGCGAGCTAGGAAATGCAAGGTTTATTATTGTTTTATTCATAAGTGTTAAGGCAAATTTGGTGTTTGAGGCCGGCGCTCAGAGTTAGAACAGCTGTGAGCTACGGAGGTTATGATAAATCTATGTCGCGTCGGAACGTGCGGGTTTAAGATCTTTACATCTCCTTGTCTAATTGGAGACAATTGAAGAAAGCATTGCCACACATTAATAATACTCTGGGCATCAGGTGATTTGTTAAGTATTTCTTTCAATGATTTGAATGCGTTAGTAAATATTGCACTCATTTTGTGATGGTGTAGGGGCTCCCAGGAAAAGATGGAATCCCAGGACTCCCTGGCCGACCTGGTCGCACAGGCCCCCCCGGTTCACCCGGACAAAGGGTAATGTGTTTGATTCATACGTAGTCAACTAGTCAAATTAGTCATCAACTAGCGTAGCACGTTGGTTAGAGCACTCTCTTCCCAAAGCGACAGGACCCGGGTTCGAGTCCCGGGCTGGGCAAAACCTTTCCTGTTTACCTGGCAGGAATTAGCAACCTGGTTGTTATTGGATTGGCGGATTGCTTTCCGGGGGTAATAATCGCATCAAAAATGAATAAATAATAATAATGATTTGGTCATTCAATCCACAACTGTTTGTGGGACACTGCTGTGCTCAATTGCCCACAAACTACACTTAAATGCAAGACACTCCAAACCAGGAGACCACAAATTTACATCAGCAGAAAACTCTCAGCAAAAGTGATTAACACTGTATCTGTTGATTCCTTTTTAAAAGCGATGGATGAATACTTGATTAGGAACAGCACTGGGGGTAATCAGGATAAATAAAGAGTGAGATAGATGAATCTCAAGGAACGCAACAGTCTGTGAGCTGCGGAGACTTTGGGGATGTGATGTCAAGGAAATAAACATTTCCGCTTTGGGCTTTGACAAAATTGCGTATAGTTTTGCAATTAAACATTTTGAAACAGTTTTAATTGAACAATGACGCTGAAATATGTACTTATCATGAGCGCAAGTCAGCAATATATAGCGCCCTCCATGCCGGACGGCGTCTCAGAGCGCTTCACAGTAACGGATCCCGGGGCTGAGCCGCGGGGGGTGGGGGAAAGGTGACCAAAGGCGCGGTCGAAAAGAAAGGTCTTTAGCCGAGACCTGAAAATAGGAAGGGAGGAGGTGAGGCAAAGTGAGTGAGGAAGGGAGTGCCAGAGCCTTGGGGTGTAGTGGCTGAAGGCACGGCCGCCGAGGGTGGAGCGGAGGACTCGGGGGACGAGGAGGAAGCCAGACCCGGTGGAACGAAAGTAACGGGCGCTGTTTTGAGGAGGTCAGAGAGGTCGGGGGGTGCAGAGGAGTGGAGGGATTTGAAGACAAGCACTCTCGGCTGCCGATGTTTCAAACTGTTACTGTAGAATTTTATGCATTAAGTTGAGTGACGTTAATACTGGCAAACGGAGCTCTCTCCCACTCTACACAATTAAAACCTGACAGTCTTGTGGTTGTTAATTTTAGTGATGATGCAAATGTGTGTGAACAGGGGCAAAGTGTTAGGAGATTATATTAACAGACAATTGTCCATGTCAGTTTTCCTAACTCTTCAAAAAAACATGGAAAAGGGAGGAGACAGCCATGAAAGAGTTGATAACGTCTTACCTTTAATTGCAGGGCCCCCAGGGAATACAAGGATATACAGTAAGTGTACTTAGAGAATCCAATTTAATCCGATAATAAGTAACAATAATAGGCTTTAAAGTGCAAAATCTCTTGAACTGGGTGGGTTACGTTCATTGAAAAATTTGCCACCGTGTAATCCCGTTTGCTGGTTAGATTCCAGCAGTTACCCCCAACGCACACTCTGGGGTCCCCAGGTCTTGGCTCTTGCCCAACCTGCGCCTAATATTTTCCGGAATTAGGTAAGCAGGATGCGTCCCTCCAGGGAGAGAGAGCGCATTCCACTCCAGCAGTCTATCTCTGGGATTTCCACGGGTAGGTGGAAATGCATGGGATTCTCAGCTTGGTTTGGATACCCTTAAGCACGGTGATGGGTTTCCGCACGTGTCAGACACCCACCCGACTGACCAAACAGAAGAAGCACAAGGAATCTGAATTGCATATATTGCATTTGAGACTTGAGTCCATTGCAATTGCTTTTCATTTTATCAAAGAGCGAGGTTTACACTCTTGTGGCATCAGTGAGGATCTCGCCACATATCAACTGTGTGGAATGTCCTCGCTGTCATGTCAACAGTGACATCTGCCAGTGGCTCGTATAAATAAAACGGAAAAAGTCTGCCCACACAGTTTACTGCGGAAATGAAAGAATCGCTGGGGAATGATTTCTGGATAGTGATCTCATTTCGGAGCTCAGGTGACTGTCACAGTTTATGAGGTCACTGGAAATCTTTAATGAGATTCTTGTCACTTAGACGTACGTTCAGAGCACATTCAATACATTTTATGTCTCGTCTGAGACGACAAAGCATACTGAAGGCATCCGGGGGTGTAACATCATTACTGGCCTATTGACTTTAATATCGTTCCTGTGCTTTAGACAAGTATCTAAGTGGGCTTGGACCGGCAGAACTTGGACCCGACATAGATTTCTATGCAGAAAATAAGATCCTTTCCGTGCTTATAAAGGAAATGATTGAATAGCACTAATGGATGTCTGAATACCTTATAGCAGAACTGAAATTATTCCATCCTTCTGTCTGCCTGCAGGAACTCACTGTGACTTTATGCTCTGCATTTATCTATAACAAGGGCACTTTTCTTTCCCCCCCCCATTTAGGGACACCCTGGATATAAAGGGCCTCCAGGCCCTAAAGGAGAAAGAGTGAGTACCATATAACATGTAATGTGAAGTCTGACACACAAGTGGTGACGTTCGCAAACTTTTATTTTTTTTAATGCAACCTATTCAAGGGAAAGGTCGATAGAAAAACAACCCGAAAGGAAAGGTTGTGATTTCTATGCAGATACAACGGCTTTAAACAACTGTTGCTTCTTTTGTAACACCCTCTCTCTGCCTGTCCTCTCTCTGTCTGTCCTCAACACACATCATTCGATTTCAAGATCCTCACACTTGTCTTCAAATCGATTCGTGCCCTGGCACCTCCTTACCTCTCCGACCTGCTTTGTCCCCGACCCACGACCTACTGCCTCTGCCCTCCTGTTTGTTCCTTGTGCTCTCTGTTCCACCATCGGTGGCCGCACTTTCACCCACTGCTCCCCGAAACTCTGGAACACTCTTCCCCAATTCTTCCGCCCTGCCCCTCTTTCCCCATCTTGTGGTCGCACCTGAAGACCTTCCTCTTCGACCGTGCCTAAGGTCACCTCCCCTCCCCACCGGCTCTGCTTCGTGCTCTGCCACTGTGAAGCGCTCTGGGACGCTACCCCGCATGAGGAGGCGCTGGGTAAATACAAGTTGTTGTTGTCTTCAAAACATTCATGAAAAATCTGTTTGACTGTACTTTTGGTCACCATCCTTAATTCTTCATTTTCTTTCTCTGATCAATGCTTCCTGTCATATTTGTTAAGGATTTTTGGTACATTCATCCTTTGTGAAAGATGCTACGTGAGTATAAGATGTAAGAGTCACATCTTGTCCATAATGTTCTTCTTTTTTGTTATCAGACAATGCTCCACCCTGGTCAAATGTTTTGAGTTAACCCCTCCCCCCAAAAAAAGTTGCGGTTAAAGATATTTGGGACTGTCGTCTTTTGAAATGTCACAGTTCCCCAATTAGTGTATTTGGATACAAGAAATTTACTACATTTTATGTTAACTCCACTTATTTTTTTTCCTGTAGTTTTCTATTCTGCATTAGCCCAGCCAGACAAGGCAAGCAGCGTTATGTATTGTCACACTCAATGATAATATCACATTTCTTTTGATTTCTAAAATGTCCCATCTGCCAACCTGGTTATGTTGGCTGACTGACATGTGTGTGTATATATATATATATATATAATATATATATGTCTGTGAGTTATACTTGCTATTTCAATTGACTGGGATCATTTGGCATTTACCATTATACCGTTACATCGCAAACGACTTGACTGCCAATATTCTCCCACAAAACATAGTCAATTCACTTGACAGTATAATCTGTGAAGCGCTTTGAGACGTCTCGAAGACGTGATAGGCGCTACATCGAATGCAAGGGTTATTTATATTATTATTATGTGTCTTATGCGCTACTTAGAATGGAAGCAATTCCATCGGTAGCTCAAAGCACCAAGTTTAAACCACATCCAATAGGCATCCTGTAAGTGTTGCTGTAAGTCGGAATAATGCTGTTCTTGTTCTTGTGGATAAAAGTCAGAAAACCACATTAATCCCTCACTGTGGGGGATCATTTTCGGATCTGAAATCGTTTTGTACCAAGTAAGATAATAATAATGTTTTGTTAATAATAATAATGTGTTCCAGGTTTTAAGAAATCTCATTTACTAAAGATCAGATAAAGTGCCTGACTCTTCCTTATCTTTTTGAAGGGGGAACCTGGATATGTTTTGGGAGGAGATAGTGTTATACCTGGCAGGAAAGGTGAAGCTGGATATCCAGTGAGTATTGGTTCAATTACATGGAAGTAAAAGTCTTGAATCTGCAGTGCGCTCCTCATGTTAAAAAATAATAGTAATAATAAATTGGTCACTTCAATCCATGACTGTTTGTGGGACACTGCTGTGCGCAATTGGCTGCTGTGTTCCACCCTAAAATATACAGTCGATTCACTTTACAGTCTATCCTGTGAATCGCTTTGAGAAGCCTCGAAGACATGATGAGGCGCTGCATCAAATGCAAGGATTATTATTATTGTTAATATTATGCCAAGATTAACTGACGAGAGGGGGCTAAGAAGGGGTTAGGGTTAGGCTATAATCTCCATTTATAGCACGTTTTCTTGCTTGACAATTCTGTCGAATACTCTTCCTGTTCCTGAGAATTATTTACAATTAATAATTGATTAACTACGCAATTGGCTGCCGCGTTTCACCCACAAAATATACAGTCCATCCACCTTACAGCATATCCTGTGAAGCGCTTTGAGACGTCTCGAAGACGCGACGAGGCTCTGTATCGAAATGCAAGGATTATTATTATTATTGTTCGCACTGACGCAGCTCTTGTGTTTAGGGTGCTAAGGGCGAGCCAGGTTTCCCAGGCGTGCCAGGCTCACCCGGAATCTCAGGCCACCCTGGCCCCCAGGGACCACCAGGGATATCAGTCAAGGTGTGTGAGTATGGCAACGGTCCCAAAGCAGATTACTTTTCGCAAGATGGCAAGAGAGGTTTGGATGTACAGGGTGGACAAAAAGCCGATGGCACCTCCTTCTGTGCCGTATAATTCTATGATTCTGTGACAAGGTGCCACTTCAAATGCAACGATTCTTATTCGTGTTTTACAGGGTGAGCCTGGAGCACCAGGAATTCGAGTGAGTAATTGTTCCTTGTACCCGTGAGGCTGTTTATTACTGTGTGAGTAATGAAGAGTATTACTGCGTGATACTCTTGTAGATAAGCAGCATTGTCGTTCCGCAGGGGTCCGCCTGGGTCCTCCGTAATTGATTATTCAAAATTGAAATAGGGCGCTGCATTATAATGTGGGGTCAAACTTTATGGCGCCAAATCACGGCATTATAACGGGGTCTGAACTGGCTAGTGTTGAGAGATAGCAATGAAGCATATTGTCTGATGATAAAGTAACATGATTACTTAACTTAACAGGGTCCACGTGGGAAACCTAGTGCAAAGGGTGACAAAGGACAACCAGGCGTTCAGGTGAGGAATCTCGGGCCAATGTTGCAGCTTTGATTCTCCATAGACCTGTTGCTCCCGAGTTTCCATTCACGGACATGGGATGTCAGCGGAACTGGACGCTATTCTAATGCTCCATACTTCTCTGTTTCAGGGCATCGCTGGCTTGCCAGGGCCAATGGGACTCGATGGTATTCCTGGAATTCCAGGGCAGAAAGGAGAAAAGGTAACAGAGTTCTTCCTTTGAGTTGAAATGTTTGAATGCACTTGCATGTTATTAACAAGGGCAGGTTTCTAGCGGAACTGCTGATATAACAGGGGGTAATTTGCGAACATAATTATAAGAGGTTCTTTGTGATAATGCTTATATTGGTTGGGCTGAAGTTTCAGTTAGCAAACAGTACTTGAGTAAAGTTCCCAGGTGGGGCGAAACCTATGTCATTTCCTTACTCCACACGCCTTTTTACCTGGTAGTAAACAGGAACCCATTTGTTAGTCAAATGGTGGATCACTTTCCGGAGTAATAATCCCTCAAAAAACCAATGTGGTCACTCAGTGCACGACTGTGTGTGGGTCGCTGCTGTGCACAATTGTCTGCTGCGTTTTGCTCACAAAATACACAGTCAATTGACTTTACAGTATATTCAGTGAAGCGCTTTGAGATGTCTCATCGACGTGATAAGGCGCTGTATCAAAAGCAAGGATAATTATTATTATCTCGTTATCTTGTGATTTCACCTTTCCGCATTGTGCATCTTGTATCTCTCGTAGCACTGCATCGAAAATGAATTGTGTTTATTAATTTATTTTTACAGGGAGTTGAAGGAATAGGTATTCCTGGAATACAGGGAGGCAAAGGGGTAAAAGGGGCAAAGGTAAAGAGAAAGAAAGAACGTTTATAGCATGGTACTGAAACATTTTAAAGTACATTACAGACAATTACTGTCATCATAACTCAGTTTGAATTGCAATATAAGTCTTATTATGATATCTTCTTGATAAGCAGCTCTGTGTTTTTGTAATTTGTAGGGATTCTTGGGGCTACCAGGGAACCCAGGTCCAAAGGTAATTTTTTAAAATATGTAATTATTCATCAATGTCTTAGTATTCACGTTATTTTTCATTAATTGGTAGTGCAAGTCTTTCCTCTTACCAATCTGTGCCTGAATTCTCCAGAATGTGGAGTCTTGGTTAACATATTGGTTAGAGCATTTGCCTCGCAAGCGAGAGGACCCGGGTTCGATACCCCCGGCAGGGCGAGACCTTAGGCAAGTTTCCTTACTCCACACGCCTCAGTTTATCTAGCAGTAAGTAGGAACCCGATTGTTAGTCGATTGGCGGATCGCTTTTCCGGGGGTAATAATCCCTTTCAATATATTAACTTGGTCACTTAATCCATGACTTTGTGGGACATATACAGTCAAAATATACAGTCGATTCACTTTACAGTGTATACTGTGAAGAGCTTTGAGACGTCTGAACAATGTGTTCAAATGCAAGGATGATTATTATAGGATTATTATTAGGATTTGGTAAGTGGAATGCATCCGTACAGAGAGAAAGTGTTCACTGCATACGAGACAAACACGTGTAGAACACTTAGTCGCTTGGTTTGGAGATACTTAAGAGACGTGTGTCATTCACCTGGCTGACCCCCCCAAACAAATTCAATGTCTTAACATTAAAGAGGGTACCCCAATGATTTGACTCCTTTTAAGGATTGTTTTTAATAATAATTATTGTGAATATTATGATGATTATTGCTATTAATAATAATAATTATGATTCAGAAACTCTGCGGCAGCTTAAAATACAAGGAGCGTTCAATCATTTAGCCCAGTACTTATCGGTATCCTTGTCAGAGGTCAATCTTCGCCAGGTATTCACCAGCTTTGTGTGATTCCATCTCAATTTCAGGGAGAGCTGGGGAATCCAGGAACAGAAGGGGAGGTTGGCCAAATGGTAAGGGCTTTTCGATACTATACAGCTGGCTGAGCGAGTGTCGTATATTTTAGCGCTTTACCCTTTACAGTAAACGGGGCCTTCTTAGAGCCGAACTGGCTCCAAGGCGACGAGCTTGTCAATGGGAGGTCGGCATCGAGTCAGCCCTCTGTGGCGGACTCGGTAATTCCTGAGCCCAGGTGGTCCTCAGTATCCCAGAGCGCCGTTGAAGGCAGCCTGGCTCATCGGGAGCCCTTGGAGCTGAACTTCCCCGATTGATTTCGAATGGGGCGGAATTGTGCCTGAGAAAGACAAATTCATGTTAAATTGTAACTGTTGCCCAGGAACTCAAATGCAGTTGTTCTCGACACATTATATGTAAAGGACAATTGAATTAACTCAAGCGTTTACGGTCCTTTTTTAAGCGAACTGTCCGTAGATAATTGTTGAATTAAAAAAAATGCAGTACATAATATTTTAGAGATTACGAGAATTTTTTTTTAAATCATCATATTCCGTGAAAAAGTTTCAATGGCCACATCGTTCAAAATTGATTTTTTTTTTAAAAAAAAGGTTTGATTTGGTGATATTTCTTAATTAAGAAATAAGTAAGTTGGTGACAGGAGCGCATGGCGAGGGCACGTTACCTCAGTCGGAATTCTCTCTAGTCAGAGTCGTGTGTGTGTGTGTGTGTGTGTGTCTTAATTTAAAACATTTAATCTGCAAAATTGACCCCTATAGAGTGTTCGTTGATGTGAATCAGTAAACCGAGTGCGTCTTTTGTGAATTATACAGGGCAAGCGAGGGTCAAAGGGAGACAAAGGAGAAGAGGTAAGATGTGATCAACGTACTCCATGCAGCACAGGTAGCCGCAAAAAATTTGAATTGAATTTTAAATTAAAATTTTCAAGATTTTTGTTTGGTGGATAGATTTTTGTTAGGTCAGGGTGTCGAGGGATATGGGGCAGAGGCGGGCAATTGGAGTTGAGGCACAGATCAGCCATGATCTAATAGAATGACAGAACAGGCTCGAAGGGCTGAATGGCCTCCTCCTGTTCCGAACTGCGTGAAACATGAATCTGTGATGCTGTGTGTTTCGTGGTGAACGGGGACTTTATTCCAAAGACAACACGGTCTGAAAAGTTGGGCGGTAAGTGTAGACATGAATGTCTACAGGGTTTACACAGATTTAAAGATGGCAGATTAGCTCTGCTGAGAAATGCATTAATTCTTAACCACTTCTTTCATGTCTTCCACAGGGAAACCGCGGAGAAAATGGGGAATCGGGCCCACAAGGAATTGCTGTGAGATCATTTTATTATTTGGTTTTTATTCACAATCCCTCTTTTAAAAAAAAAAGCACTCTGGGACGCCTACCTTGCGTGAGGGGCACTCTGTAAATGCAAGTTGTTGTTTGTTGTCTTTTGTCACCCACAAAATATACAGTCACTACACTACACAATATACTCTGTGAAGTGCTTTGAGACGTCTTGAAGATGTGATAAGGCGCTATATTAAATGCAAGGATTGTTATTGTTGTCATGTCTGTCTGTCGGACATTGCTGTGTGCAAATCAACTGCCATGTTCGCCTACAAAAGACATAGTTACTTCACTTCACATTAATTCTTGCAAAGCGTTTTGAGGAGTCCGCCCGACATGAAAGGTGCTGCATCAAATGCAAGCATTATTATTATTATTATTATTAATAATTAGAATATTTTATAGCTCTTGATTTTATTTTGATGTTCAGGGAAATAGAACCTTGAAGGGGGAAAATCAGGAGACGTGAAAATAACCCCTTAGTTTGCAACCACGAGATGATCAGAGTCCGTTGCTATCTGCTTTGCAGCCTCGCTGCTAGAGGTCACCAGCTAACAGCTATGTGCCTCTCTTACTAACACTCTGTAACGTTGGTGTCATCACTGAGTGGGAACGGTGAGAATCAGGGACGACCAGTTTAGCAACCGGGTGGGCGGACTAAATGATCCTACACTGCTTGCTGCAGTCTTCTGAGGAAATACAGCCCAGCGTGTCAGCAATAAATTAGCAATGAATGTGATTCTGACCTGACAATGTATGTTCATATGTAATACAGTAGAAATGCATCCAAAATCCAGCTCCTTTTCGCTCTCGTTCTCCATTCTATTTCCGATTTTTTTTTCTTAATTTTGCATTTTGACATTCACCGTCAATTTTTTTTTTTTTCTTCCACTTGGCAGCGTCCGTTTGTAATTCCAGGCCTGTGTTAGTAATATCCTCTGTTTAATTTCAGTCTTTAATTCCGTATGATTTTGGTGCCTTTCCCATTGTCCGTGTATCTCTGGCTTTGTTCCACTTTCCTTGTTGAGACTCACTAGAGCGTCAGACCAAGAGGATGAGAACAACAGGGGAGGGGGAGCAATAGGCAAGATATAAGTAACCGACTGGAAAAAATAGTACGAGTGAGATTGTGTGTACATGAATGTAAGAGAGAGAGAGAGAGAGAGACTGATGGAGGTGAAGAGAGAAATTCAGAGATGAATAAAAGAGCATGTTGTTTCTGTGGATCCCTGTCACAAACACGGCAATGTATGCCTTAGTCTACTCAATGCTAGCAGGAGCTGTATCCTTCGTTTAGCCTGTTAATCGCTTAGGCTGCACCCTTGATGGAAGACTGCGCATTTTGATTCCCGGTCGGGGCGAAACCTTAGGCAAGTTTCCTTAACTCCACACACCTCTGTTTACCCAGCAGTAAGTAGCAACCCGGTTAGTCGATCGCTTTCCGGGCATAATAATTCCTCAAAGAAAAAGAATGTGGTCACTCAATCCACGGCTGTTCGTGGGACACTCCTGTCCACAATTAGCTGCCGCGTTTCGCCCACAAAGTGTAGAGTCAATTCACTTCACAGTATGTCGTGTGAAGCGCTTTGAGACGTCTCGAATGCAAGGATTATTATTATGGTTAATATTGTCTTGATAAAGAATTGCACAGAGTTTAGGCCCTCTTGTTCCAGATTGCTCAATATACCTTCTTTCTGATCTCCTTTCACAGGGACTTCCTGGCCCATTGGGTTTGAAAGGCAATCAAGTAAGTACATTGTTCAGTTATCCTACTGAGAAGTAAACAAAACCATTTAACTGATTTGCAAATGCCTTTGTCACATTTCCACCTTGTTTGTTCTTTTCTTTTCTGACAGGGAGATAGAGGAAATCCTGGAGAACCAGCCAAAGGGGTAATTTTTTGACCGTTGAAAGGTTTAATTGTGTGAATTAGTAATGGCGACTTCAAATCCTAAACGGCAATGGCTGGAGTAATCCGAAGTGCATCACGGGAATCCCGGGAACTCCAAGCTGGAAAGAAATAGCATTGGAGCAGATCTTTTCTCTGGATACGGGGCTAGGGTGGGTTGGGCTTGAGATACAGATCAGCCACGATTTTATAGAATGGCAGAACAGGCTCGAGGGGGCTGAATGGTCTAATCCTGTCCCTTCTGACTTAAAAGCGCTGTACAAATAAAGTTTGCTGTTGTTGTTCCTATGATTCCTTGTTTCTGTGGTCACCACAGCAACCTTTCCAGAGTTACCAGAGATCATTTGTGACTCACTGTGACTATTTACGATTATGAATCACTGATCGTTCAACCCTCTTATTACCGTCCTCTTGGGAGTGGTCTCCTTGGAGCTGAACTGGAACGTCAGAATCGAGCCAGACCTCTACGGTGGTCTTGTTAGTCCTGTTCCTGAGCCAGGCGGGTCTGCAGTATTCCAGGGCATTGCTGGTGATAGCTCATCAGCAGGACCTGAAAGGGCAGACCAGTCATTGCCTTTCATTGGATTTAGCATCATTTTCTTTTTAATCAGCCGGGTGTTTGCACCGTGCACCCATCAACATCATAGCAAAGAGAAGCTATTTTGTCACAATAAACATTTTGTTGACGTATGTGTGTTTTATTCAATGTAGGTTATAGGACCAACAGGCCACAAAGGTGCTCGGGTAAGTAGAGTTTAATCCTTTGCATTGATCCAAACCCTGAAATACTGTGTTCATTTAAACACTGCTGCTACCTTAACGTGTTCAACGAGGCTCCTTGTTAGAATTTCTCCTCTTTATGAAGGAGGAAATTTTGCTTGATGCGCAATAAACTTGCTTTTGTCAGCCATTTTGTTGCAATCAGAGACTGCTCTTCTCTCCTTCCTTTACCACCTCCCCCCCCCTCTACTTTTATCTCCATGTCCCTCGCCCGGCCCGCCTCACTATCAGCAGTCGGGCCTTCAGCCTCTCTGCCCCACCTTTTGGAACTCCATCCCACAGTCGCTTCACCTCGCTCCCTCCCTTGCCTCCTTCAAGGGCCGTCTCAAGACCCTCCTCTTCCACCACGGCTTCAGTCGTTCTCCTACCCCCTACCCTCCACCCCTCTTGATCCCAAATCCCAGCTCGGTACCAAATCCTGTCCAGCGCCTTGGGATGTGCCTCCCGATGTGGAAGGCCCTATAAAAAATTATGTTGTTGTTGTTTGTGTGCTAGTTAACTTCTGCATAAACCTCTTTCCTAATGTAGTTAATAGAGTTTTTTTTATCATATATGTATATGTATAAAAAATCCTTGTGCATTTTTGTGATCAGGGAGATATGGGGCCATTTGGTCCACCGGGACCTCAAGGAAACCAAGGGATTCAAGGGATCAAAGGAGAAAAGGTAAAGAGGTCATTTAATCAACTTGTTTTGTGATTTCTACATCTCAGCAACACAGACCTGCACACTGATTTGATTGAACCGACTATCTTGGAGCAATTGCAACCTAATTTCTGGAGTGAAATGACCATTTATATTAATGTCATGTGCGGGTAATTTGGTAATCACAGTTTGTAAACTTGCCAGATAGTGATCTATCCAGTTTGAGCTGGTTAGACACCAGCAGTTACCCAACGCACACTCTGGGGTCCCCAAGCCTTGGCTCTTGCCAACCTGCGCCTAATACTTTCTGGAATTTGGTCAGCAGGATGTGTCCCTCCAGCGAGAGAGTACATTCCATTCCAATAATCTCTCTCTGGGATTTCCATGTGTAGGTGGGATGCAGGGAATTCTCAGCTTGGTTTGGATACTCTTAAGCACGGTGATGGGTTTCTCCACGTGTCAGACACCCAGCTGACCAAAAAAAATGTTAATTACAGTAAACTCCTCGTAACTCGTCTCTGCAAGGGAAAGGGCTTAGTGACTAGATATCCGGAGTGGCTAAGTTAGGCATAGATCCTCCTGGGCCACAAGGGGCGCTGTAAGTGATGCCCTCCTAAGTCAGGAGTGTCAGGCTGGCTCGGCTGATGGTACTCTCACTTCTGAGTCTGAAGGTTGGGGGTTCAAGTCCCATGTGGGACTTTGACGTGAAAGGTGCTAATCAAATGCAAGGATTATTAGAATTAATGTTCCAATAGCCTTTGAAAATTAGGATTGTGAAGCATTTTGGAAAATTCTTAGATTCAGTTCCAGTTTGGAAGATAGTTTCCACAGATTCTTTTTAAGACCTGTGGAAAACCAACTTCCAGTTTATAAATAACTCCACATGATCCTAAATTGTAGACAAATGGAGAGATGGAGATGTAATGATTGACCGTCTTCTCTTCCATTAAAGGGCAGCCCAGGGTTTGGAATTCCAGGCCAACCAGGCCTAAAAGGAGAGCCAGGGGAAAGGGTAAGTAACAAAATCCAGCTGAAAACTTTAGTCCGATGAGGTAAGAGGAGACATTTTCCGTGTGGGGGAATGTTGAACAAAAATTGGTTTTGATGTCCCTGAACTGGTTCCCGTCTCAAGACCCTACTTTTCGACCACACCTTTGTTTACTCTCCCACCCCTACCCCACCCTGCCCTCCACCCCTCTTGATCCCAACCCCCTGCTCCGGTCCAAATCCCTGACGATCCAGTGCCCTGGGACCTCCTCCTGTTGTAATTTGTTTCTGTTGTTGCCAACGGATTAAAGAGAAGCCAAGAATGCCATCGTCTCAAGGCAACAGGAGATGGGCAAAAAATATTTGTCCTCCGGGCGTCGCTCAAGTCCCAAATCTGTCACACTTTTGATATTGTCATCGTGTCAAATGGTTATAAAGTATTAGTTCCAAAGCTTCGCTTACCATAATAACATGCAAACTTATAAAGATGCCCTTCATTTCTTCACAATGCTGTTATCTACACGTTATTTCAACAGGGCAACGTTGGTTTATCAGGAAGGCCGGGTGAGCTGGTAAGCTTGAATTATCACTGGCAACTTCATTGATGTTTTATGCGGATTTACCTTCTGCAAACAGTTCACCAGTTGTCGAAAAGGAACAAGAAAAGAGTATGGAGTTCTGCAGAGTATTGGTTAGAGCACTCGCCTCGCAAGTGAGAGCACCCGGGTTCGATTCCCGTACAGGGTGAAACCTTAGGCAAGTTTCCTTAATCCTTAATCCACACGCAGTAAGTAGGAGCCGGTTAGGGTTAGGTTGTCAGTTGATAGGCGGATCGTTCTTCTGGGGGTAATAATCCCTTAAAAAAAAATTCTTAAATAATAATTTGGTCACTCAATCCACGACTGTTTGTGAAACACCACTGCGCGTAATTGGTTACTGCGTTTTGCCCACAAAATATTCAGTCAATTGACTTTACAGTATATGCTGTGAAGCACTTTGAGACGTCTTTAAGACATGATAAAGTGCTATACCAAATGCAAGGATTATTGTTATTAAGTGTAAATGGGAACTATTCCTCTTCAAATAGGGTGAAATCGGAAAGGATGGGGAGAAAGGTGACCTGGGAGACACTGGAAAACCAGGACCAACAGGACTAAGAGGTAAAGATGTAAGTAAAACTTAAAGGCTAAACCGTCATGACATCGCTAATGAACATCAAGGAGACTGACGGAGGACTATTAAAAATGGGAATGGTCAACAATTGTGGCATTTTCCACAACAGGATACTGGTTACAAAGTCCCTTTGCAACCTTGGAGCTAATAGGTTCCTGGGCTGACCACTTTAGTCAATATTGTTAATCAATTGGCGGATTGCTTTCCGGGGATAATAATCCCTTCCAAAAAAAAAATTAAATGACTAATTTGGTCACTCTATCTACCACTGTTTGTGGGACACTACTGTACACAATTGGCTGTCAAGTTTCACCCACAAAATATACAGTCATTCCACTACTGTATTTCCTCTGAAGAGCTTTGAGACGTCTGAATGACGTGATAAGGCGTTATATATCAAATGCAAGGATTATTATTTTCATTATAATATCTCTCTATTCTACTTAAGCACTCTAAAATGCTGTTCAGTGCGAAGGCCGCTATATAAATGCAAGTTGTTGTTGATGTTATAGTGTGACATTGAATTAAAAAAACATATTATAACAATGGAGCTACTCAGAAATTTCAGGATATTTGAACTAAAAGGTTTACTGCTTGCTGTATAACTTTTTAAAACTATTCCCAATGTTAAAAAAAGTTCTGTTTCTTCTCGCTATATCGAATGCAAGGATTATTATTATTAGATTATAATTCTGCAGGTTTATATTTGCAGCTAATAACAATTGTGTAATGCAATCTTCATGTATTGTTTCTACCAGGGTGAAAAGGGGCATAAAGGTGAATTGGGATTGAAGGTACGGCTTGTTTGTTTGACTATCGTGTTTATTAATGTGAACGTTTTATAAAATAAGACCAATTATTTTAATATGATTGTCGTGGACCTGCTAACACATTGACCTTTGTTCCAATTCAGGGTGAATTGGGCCCTCCAGGTTTTCCAGGGGAGAGAGGAATACGGGTAAAATTAAATTGATTTCTTTGATCTCCTTTTGGTTTCGGCCCTTTTTATTTGCGGGACCTCCTACAAATGTCTACCTGTCCAGCCACTCAACTCCGCTCAGCGAACCCTGACCTCCTTAATGTCCTCTGCCCCTGCCCGATCTGTCATAACAGCCACGGGTGAGCTTCCACACTCTCTCTATCCGCCTTGCCCCTTTGCTCCCCACCTTTAAGGTCATCCTTTTCTCTCCTCAGCTCCCCCCAGCCCCAGCTCGGGCTCACAGTTAGCTGTGGCAAGCAACAACAACAACATCAAGATTACATTTGTATAGCACCTTTCACGTCAGGAGGCCCTGGGGAAGCAAGGGGAAGACCAGTGAAACGAAAATGACTGAAAACTAACGGGCACGTCAATTGATGTTTTCATTACAGGGACCGTTGGGTCTTCCCGGTCGTCAAGGAGAAAATGGAGCAAAAGGGGATTCAGGAAATCCTGGAGAGATGGTATGTTCCAATCTTGTGACTGTATTTTATGGTGTATTTATGGTGTTCTTCTAGGGCGAGGACTGCTTACCTGATCTGAGTGGTGACTCACTCTTACCTCAGGTCGAGGATTCTCCACTTCTGCCTTAAACTCAATCATAAGTTATTGTCTGCTCCTCATCTAAGACCTCGGGCTCGGTCAGACCCGTTGTTGGGGCAGAATGAAGAGAGTTTTATTCTACATTTAATCTGTGCTTACTGATCTGACTGTGAGCTTTCTATTTCTCAAAGAAGAAACCTGCCCGCTCGCTGCCTCTTCTCAGTGGCTAGTGGCCTGCTCCATGTCCCCTGCCCTGCCCGCTCCACCATTGGTAGTCAGGCCTTCAGTCTTTCTGCCCCCACCCTCTGGAACTCCCTCCCAGAGCCTCTCCACCTCGTCCTCTCCCTCGCCTCCTTCAAAGCCTGTCTCAAGAACTTTGAAGACCTTTCTCTTCAAACATGCCTTTGGTCATCTTCCCACCTGCCCCCCATCTTGCCCTCCACACCTCTTGATACCAATCCCCAGCTTGGGTGCTAACCCTTTACTGTCCAGCTCCTTGGGATGTCATCCAGATGTGAAAGGCGGTGTATAAATGCAATTTGTTGTTATTGAATATTCTTAAGAGTTATTAGACATAACTTTATTTTGTCTTTCAGGGAGTACACGGTCAAAAAGGCCCTAAAGGAGATAGAGTAAGTTCTTTGTCCACATTTTTTCTGCTGAAAACCGTATTTTGTCCACGAACCAAATCGTTTTTAGGCAAGTTTGGTGACTGTGCGCTAATTGGAGTTCATGTCATTGCAGGGTAAACCAGGGATCCCTGGGCAGCCAGGATCAACAGTAAGTATTTGTTACTTGGATTTCACACTGGATTGATTGTAATCAAATCACAATGGACATGATGCAAGGTGACACAAGACAGCCAACGTCAGAGAGGGAAGATGAAGTTGGAGTTGAGTGGGGCAAAACAAAACAAAGCAAACGTTATTGCGTATATGTAAAAATTATGATTAAAAATTGAATTCCAAAGGAGGGCCATATCAGAAGGATGACGCTGTTTCTTGGAACTAAATGACCTGCTCCTGTTTTGATTTCGAATTTTAATTAGTTTATTCTGCATCCGCTGCATTTTTGGCTTATTTCTGTGCTTTCTCTTGCGTATTGCAGGTCACTGTACTGGACAATAATGGTGTTATTAAGGGCGAAAAGGTAAAAACAAAATAACACAAAAAAAAATGTTACGTAATAATGCATAATAATAATCCTTGCATTTGATAAGGCGCTATATCAAATGCAAAGATTATGATTATTATTATTATTATGTTCATTTGTGAATGTATTGTTTTCAGGTAAAGGGCATAGAAATGGATATACAACAAATGAGTTTGATGCAATACCCTGTTTGGGCAATATGAGAGAGGGATTCTTCCCACCTGTTAACTTGCAAGTCAAACTCCTGATGGATGGTCCTCGCTGAACAAGTATCGGGAAGCTTGCTAGATAGTACTCTCAATGGCAAGCTATGCAGTTTTAGCCGGCTAAAATTCTCCAACACACGCCAGGTTGCCAAAGCAAACCGAGCCTAATTCTCTCCAGAATTAGGTACTGAGCGTGTGGTGCGTCTCCGAGGAGTGAGTGTGCATTACATTCCAGACACAGGGAAAATTAATTAATGTTAATTAATTATGTGGAACACGTATGTGGAACTCTCAGTGTGGTCTGGATACTCTTAAGCATGGTGATGGATTTCAAGATGTGCCAGACACCTGGCTGACCAAAAAAATAGAGATATTAATAGTTATTAATAGTTATTTAAGACTGAAATAAAGGAAAACTCCAAACAGGGCAGCGGAGTTTATTGTGACAGGTTCTACGTACTGTACCACTAGATACAACATTAAATCGAACATTAACTGTGAAATCATTGTCGTCAATCCTTACACTGTTGTCCCACAGGGTGACATTGGAGATCCTGGTCAACCAGGTCTTAAAGGCGAGCAGGGAAACCCTGGCACTGCTGGCCCTCCAGTAAGTATCTGTCTCCTTCATGTTACACCTCACCAATGTAGAGTGCTGCAAGCGAGAGGACCCGGGTTCGATTCCCGGACCGGACGAAACCTCTGTGTGCCGAGCAGTGAGTAGGAGCCCGGTCGTTGGCCGATTGGCGGATCGCTTTTGTAATGCAGATGTTATCATTGCATCTTGCGCTTGTAAAACGAGCTCAAAGACTCTTCACACAGACATGTGTCCGTCAGCGAACGACATACTGTATATCGCTCCTTTAAGCACCTTTCATCAGTGGTGTTACTTGCTGTTTCCACGATGATGACTTAAGGTGCTGCAGTGGCTAGCAATCGCCATGGATATACGTCTAAACCAATTAAGTAACGAGTCAGAATACGTAAAGCGACGGTGTCACCATGGGAACATCGTCTGAGACACCAGGAACCTGATACACTGAGGTTGAACAAGGGCCTCGTTGCTTGAAACACGACAACGACTTGTGTTTATGTAGAGGCCTTCAGGCCGGACGGCGTCTCGGAACGCTTTTCGACAACGCTACCAATTCACTGTTTTACCTTCCAAGAAAATGAGTAAGATTAAAAATATCAAGGTCACTTGAAAAGTTACGACATCTCCTGGGTCACAAGTATGTCCAGCATGGCTGCTCGCAAGATTATTTTGGATGAAGAAGGACATCTGAGCTCATCCTTCCACACCACCCACTCTACCATCCTCCCATCACAGCAGCAAGCTGCTCCTTAAAATGAGTACCAGTGTCCTGCCTCTAACTACCTTGCCTGGCAATTCTGTTCCGATCATTAATTGCTCTCTGAGTAAAGAAAAACTTACCGGTATCTGACCTGAAATTGCACTTTGCAACTCTAAACCTAAGTCCTTCCTCTCTGTTCTATTGCCTTGCCCTACAGTATTGTTCTGGGTTTACTTTTTCAATCCCATTTAAAGTTTTACGCACCTCTTTGAGGTCCCATCTGAGTCAAACGAGAGGACCCGGGTTTGATTCCAGGGCAGGGTGAAACCTTAGGCAAGTTTCCGTACTCCACACGCCTCTGTTTATCTAGCAGTAAGTAGGAACCCGGTTGTTAGTCGATCGGAGGATCGCTTTTCCGGGGGTAATAATCCCTTCAAAAAATAATAATCATATTAATTTGGTCAGTCAAATCCACGACTGTTTGTAAGACACTGCTGTGCGCAATTGTCTGCCGCATTTCGCCCACAAAATATACCATCAATTCACTTTACAGTGTATTCTGTGAAGCGCTTTGAGACGTTTCAATGACATGATAAGGCGCTGTATCAAATGCAAGGATTATTATTATTATTTAGAGAGCAAAGCCAACTATGTCTTTATGGGAATATTTCTCCCCCCTGATTACTGTGCAGGAGAAAATCAGGAATGAGGGGGTGTTATTAGGTAGAATGAGGTCAGTGTTTGTTTGTCTGGGGAAGGACTAGATGGTCTTTATCTTGTTTCTTATATTTCAGGGTGCAGGAGGTCCTCCAGGACCACCGGGCAATAGAGTGGTAAGTTGAAATTTTGCTAAGTTAACAACTGAAATGTATATTTTCTTCAACTACAACAATACATTCAGTAAAACTCGCAAACTTCATAAATCAGATAATCGCCTAAGTCGTACATTCACCCGAGTCCCACTTAGTTTCCTATCAAAACTGGAGTCCTGTAGCTTAGTGGTTAGACCACTCGTCTCATAAGCTAGAGGACCTGGGTTCGATGAGATCCGTGATAAGGCGCTATATCAAATGTATGGATTATTTCTATTATTATGATGGCAATCCGTTTATCCCTGCTGGTGAGAAAACGATCTATCTTAGCTCAATCGTAGCCACTTGGGTGAGATGTCAGAGATTGCTCAGGGCCCAGGAAGCAACCCTACTCACAATCCAGCCAACGTCTTCAGAAGTAAAGAACAGCAGAAAAGGTTTTAAGGACCTTGGAAGGTGAAGAAAAAGCACAGCCGGTAAGCCATGATTTTTTGATGCCCTTCATTCCACCGGAATCTGTACTGGCAGAAATCCGGATTTCAGTGAAATGAGGAACATTAGAACATGGATCCAACGAAGGAGTGTTGAGCTTGGAACGGTTGGATTTGCGTCGACACATGTCCAGAGACCGACAGGTTCTGTCAACGATCTACGTAAGGCATATCGAAGCACTGTTAACATCGAGCCTCAAAGAAACACCTACAGCTCCATGCATTGTTGTATTTATTACAACATCAACCTACGTATGTGGCAATTATCATGTCTTCTATTTAATGAAGCTAAGAGACCAATATTGTGATAACGTTACTGACAATGTCAGGGAGCAGTGGGATTTTGAATGCAATCCAACCAGTAACTAAGGCATTGTATAGCACTGTTCACATCAAGAGGACCTCCCAAGGCACCCAACATCAACGTCTTTTATTGAACGCAAAAAGAATCCCGCAAAAAGAAGGAAAGATTTTCAGATCTTAACCTGATATTATGCGATCTGGTGTTTTTCAGGGTGCCCCTGGAACACCAGGAAGAAATGGTATCAAAGGTTCCTCTGGACCTCTTGGGCCAAAGGTAAGTTCACAGTTCTCAGTGGGAGATAAAACACCCACATTCTTCTGATCTCGCTTCTCCCCCTCCAATCCATAACTGCAATCCATCTAAAGCAGCTTTTGTGCCCTTTCTTTTAATTGTATTTCTCTCTGTTCTGGGAAAATCGCATTCATGCATACGTACTAATAAATAATAATATTAATCCCAACATTCGGTGTAGTGTAGTGTAGTGCCTTCCACGTCGGACTTCGGGAAGATATCTCCAATGATTGATATTGTAAATATCATTGTAAAGTGGAGTGACTGTGCTTTTGTACACACATACCCATACACACACACACACACACCAACACATACACACACTCAAGTCCAGTACCATTAGCAGAAACTATCAAAATACAGTATTTCAACATTCCAGACAGAAACTTTGTTAGATGTATTTTGAAATTCACAGAACAGTGGAGGGTGGTCAAGGGATTAATTGGCCCGTGTTTTGATTAATTTTTCTTTATTGTCTATTCAGGGTGAACCTGGAAAGAAAGGTGAACCAGGCGAACAGGTAAGAGCATTTAACAGGCGTTGCTAGAGGAGGAGTTTAGTTGTTTCGTGTATAAAATGAGCATTGGGTGGAAAAAATCAATTTCAGCTCAACCTGACCAGTCTTATGAGACTAAACCACATCATACTACAAAACAACAACAGATTACATTTTGTGCAGCACCTTCCATGTCGGGAAGACGTCCCAAGGCACTGGACAGTCAGGGATTTTGACCCGAGCTGGAGGTTGGGATCAAGAGGGGTGGTGGGCAGGGAAGGTGGGACTAAGAGGGTGACTGGCGGTAGGGTTGAAAAGGAGGGTCTTGGGATGGGGCTTGAAGGAGGTAAGGAATGGAGAGAGGCGGAAGGACTGTGGGATGGAGTTCCAAAGTGTGGGGACAGAGAACGTCATGCTGTGAGAGAGCATGTTTGCCTCCAACAACACAAAAAACAACTGTATCCTGTGATGTATTGATCTCAGTCTGCAACTGTCTATGTAGTGTCCTCAATTGATCAGTATGCAGTTATTTTTTTGTGTGAAGAATTGAACCAATGCAGCATTGAAGTGTTTTTGTTGAGACTTACGCCTGCATGTTCAATAATGCACAAAATTAATAATTTAAATCTCTGTTTGAGGCTTTTCAAAATAAAAACAATAGCCTCAGGTGCATCTCTCACTCGCTCAGTCGAATGACCTGCTTACGTCTATCTACCTTGTCGTTATTTTAAACAAAAGAGAGGTAATGAACATCCCTGTTCTTTTTTTTCCCCACATCAGCTCCGTTGCTATCAGCTATTACAAATAGTCCAGATAACTAACACCTATTTCACCACAAGTAGTTGTTTGAGCGTAGGAGGGGAGGCGGTTTGTACGCTGTCAGAAGTCAAAGATTGTCAAAGAATATACAGCACGGAAACAGGTCACACAGTTCAACCTGTCCTTGCCGGGGTTTATATTCCACATGAGCCTTCACCCACTCCTTACTCCCTCCCACACCCTTATATCTCCCACTTCCTCATGTGAAGGACTAAGTTCCTCTTTAATGTATCAACATTATCTGATTCAGCCACCGCTTCAGGCAGCGAGTTCCTCAATCTCACTGCCCTCTGTGACGTGGTCCTCCTGTTAGATCCCCTAGTCGTTATCTTTTATTTGTGTCCCCTGGTTACAGACTTTTACACTCTGTCGCTTCTATTCTTACTACATTTTCTGAAGCAAAGTATTCATTTAGTATTTGCACCATTTCCTTATTATTTGCTGTGAGCTTTTCGCCTTCTCCTCTGAATGGCCCTATCCCTACTTTAACCATTCTTGTATGCCGACATGCCTACAGAACATCTCGCTATTTCTTTGGCTACTTTAATGTTATCTTCTAATACAGGTATTGGTCGGACAAAACGGTTATCCAGGGACTATTGGTCCCACAGGACTCCCAGGATTTCCCGTGAGTACATTACTGTAGATTTGCTGGAGTCCATATTGCCAATATACAATCTATCTAACACTTCGGAGTCTGCCAGTCAATGTTTAAGAGATGCTGCACTGTACAGGTGTTTAATAGTGCACGCCATTAGTTATTTATTTAACTACCTTTGTTTCACCACGTTTGAACCTTTCCCCGAGAGAAGAGCAGAAAAGAAATAACAAGTGGGAAGAAATTCCACTTGAATCTGGATTTACTCTGTTTGCATATCATTTCACGTGTATATTATAATTTTTTTTATTATTATTGCTCTCACTATCTGAGTCAAATACACTACCATATTATTACTATTATCCAGAATTTGGCCAATTCTTGAATAGAGCCTTAATTTTGAATCTTGTTTTGAATGTTCTTTTAACAACAGTACGAAAAGCAAACATCAAATTTTAGGCTGAATTCAACAGTTTGACAAATTCTGGATGCCAACTTTCATTGTAAATCCTATCACAACAGTAAGTCTAGACCAAGATGAAATTTCTCCACAAGCATTTGCTAGATTACAGACACTTAACATTGGCTCTTACAGAAAATAGCAGATGCATGATTAAAAAATCCTGCAATGTCATTTCTCTCCTTGAAAGTTCAGTTGATAATTTCGGAGCAATGAAATCATGAATTCTAGTTGGCTCTTAGGATGGATTATAGATTGTATACAATGGCTCCCAATCAATGTCTTTTCTCCATATCAAACATCCAGCGAGTAATAAAAATAGATGATAGATCTTCACCTTATTTCAAATTGTTCAGCAAGTTTCAATGTTGCTTTGCAGGGAAAGCCCGGGCTGCCAGGGAAAGATGTGAGTTGTGATGTACAATATTTAATTAACTGGCGTTAAAATAATAGTCCTTCCTTGCAATCTTTGCATTTTGATGCAATGACTCCTCTCCATCGACAAATGGTGACTCACCACTCACTTCCAGCCGGTGGAGAGAGTGGTGAGCTCCAGTTGGTACTCTGTTTACCTAGCGGTAAGCAGGAATAATTTGGGGTCTCAATCCACGACTGTTTGTGGGACACTGCTGTGCGCAATTGGCTGCCGCGTTTCGTCCACATTTAATATACGGTCAATTCATTTTACAATATATTCTGTGAAGCGCTTTGAGACGTCTTGAAGACGTAATAAGGCGCTATATCAATTGCAAGGATTATTATTATTATTACTACTTGTTTCATATTTGATTAAAAAAACTGTTTAGTAGTCTAAGAACATATACAATGAGAAGAGATAATTTGGCCTATTCCTCTTCCTCCTTCTAACGAACCGCAGGACAGAAAAGCGGTTTCAAAGTTGAGACTGAATTCAGCAATTTGCCAACCTCTAAAACACCACATAAGGGTAACTGCAAAACCAGATGGAATCTTATCCCAGTATTTCATTTGTCTTTTGGAGAGAAGTTACTAACTACAGAGAAAACATCCAAGAGAAAACCCTGAAATCTCTTCCCTACCCGAACTCCCAATGTCAATTTAACATCAACCTGCGTTAAGAATCACAATGAGGAGAGGCTAACTGTTAATAATGATCCCGCATCGTTCTGGACATGGATGAAGTTGACAACCATATTTTATTTTCCTCTCTTCGACAGGCTGCAAAGGGTGATCCAGGCTTACCGGGGAATGATGTAAGACAGAGTCAATTTCAATGATATACAATTGAAAAAGTATACTGAACAAAGCTGGGAAAATAGTTTGCATTGAGAGCATTTCTGTCTATTACTAAGTGGCTACTGGATATTTTTTAAAAAGCTAGGATTAGGCTTTAGTAATGAAACATATGCAGACGCTAATGTATGTATGTAACGATTTGAGGCGTCTCAACGACGTGATAAGGCACAATATCAAATGCAAGGATTATTATTATCTATCGCAAAGCATGGGGTGCAGGTTTGCTCTTCTGTTCCACCAAGTTTGTTACTGTTACAGTGGGTGGTAATCTTCTGGATGTTGGGGTTGAACTATGTCATTGGGGTAACTGAAACCAATATAAAATGTTCCAGTAATGGTGAAATCTATTTAGAATGCATCCCTGGATTTATGATGGTTTCTTCTCAGACCACAAAGACGTTCATTCGTTTCATTGATGTTCGTGGGACATTGCTGTGTGCAAATTGGCTACCGAATCCGACTACAAGATATATAGTCACTACACTTCACAGTAAAATCTTTATGACCCGTTTTGAGACGTTCCTTCCAATATGAGAGGCACTGTATCAAATGTGAAAAATATTATTATTATCATTATTATCGTTCTCTGTCCTTTGTTTTTAGGGTAAAGATGGTATGAAAGGAGAACCAGGATTGCCTGGGCCTCCTGGACTAACGATCTCCTCAGATCCTCTTATACCCTCTAGTGAGGTAGGTGAATTGTACCATCCTTAGGATTATTATAAAAATGTCTTTAATGATGGATCGGCAACAGAGGAGAGAAGATAATCAAGAACTAGTTAGATTCTTGTCAAACTTGAGTTTTAAAAGCCTGCAGCTTGTTGGGTAGAGGGTGGGGAGGTTCAAAGCAACAGTGACCATAGTAGTACTATAGAGACAGTCGACAAAGTAAAGACCAGAATGGTTGAATTTAAGAGACATTTACATGGCTTTTTTAAAATTTGTCATTTAACTTCAAAGCAGCACGTGCAAGAGGGGAAAGTCTGAAAATTCCTGACTAATGTAACGTCCCTCTTGCAATTCAAGACAAGAAATACGTTTAATTGTACGCTCTTTTTTGGGGGCAGGGCGTGATTGGGATTCCTGGTTCTCTGGGGATGAAGGTGAGTCTTCTTTAATACGTTGCACCTAGTCGACCTCGCGTAACATTTGAGCCGTCCACCATTACAGACCTTAATTCCTCACATCTGCTGTTTTATACCGCAGGGTGAAAAAGGAGAAAGGGGGTTGAGAGGTGAAAAGGTAAGGACATGTGGATTGATAGTTCAAGTAATTGTTTACCAGCGACCGTGAGGTTTTATCTCACTGTAACTATTAGTCCATCTCCCTGATTAGTATCACATGCTTCCACCCCAAAGTGAAAGCACGAGAAGTTTCTAATACAGACAACAGAACATCAGTTTTGAGGGAGATAGTGTGAGCATCCCTGGTAAGAACGACTTTGGGTTTCCCTGCAAGTTTATGTTCATGTTTTTCATATTTATATTTGATATTAATATTTGCCAGGTCAGGGTATTAAGAGATACGGGGCAAGGGCAGGTAATTAGACTTGAGGTACAGATCAGCCATGATCTTATGGAATGGGGGAGCAGGCTTAAGGGGCTGAATGGCCTCCTCCTGTTTCTAGGTTTCTATTAATGAGCTTTGACTGAATAAATTGTTCCCTGGACTTCTGTTCACATTCTCTCTCCTAGTATTTATCTAATATACAAATACATTTCACCATTTTCTAGGGTGAGTCTGGACAACAAGGAAAAGGAATTGATGTCAAGGTAAGATATGCATGAATAAGACCCATATAAGTGGGAGCCCTGAGACTTTGAGTCAGAAAGTTCTGGGTTCAAGCCCCATGTTGGGACTTGGAACCCATATAGGCTGACACCCTAGTGCGGTGCTGGGTGTGTGTTGCAATGTCGGAGGTGCCGTCCTTTGGATGAGGTGGTAAACCGAGGTCTTGTCTGTTCAGGTGGACGTTAAAGATTTCATGGCACTCTTCGAAAATAGAAGGGAGTTTCTTCCAGTGTCCAAGTGAACATTCCCCCAGATAAAATTGGTCACTCACTACATGGCTATTTGTGGGACATTGCAATGTGCAAATTGGCTGTTGTGTTCACCCACAAAATACAGACTCACTATACTTTACAGTATATTCTGTGAAGCGCTTTGTGACATCTCAAAGACGTGATAAGGCGCTATATCAAATGCAAGGATTATTATTATGTCCTGTGAAATGCTTTGAGACGTCCTCCTGATGTGGAAACAGCTCCAATTCAGTCAGTTTCTATGTATGAGAGAATGACTGAAGAATAAGATTACAATAATATATTTGGAAGGTTATTATTGTACGTATGAAAGACTGACTGAATTGGAACTTTTTTCTAATGGAACAAAAAGAGGAGTTTAAGGTTCTGAAGGGGATTGACAAAGTGAAATTCACGCTTAATGTTTTTTGTTGCAGTGGTCTTAAGGTTAAAACCATAAGTAATTTCAGGCTTTTGAAGCTAACACCTGCTGTTTGGATCATTTGCCAATCCCCAGCACCAATATCCCACAATATTCACCAAACTAACCTTAAAAAAGCTTACCTTCTTAGCAAATATCTAGCTGTATACTTGTCTGTGCTGAACATTTCACATCCTCTAATGTTGATCTCTTTCTGAATTAACTTTTGTCTCTTTATTCCCACAGGATTTGGAGAAACTTTTCGAGATCTATGGTATTAAGGTACGTGGATGAATTAATGTGTTGTTGTTCAGATTCTCAACTGCTCATGTAAATTAGAAGCCCAAGGGTAAGACCACTTAATAATAATAATAATCCTTGCATTTTATGTAGCGCCTTTTCACATAGTTCAGTCTCAAAGTGCATCACAGAATATATTGTAAACTGTATATTTTATGGCCGAAACAAGTAAGTAAGACCAAATCTGCCCAAATTTGTTTTCTCCAATTTTTGGCCTCCTTTTTATGAAGATGTTGACTCACTCTGGAGTCGTTTCCGTGGGCCTCGGCATTCAGTTCTCCGGTTGTGTGTCTAAATGTTCATACACCCCGTGTGACCTTCGGCAGTGAATGTCAGAAAGATCTCCGAGACTCCGTCTGGCTTGAAGGGCGCTATATAAATACAAGTTGTTGTTCTTCTTGTTGTATTTGACCAAGAAGCATCTCAAAGTTAAACCAGATCCCTTTCTCATCTCATACTCTATAGAAAATGCAAGGATAAGTATTATTATTATTATCATCATCATTATCATCATTTTTACCATTATTATTATTATTACTATTATTATTATACCAGCCAGTATTTTTATTCACTACTGGGAAGCATTGAACATTTTCATTACAGTTTTACATCAAATATTATTATTTAAACAAGGTACTAGTGAGTTTGTCTTGTTTTGCAGCTGTCGCTGCTGAAGGAACTGATCGACCGGCTTCTTCAAGATGATGTGGAGGAGGTGATCCAGCAGCTCACCAGCTCTAAGAAAGACAAAACCACGAGGAAAATCCAGGATTTGAAACAGGTTAAAGAGTTAACAGTGAGTCGTGTTAAATTACATTCCCACATGTCAGGTTAAATAGTGATGTCTTCTTCCTCAGCTCAGTGACGAGACTTCACCTAATAGGAGGGTCTGTGCTTAATTAGTTGATCTTAGTCTGGAGGCCATAGAGACACATAAGAATTTGCAAGATGAAAGTAGACCAAGGTCCATCCAGTTCGCCTTCCGTCATCCTGGCAGTCGCGTGCACAGGATGTGTCCTAAACTGTGTAAGTTACAACTAGCCTCAGCATTTGGGGGAGGGCAAGAAATAATATCTCAGGTTTTCTCAGCGATGGGTCATGTCTGGGTGGGTGTTGTTGAATTGAGGCAAAGGTACTTCCCTCAGTCCCAAGAGAGGGAACGAGAGAGGAAGGTGTTTGACTGTGAATCATTCTTTGACATTCGTGCAAGACCTGACATTCACCTCTCTTTGTTGGAGAATGTTGTTGCAAATCTTAGGAGGAGAAACTTCGAATAATTACTACTAATAATAATCCTTGCATTTGATATCGCGCCTTATCACGCCGTTGAGATACATTGCATTGAAAATTCAGTGTAAATGTGATTGAGTCGATGAGGAGCACTGGTTTTTAGACCCCAGTGAAAGCAAGGACATGGTGGACACTGGTGAAAAGAAAGACTTGTTACTGATGACCAACCTTGGATGTTTAGTGGGTTTGAGTAGAATTAATGAGGGAGTGACGGAGGTCATAATGTCATCTCAGGGGGAGCTGACTATTGTAAAGCGCTGTCACAGATAACGAAACAGCCTGAAACTCTTGGCATCCCTTCGCTCTCTGGCATCTTCCTCACCTCCCTCCCTAACTTGAACGGAAATGTATTTTGTTTGTAAATCCAAGAAGAAAATATGTATATCTACTTATTATTATCATTATTATTATTATTTTTCCTGTTGATATAGGTACAGGACTCCTCACTGAAGTATGACATTGCCAGCCAATCTCTCACCGAAGCTGAAGAGATTGAGGAAGAGTTTGACACAGATGCACAAGATCCCACTCATCTGGATGTAGGTCATATGTTGGGAAGTGGAGATGAGGAGAGTAATATTGGGCACAAAACGAGGGCAGCCAATTGCGCACAGCAGCATCCACATTAAATTGATATCGACAATTATATTAAATTTTAATTTCTAGTGATTTATATTAAATCCGTATTGACGAGATTTATAGGGAAGAACACTGAATTGCCCTGTTTTCCTGAATGCTGTCTGTGGCCTCAGCAGAGTCAGTCACTCCTTGTATTGGTATAATTGAATTTAGAAGAGCAGGACTTTATGGCTGTTTGCTGGACATTCTTGTGTGCACAAAATACACAATCTACACTCTACCGTGCATCCCGTGAAGCACCTTGAGACGTCCTCCTTATGTGAAAGGCGCTGCGTCAAATGGAAATTTTATCATTATTTTATGCGATGTCATTATGCAACAAGAGCAGCATCAAATTACATTTCTATAGCGCCTTTCACATCGGGAGGACATCCCAAAGCACTGGACAGCCAAGGATGTGCACCCGAGCTAGGGATTGGGATCAGGACGGGTCGAGGGCTTGGAGGGTGGGGGTAGGAGTGTGACCGAAGGCACTGTCGAAGAGGAGGGTCTTGAGATGGGCCTTGAAGGAGGCAAGGGAGGGAACGAGGTGAAGGGAATGTGGGATAGAGAAAGGAAAGCCTGTTCGCTGCTATTAAACCATCAGTATACAGAATAAAATCCCACATTTTCAACTAATGTGACCAGATTTGTTTTATTTCTCTATTTTGCACCCATGTTGTCGTCAATGTGTTGTTTTTCTTTCGCAAACAGACTGCGACAACCAATGCCGAAGAAATGGAAAGTAATTTATTGGGAAGAATTTTATTGCCAGACCCGGAAGTTTCCAAAAGGGAACCCGGCGACAAGAAAAAAGGGAAAGAAAAGGTAAGGGTTTGAATGATACAATTTCTTTCAGCGTACCCCTCATTGTAAAGGGTTGAAATGTTACTTGCGAATTGGCAACGTAACAGAGAAGAGCGAGGCATTCTGGAGCAAAGGGAGAGAAGAGAAACAGAAAGGGGAACTCCAGTCTAGAAATTATTTCCGAAGGCAAGGCTACGTTCACCTCGGGGACCCGCTGTACTAGATGGGTCCACCGAGCGGAGCCTGGAGCTTTGTGCAGTCGCCCCTCACTATAACACACGCTGCGAATCACAAACCTGAGCAACAGAGTCGACTATTATGGAACCTGGCAGAGGTTCACATTTCACGGGAACAGTAAACCAGGAAGCCATGCAGCAACTTGGCATCAAGCATAACATGCACGTACCCTACCGTCCCTAAAGCTCAAGGAAGGTAGAAGCAACAACAACAACGCCCTTCACGCTATTGGTTAGAGCACTCGCCTTGCAAGCGAGAGGACCTGGGTTCGATTACCGGGCAGGGCGAAATGTTCATCAAATTTCCTTACTCCGCACGCTTCTGTTTACCTAGCAGTAAGTAGGAACCTGGTGGTTAGTCGATTGGCGGATGCCATTCCCGGGGGTAATAATCCCTTCGCAATAAATAAATGATGTTGTCACTCAATCCACGACTGTTTGTGGGACGCTGCTGTGCGCAATTGGTCACCGTGTTTGGCCCAAACAAAATACGCAGTCAATTCACTTTGCGGTGTATTCTGTGAAGCGCTTTGAGACGTCTCAAGGACGTGATAAGACGTTATATCAAATGCAAGGATTATGATCATTACTATTATCTTAAAGAGAAAGCGAGAGAATTTTGGTGAAGGGTCACACCTGAAACATTGGCCTATCATTCTCTCCCTGTGGTACCCAGTGGGATGGTTGTCAACTCTTAAGATACATCACACTTGCTCGTGATTGCATGATTGTACAAGTGGTGTGTGCCTCATACTGCTCATCTCTCACACTCTCTATCTCTCTCTCTCTCTCTCTCTCTCTCTCACACACATGCCTTTTTGCGTCTCCTCCTCCTGTAATGAATCGCTAACCGGTTTTATTGCTGCATCTTTAAACAGGGAAAGACAAAGACAAGGCGGCACAAAAACAAGCAGACGCCAATGGTAAACCGTGACTCGCTGCGTATTTAAACAAGTCAACCTCGTTATTGTTAAACCAACAAACCAATATCATTTGCCCTTCAGACAGGGTCTGGACCCCGAAGGTTGCTGACAATTTTTGCTTTCTGCATTTAGTGGTAAAGGGGCATCGTCTTGGTGTAAAGAAGTGTTTTATGCAGCTTCTATTTGCTCGGGAGAAAAAGGAGGATTACGGGAACGTACAATTTTGGGGACTTTTCCTACGGGACTCCACGTTGTGCTTAGCGTGCTCCCTCTCTCGCCTCGCAAGCGAGAGGATCCGGGTTCGATTCCCGGGCAGGGCGAAGCCTTAGGCAAGTTTTACTATTCCACGTGCCTCTGTTTACCTAGCAGTAAGCAAAAACTGCTGGCCCAAGATGCACTCCTTGCGTATTTGCATTGAATTTTCCAGGAGACTCAACGCATGAGATGGGATATTCTGTGTTATATTGCTAGATCTTTACAAAATTTTGGTGACATTTGGTTCATTGCTTTATTGACTGTAACAAGAACTCATATTTATGTAACCCATTCATATCAAATAATATCTCAGTATAATAATAACAATAATATCTCAGTGAGGTTAGCAATGTGAGCAGTGGTCACTGAGCAAGACTGGGAGGAATTTTGGAGTGACTAAAGACAAGGTGAAGAAAATAAGTTTGTAGAATTTTAAACGTAGAAAGAGAAGGACTGTGGGGAACTGGTTTTGAAAGATTTTTGAAAGGTGAAAGGCTATAAACGTAAATAAATATATATAAATTTACATTGATATAAAGTCTGTGTGAACACAAGTTATTTTTACTGGGCAAACGGTCTCCAATTTGGTTATTCTTTGCATTTTAGGCAGATAGTTCTGATCCAGGTGATGTGCCACATGACAGTGATGCAGAACTTTACGAAGCAAAGGTAGGCACTCGATTTGCCATCCATTCACCAACAGGAAGATGTAACAAAGTCACACTAGTCCATGAAAGACACACAGTTCATCTTGGCTCTGACTGGCAACTTGTATTGGCCACAGGAGTAAAGTAGGATTGCTGAGCTGGTTGCAAATCAGGAAATTGCAGTTCTTGAAATCCAGCTTCTCGTAGAATCATGGAATCTTACAGCAGAGAAGGAGGCCATTCGGTGCATCGTGCCTGTGTCGGCTCTTTGAAAGAGCTGTCCAACTAGTCCCACTCTCCCTCTCCTATCCCATAGCCTTTACATTTTTTCCTATCCAATTCCTTTTCAAAAATTATGATTGAATCTGTTTCCACCAGCCTTTCGGGCACTGCATTCCAGACCCTAACAACTCTCGGCGTAAAACATTTGTTCCTCATCTCCCATCTGTTCTTTTTGTCAATTATCTTAATTCTGTGTCCTCTGGTTACCGACCCACCCGCCAGAAGAAACAATTTCTCCTTATCTACTCTATCAAAACCCCTCGTAATTTTGAACATCTCTATGAATTCCCCACTCAAACTTCTCTGCTCTAAGGAGAACGATCCCAGCCTTTACTTCATTTTAGCGCGCTTCAGGAGATGTATATTGATCTCTATTCCCTTTCATTTCTGTTCCGAACTGAATACTGCATTACCAAGCTCAGATCATTGCAAACAGGATTTATTTGTGGATGCTCCTGCGCTAGAAAGTAACCGACTTCCAGGTTATCAGGTCCCAGGTGCACGCTGAGCAGAAAGTGATGTCGCCACTGACCTGTTGACTCAGAAGTCGACCACTGGGGGCTTTCTGCATGCTAGCCGGTGTTTTGAAAGGCCAATGGGGTCAACCATCTTTCCGCAACAGAGTACAGTGAACGCAGAAGCACTAATTGGTAATCATGACCCGTTTATATAGCACTAGTTTGGATTTTAGGGCCCGACCCCCAATTACTACATTATAACTGGGCTCTACTTAAGATTTTTAAGATTGAGAGAAGTGGGAGAGAATTACACGTTATAACCACGTAAAGGTCAAATCTGAGTAAGCCTGGTACGGAGAGTTGAACTTGTCAAATCAGCAACTAGTGACTATCCTTGAGGCGGAGGTAAATGGGGTCTCCTTGGAGCTGAACTGGCTCCGAGGCGACAGACTTGGCAACGGCATGTCAGAACCATGTGATGGTCTCTCCAGTCACTGGGGCCAGGGATTCATCCCGCTCAGCTCCTGTTAACCCCACAAACCAAGGCCCTAATGGGTAGGGGATCCTAGCTGGACAAGCAGCAGGAAAGCTGGCCAGAAAAAAAAATCTTGAGTTTTTTTTTAGTTTGAAATGGAGGAACCAGCAACTTGGGAAAGAAACATAATTGTCTATTTTGTGTAAACCGGTCAAAGCAAAGGAAGCAAAGTGCTTTCTTTGCGATTAGAGAGAGTCCCCAGTGCTTAACAGTGAATTAAACCTACTTTCTTTCCTTCGATTTGCACAGGATCATACAAACTCGCGCACAGAACCCGATTCCGATAGAAATTCGGAAAAATGAGCCACCAACCACACACCCCTTGTCACCAAACCAATCGTGTAACATCTCGGAAGCTTTAAAAGCGGGGAAGTTTCGACGAGTACTCTGGACTTCAAAGCAAAAAAACTACCTGTATTCCTTCACCACACTACACAACCAATGCTTTTTACACAAGAAACACATGACACATGGTTTGTAAAATTTGCGAATAGCTAATACGTCGCTGGCTTTAAGCAACACAACAGCGTGAATGGTATAAAATATAGAAATTAGCACATGGGTAAACACTAATTAAGAATTAACTCAAACGTCATAAAAGCCATTCATAATAATCCTTGCATTTGACATAGTGCCTTATCACGTCTTCAAGACGTCTCGAAGCACGTCACGGAGTGTACTGTAAAGTGAATTGACTGCATTTTGTGGGCGAGAGTTACTGGGTTGTTTGGAATAACTGAATGCAATCAATTGCCTCTAAATGGACTGAGTTAAATCATCGAGTCCTGTGTTTCAGCCAATGATATATTAATGCATGCAGCTTTTGTTATTCTGTGAACAGCTGAGGAACTTGTAAGAAGTCAGGTACATTGAAGCTAGTCTGGCTGAACATATTTAATGCAAACAGAATATGGCTCATTCAGCAATGATGCGAGCAGGTGACTGGACTAGATGCTCAAAGCCTACTTAACCTGACATCCTATTTTTAGATTGATTTTAATACGCATCGCAGTAAAAATTTTCACCTAGCATTTCACTTAACTATTGAGGAAACAGCCATAAACACAGAAAAAAAAATAGAAAAAAAGCCATCACTGAAATGATTTTTTTTAAGTATAACTTTTTAATCATAAAAAAGCCCAAACTTGAAGAAGAACAGAGTTTAACTTTGCAGTGTTATTAAGCAATTCTGCTTAAAAAGTACTTCGCCTGATACGTTTTTTTTTTAAAATAACATGCGTGGTGTGATTAGCGCACGATAAAACATTTGAATTTGCGAAAGAAAGAGGACCTTTTTTCAGAATCAAAGCAACCTGTTTCAGGAACACTTTACTTTTCCTCCTGTTCTTTCCGTAGCCATGTAACACAGTGCAGTTTACAGGTTACATTCTATAGAAATTACTTTGATGACCGAGAGCACATTCTCTTTGAGAAGTTTCTCTTTCCTGAACACATAGCGTCTGTCTTCTTTCTCAGTGCATATTTAATGATCACAAGGGGTGTGCAATCAATGTTCATTTAATTACCACTCATCTCCTGAGAACTGGTTTATTCCGGACAAGTGATCAAAATAGAGGTATCCCTGTTTGTTTTATAAAACTAGCCAATAGTTATCATCATCATAATAATAATAATAATAATAATCCTTGCATTTGATATAACTCCTTTCACTAAACCTCGGGAGGACGTCTCAAACGCTTCACAGGATCAATTATAAAGTGTAGTGGCTGTATTTTGTAGGCAAAACTTGTAACAATTAAAAGGCAAAACATGAAGAAACCAGAGTTTAACTTGACAGTGTTATTAATTCCGCTAAATATATACTTTCGCGTATAATAAAGCTAGCCTAATAAGCTGTACTTATAACCTTTTGTTGTGCACCATGTTTAACATGCGGTACATAACAAGCCCTTGCAACGTAACTTGGAAAGAAATACTTTATTCCGTCCCTTTGCTTATGATTAAATTAGTTGGGATTGGGTGGAATTACGGGTTGATCACACTATTCTCCCATTTCGAACACTTGGGTTCCAATCGAGCAGATGCTAAAGGGATCAAAGTTCCCCCTCTCTGTTAGCTGTACGTAACCTATATGAAAGGTCTCAACACACAAACCTCTTAGGATTTGATAATAAACAGCTCTAAGATGCCAACCTTGCTTAGAAACTATAAAATCAATTAATGGAGTAAAATGCAGGCTGGTAGTCGAAAGACATGTTGCCCTTAGATTGGGGAGAATAGAGGAAGCTTTGCTCTCTTTCAGATCCGTGCAATGACTGATCCGAGAGAGCTTAATCCTGGGATTGTGTGATGAAAGTGTTAATCTGTTGTGCGACCCAACCTTCCATAAATCCCTCAAAAAACATTTAAGAACAGTGACTGAGAGCGTGTTAAAAAGGAAAAGCACTGATACTAAAACAAAAAACATTTTAAGCAACACAGCAAATAAGCTAAAACACGAGAATCGATCAAGTCCTCTCTAAATTTCTTAAGGTGTGCGCATTTGAAATAAAAAATGCCTTTTAAATATAAGTAAATTATCTTGTTTTGTATCAGCATTTCTTTGCTAGACTGTGTAAAGCGATATAAAAGGAGAGTTTCTTAAACTTGCATTTTGTACTTGTGTACAGGAAAGAATTAAATTGCCTTGTTTTAAAAAAAGAACTGAATAAACAATCCTGTCTTTAAACAAAAATTCTCGTTGTGAGCTTTATTAAACCACATTTTAAAAATAACATAAATTATTGTAGCCTTGCCATTAGAGAATCCTTTTTAAGAAAGAAACTCACGATCAACACACATTTAAAAGGTCTGCTCTCACCAACAGAACTCCTTGTACAGAGGGAGTGTCGATATCGGTCCTCTTTTTTTTAAAAAAAAAGAGAATTAAACATTACACTTATTTTAACATATCAAAGGTCTATTTGATACGTTGATATGATTTGACAACTCCCCAGATAGAAGGAGGCTCTGGTGGGGCATAAACACTGGCATAGACCCGTCGGGCCCAATGGCCTGTTTCTGTGCGGTGTATTCTAATGTCTTCACCTTTTGTTTGCTCGTGGGACACTGCTGTGCGTAAATCGGCTGCTGTGCCCGCCGACAAACAGACAGTCACTTCACTTCACAGTTAAACACTTGTGAAGCGCTTCTCAAAATATCAAACGTTATTAAATGCAAGGATTAAGTCAGTATTTCCTTCCTGCAATTTTCCACAAGGTACCTTTTACGTAGAGGAGTCTTTTTTGCACTTCTGACCACCATTCTCCCTCTCGTCCGCCACCACAAAATTGCTTGACATTTGTTTGCTAATTATTTTATGCTCAATGCTTCACTGTAATTTCCACTCCGGACTCGAGCAGTACCCCAACATGTATTGTGAGATCCCCAAGCCTTGGTTCTTGCCAACCTGAGCCTAAACCTGTCCAGAATTAGGTAAGCAGGGGATAGAGTATGCATCCCATTTCAGACACGAGTTATTCACCTGCAGGTGGCAAACGTGGAATTCTCAGTCTAGTTTGGAAACTCTTAAGCCTGGTAATGGGTTTCCGCATGCGTCAGACAACCAGCTTGACCAAAACAAAATTTGCCGTCCATTTAGTTGCGGGAGACACAATACCAAAGCTGTCAGCATGACTTCCTGGGGTGAAAATTACAGAGTTTCCCATGTGATAATTGTCACAAGAAGGCACCCAGGAATCAGCAGAGAAACAGAGCACAGAGCTCTCATCAGTGTGATATATTTATCGCAAGCAATGTGTTGTGAAACTCCGCAACTGTAAATAGTGGTTGATAATTGATATTGCACTGTAGTCAAACACTCCTATCACGCGCTCAGAACCTCCATCCTCATGTCATTGTGGTGGAATTATACAAAGAAAAAAACATCCTTTGGTTGAGAAGTTATTTGCTTATTCGTGTAGCTGTTAAAGAACGACTATCTGAATAGACATATGACTTCTCAGCCGAACGTTGGCACCTCCAACAATCCAGTACTCCCCCCAACACTGCACTGAAGTGTCAACTTGCACCATTGGTTTCAGAGTACCCTGACCCAGGGCTCCACCGCACAACCAAATGACCCCACCAGTCACCCAATAAACAGTAAACTCTTCCCATTTCAAAACAGGAGGAACAAAGGCCGTCGGAAACTTCAGAGAAGACTGCAGTGAGAGTGCGTAGGGCGCTCTCAAGGCAAGAATCTCAGGTATTTGCTTTGTCTTGCAATATTAGATGTGGAGACTTCTTATGGAAATCCTTATTCAGCTTGAACAGTGTAGGCAGAACACGCTTTGCTGTGCTTGTAGAGATGCAATACACAGTCAAGTAGTTCAGTCGTAAGAGTGAGAGCAACACAAAAATAACCAAAGGTCGTAAATTAAAATATTAATAATAATCCTTGCATTTGCTACAGTGACTTATCACGTCTTCGAGACGTCTCAAAGCGCTTTACAGAATACACCGTAAAGTGAGTTGACGGTATATTTAAAGAAATTGCGGGATTTCTTAATCGATATCTTAATGCAGAGGGTTATTTATGAAATTAATAGGCTTATCGTTTTAACGGCTCGTATGTTGTCACTTTGTATCACAGACACGTCTACCGGGTGTTGCAGGAATGAGAGGGGTAAGGAAAAGACAAGAGGTAATAATAATACGATATAGCGCCTTATCCCATCGCTGAGACGTCTCAAAGGTATTCAATAACTTTCTGTGATCGGAAGGCATTAAGAGCCCAACATTCTTTCTCAGTAATAACTGGAGGGAAAAGGAACATACACAAAAAAAAATTAACAAATTGTGTCAGCGTCCGTTAACCTCCCTCCGATCTTGCTCTCTTTTACTTCAACGCGAGTTCCTGTCTATCCTTGGCATCTCCCTGTGACATTACAACTGAGCCTGAAATCTCAATGCAGCTGCAACACATTGCACTGCTCGCAGCGTTATTATCTCCAATGTTTCCTTCTCTCCATCTCGACCCTTGAGTTTGACCGTGTGAATGAGCTGAATAACGGTTAGGGGCAGCCATTAAACCAAGGTGATTTAACTGTGATGTAACTGTGTGTTGATTGAGCTTCAGAAGTGCAACCAGGAAACATTATTCGAGTTGAATTAAATCAGTAGAAAACCATTTCAGTTTTGTTCTTGCCGATAATGATACCGTCATAGCAACTTTAGTGAATTATTACCTAGTAATGAAGGCCATTGATTATTGTACATGTATATAAATTGCAGGAGAGATAGAGGCTAAATGCACACACTATTCTATGACTGTTTTGAGTTAGTTTGTTTGTGACTGAGCTGTGCTGTCTCTGTATTCGCCCACACAATATTCCACTTTACAATATACTATCAAGTGCTTTGAGACAACTCAGCAATGTGATAACGACAGCAACAACTTGCATTTATATAGCACCTTTCACCTGGAGTAACATCCCGGAGTGCTTCAATAAGGTACTAAATAAGATACTAAATCAAATGCAAGGATTATTTATTATCTGACTTGTAAGTGGGTAATCTGTCGGAACATCGCACGTTATTCTGAAATAACGTTTCACTTGTTAAGGCACAACAGAAAACGTCTCATCAATTATAATTTTTCTCTTTGTATAATTCTTTCTCAGTCGTATCTCGGTTCCAGAAAGACGAAGAGGGAAAAGGTACACTTTTTAACGAAAAAAAGTCTCATTTAATTATGTCAAGAATCTCACCAAATGTCACTGTTTTTAGCCTCTGGATACTAAAATTCTCATTTTTGTTTTAACAGAATCAGGCCATGATATTCCAGAAAGGTCAAAAGGTAATTTTTTTTTTAACCTCAAATCTTCCAAAGGCAGAAATGGTTGCAGCCACGAGCAGAATTCCCGGTACATTTGTCGAATGCTTTTCATGTATACATCATTTGAATTATATTCGATTTTAAATGGAATCGAGAAAGAACTCTCAGATCGTATTCAGATATTCCAAGGCTGCAGAACAAAAGGACCCAGGTTCAGGGGTAAAATGTTAGGCAAGATTCCTTACTCCAAACCTGGTTGTTAGTCGATTGGTGAATCGCTTTTCCGGGGGTAAAAATCCCTTCAAAAAAAAATAAGAATAAGAATTTGGTCACTCAATCCACGGCTGTTTGTGGGACACTTCTGTGCACAATTGGCTGCCGGGTTTCGTCCACCAAATATATAGTCAATTCACTTTACAGTGTGTTCTGTGAAGCGCTTTGGGACGTCCTCCCGACGTGAAAAGCGCTATATCAAATGCAAGGATTATTATTATTATGTCCTGTGAAGCGCTTTCAGACGTCTCGAAGACATGATAAGGCGCCATATCAAATGCAAGGATTATTATTATTATTGATTCAGTAATCAATCGAGCATCAAAGCCTGAGTGAAGCACACTGCCTCTCCTGCAGAGAGGAAGAAACAGGACTGGCCTAACTCGACGAATATATTAGAAGGTGGCATGAATAACAGATGGTACCGTTGCCTAAACTAGTGTGATTGTTTTCTTTCAGGGTACAAAGGGTGAAGCTGGTGAACAGGGACATAAGGTATGCGGGCAGCCCTGGAAGGGAATAATCCTTCACATTGGACATCAGTTCAGATCTTTGGATGAGTATCAGGAGATTGGCTTTGAGTTTGGATCATTTGCATGTCACATTCTAGCCACTGGGAAGTAGTTCATCTGCTCCATGGATTCCCGGAGCTGAATCCATTGAAGTGGGTTAAGCCCTATTGTGTTGTGTTATTACCTGGTTAGACTCCAGCAGTCACCCCCAACGCACACTCTGGGGTCCCCAAGCCTTGGCTCTTGCCAACCTGCGCCTAATACTTTCCGGATTTAAGGTAAGAGAGTGTCTATGTCCACATGGATGTGTCTATGTGTATCTGGAGGCCGACACTTCAGACGACACTAAAATCTTCCACCCGTCACATTTAGAAATCTTTAGAACTTGTTGTCTGTCTCACTATCATTTAGAAATCTTTAGAACTCAGTATCAGAGACGGGCTCAGAAATCCCTTAGCTCCCAACTCATTGACTTTACGAGCCAGCTGTTATGCAGTGATGTGCCCTTGCGATGTGTTTGCAGAATGCGTTGTGTTGTCAATTACATAGAATGAAGGAATTAAAATGAAACGCACGCTTTGATGCTTCAGTAACACAGAGACAAGATAATGACATTTATGTAAATGACATAATGTCAGTTCACAAATTAAATTATTGCATTACATCGCAAGGAAAGAATAATATAAGGATTTCATTTGGATTTTTCTTAACTCCGCACACTCCAATTTCCCTCTGAACTTGCTGATTCCCGTTAGGGTACATATCCAAGGCTACCAACAATAACACCAACAACAAAATTACATTTATAGAGCGCCTTTCACGTCAGGAGGACGTCCCAAAGCGCTGAAACGGGAGGACGTCCCAAAACAGTCAGGTGTCGGGGCCCGAGCATGGGGGAGGGGTGGTGTAGGGGTGAGGGAAGGCAGAGAGGTGGGAGGGTGACCAAAGGCACGATTAAAGAGAAGGGTTTTGAGACCGGCCTTGAAGGAGGCAAGGGAGGAAGCGAGGCAAAGGGACTGTGGGATGGAGTTCCAGAGTGTGTGGGCAGAGGGGCTGAAAGCCCGGCCACCGATGGTAGGGCGGGTTAGGCGGGAGACATGGAGCAGGCCAGAGCCTGCTGAACGGAGAGAGCGGGCAGATTGGTAGGGAGTCAGCAGATCAGAGAGGTAGGAAGGGCAAGACCATGGATGGCCTTGAAAGTGAGGACAAGGATCTTGAACTCGATCCTCTGGGGGATGGGGAGCCAATGGAGTCGGGCGAGGGTGGGAGTGATGGGGTCGCGGAGCCTGGTGCGTGAGGGTACACGAGCTGCAGAGTTTTGGATGATCTGTAGCTTGTGAAGGGAAGACTTGGGAAGGCCGATAAGGAGGGAGTTCCCGTATTCAAGCCTTGAGGTGACGAATGTGCGGGTGAGGGTTTCGGCAGCCTGAGGGGAGAGGCAGTGGCAGAGTCTGGCAATGTCGCGGAGGTGGTGGAAGGCAGTGCCGGTCATGGCGCGGATGTGGGGGAGAAAGGACAGTTCAGGGTCAAACAAGACACCCAGGTTCCTGACTGGCTTAGTGAGGTTGAGTGTGCAGCCGTGGAGGCTAATGCTGCCAGCGCCTGAGGTGCGGAGGAGCTGGCGCGAACCAATCAGGAGGACCTCACTGCTGACGCTGAGTTGGAGAAAGTTGTCCCTCGTCCAGGACTTGATGTCAGAGCCCCTCTTCTGTATCTTCGTCAAGACTTTCCTCTTCGACCGTGCTTACTGGTCAACTCCTCCCTACCCCTGGCTCAGCCTCAGGCTCCGTCACTGTTAATGATGATTTCCTGCAGTGCTTTAAAATAAAAACTTCTAATTTTGGACCGGAGTTACAAACTTTCTGCAAATCGGTGCGATCTAAGATTTTAAGAACAAAATAGTCTTACAGGTTAAGGCAAGGTGAAACTTTGGCCTTTTATACGTAATTTGTAAATGTGATCATTCATCCTAACTCCCACAAAATTTCAAACACTTACCTTGATTTCTATTCCCGTCTTTATATAGGGAGAACCTGGAGATACAGGGAATAAGGTAAGAGTTCCTTACGTTCATCTGTTCCTGTGACCTATAATTAAAGATATTGGTAAGATTATAAGGCCAATGCTCTTGGCTCCCACCCCCTAACCCTTCCAGTATTGTTAAGGCGATATATAAATGTGAAAGATTCTATATAAACTGTACTGTATTGTCTGTGGCATTAACCGAATAAGGCATCTGTGATTAGGTTGGGTAGAAAATGTTTGTGGAGGCATTATATTAGATATTAATGTCCAATAATGTATGTATCTAAGAGATAACTAGATGATGCAGCACATTGAAGGGCCGTGGATTGGTAATATGTTTATTATTTCCTCCCATATTTGAGTTTTCAATCTCAGTTCCTTGATTATTGAGAAACTATTTGGTGATGGATACTCACTCCTTCAATGAGAGAAAAGAAAAATTAGATGAGTTGACTTGACTCAGTTTGAGTGTATATATATATATATATAAAATATATATTTTATGAACACTGCTGCTAAATTGGCTGCTGCGTTCATCCATAAAATACACAGTCCATCCACTTTACAGTATATCCTGTGAAGCCCTTTGAGATAATATAATATATAATAATCCTTGAATTTGATACCGGCTAATCACACGTTTACGACGTCTATACTGTAAAGTGAATTGATGTCTCAATGACGTGATAAGGATCTATATCAAACGCAAGCATTCTTATTATCATATCTCTGAGTATAAGGCAGTAGTTATTGGGGCTTGTGTGCCTCATTCCTTGTCTTGTTAGTAAATCAAAAATGGCATACAAGACTGAAACAAATCAGAAGAAAAGATTGAGTGGGTCAAAAAATAATAGCCGCCTGCATGCAATGTATTACTTATACCCAAAAACTGTAGTCACGTAGTTTGTTTTCTTTTCAGGGTGACAAAGGAGAAATGGGTGAAAAAGGTCAGAAGGTGAGATGAGAGTCTATTTGGTGAATGTTTGTGTTAAAATTAGAAATGCTACTGTTGGGAAATTGAATATACTTCAACTAACTCATGACAGTATCCAATTTCATCAGTGTCAGTATCAAACATCCTTAGGTCAGGTAGAGCGTAGTGGAATTATTACCTCCGCTTTTCTGGGGGTAATAATTCCTTTAAAAAAAGTAATGATAATAAATTGGTCACTTCAATCCACGGCTGTTTGTGGGACACTGCTGTGCGCAATTGCCTGCCATCTTTCTCCCACAAAATACACAGTCAATTCACTTTACGGTATATTCTGTGAAGCGCTTTGAGACGTCTCGAAGACGTGATAAGGCGCTAAATCAAATGCAAGGATTATTTATTATTTATCCAACAATTATTCAAAGAATAGGCTTTTCTGTGACTGAGTAATGGCGCCTTTGTTTTTACAGGGAGAACCTGGCATTGGTATCAGAGGCCCTGAAGGTCAATCTGGATCTCCTGGGCAAAAGGTACAAAACCGTTTCAATGAAGCATAGATTTATTTTACGTGCATGACATTTCAGAATCCAAAGACAAGTTATATGCATAGAACTTCAAGCTACTCTTACTGATAAGTTTCGCCCACAAACTACACAGTTAATCCCCTTTACAGTATCCTGTGAAGCGCTTTGAGACGTCTCAACGACATGATAAGGCGCTATATCAAATGCAAAGATTATTGTTATGATTATGATGATAGATCACATGGTACAAAAGCACAGTAGTTGGTTAAAGATAAAAATCGATAAACCATAGAACGAAACACGACGCAAGAAACAAATAGGAAGAAAGCTTTTTTTATAGTAATACATCACATGCCAAAGACTGACTACAATTGCTTTAAATTAGGGTGTGCCAGGTATACAGGGGCCTCCTGGTGCTCAGGGTATTCAAGGTATTCGTGGTAACGCAGGTATTCCTGGATACCAAGGTGCAAGAGGCCCTCCAGGAGTGTCCGGATTGCCAGGAGCAAAGGTAATTAATTCCCGGGCGGGCGAAACCTTACCCAAGTTTCCTTATCCCACACGTCTCTGTTTAGCCAACAGTAAGTAGGAAACACCTGGTTGATTGACGGATCACTTTTTGCGGGGATAATAATCGCTTAAAATTTTTTAACGCATTTGGTCACAACTGTTTGTGGGACACTGCTGCGCACAGCAATTGGCAGCGGCGTTTTGCCCACGAAATACATAGTCACCACACTATACAGTATATTCTGCGAAGCACTTTGCGACGTCTCAACGACGTGGTAAGGCGCGATGTCAAAGGCCAGGAGTATTATTACTATTATAATTAAAGGAAAAATGCGAAATCAAACGATGATCAGAGAATTCGAACAGGAAGAATCCAAACTTCCTCGGTTCAAAGATATCCCTTGTTAAATATTCTTCTTTAAAAAGAGCAGAGGTAATAACCCTTGGTTAATAATAAGGCGCACTATGGCTACTAAGTGTACTTCTAATTTTAAGATTGGGGGGCACAATCTTAATATTAGAACTAGGCCATTTGGGAGTGAAATCAGGAAGCCCTTTTTCACACAAAGGGTAGTGGAAATCTGGAACTCACTCCCCTCCCAAAAGGCTGTGGATGCTGGACTAATTCAAATTTTCAAGACTGAAGTGGATAGATTTTCGTTAGGTCAGGGTATCAAGGGATTTGGGGCAAAGGCAGGTAATTGGAGTTGAGGTACAGATCAGCCATGATCTGATAGAATGTCGGAACAGACTCGAAGGACTCATTGACCTCCTCCTGTTCCTATGTCCCTATGTACAAGAAAATCTTCCATCGAGCCCAGAACCTCTTGGATGCCCCAATAGATTGATTGAAATACGGCATCTCTCAGCCCTCCTTTTACTTAGTGCCTCATCTTGAAGAGAAGGAAGAATAACAATGGCGTCGTGTGCACGCGACATGAATGCGTATGTTAATGTAATTATGTCGTCATTTTATTAATTATTTAACTTAACATAAAAGTAGATGTTTCCCGGAGGAGTTCGGTGTTGTTTTCCAACCACTACTGTGCCTATGAGAGCACCTGCTGAAGGCCACATTTAAGTGACTGACAGTACATTGACCCAGAAGCCCTCGATTTCGGAAACATGTTCGTCTTTGACACCAGAGTGTAACCAAAAGTGATTTCCAACAATATGTTTATGGAAATTCACTTGGAGAGGCTTTAATGCAACAAAATTGATTGTTCAACTATCCAATAAAAAGTGGAGTGGTAATGTCTGGAAGAATTTTCATTCTGAACTGACGAAGGTTTAATTTGATTTCCTTGATATAATCTTCAGTACAAGTCACATTAATTCTTGACTGGTGATAAGTGCTTCTGTTTTCATATTTCATACCTTAGGCAAGTCTCCTTACCCCACACGCCTCTGTTTACCCAGCAGTAAGTAGGAACCCTGGTGTTAGTCAATAGGCGGATTGCTTTCTAGGGGGAAATAAAACTTTCAAAAAAAAAAATTTGCTCATGCAATCTATGACTGTTTGTGGGGACGCTGCTGTGCGCAATTGGCTGCCGCGTTTCACCCACAAAACACACAGTCAATTCACTTTAGGTATATTTTGTGAAGGGCTTTGAGATGTCTCGAAGACGTGATAAGGCACTAAATCAAATGCAAGGATTATTATTATTATATCAAAACCATTTCACACCGCTGTGCATGTTAAGTGACATCATGATCGGTCCATTACTGAAGACACCATCCGGATATTTCCATTATAGTCAGATTTGCGTTGGAGTTTTCGTGTTTCCTCCTCCTTGTTCCCTCTATTTTTTGTTGTCGGTTTCCCCAGTGTTCAAATGATTCAAATGTCTGCATTATTTTAGGGACTCCCAAGCAAGAGAGGAAAGAATGGTTCTCCTGGATCACCTGGATATATGGGATCGACAGGCAGGCAGGTATGTAAGTGTTAACACAATAACGGTCCAGTGTTTATTACCAGCACCGACCAGTTGGGCCGAATTTGCTTGTTTCTGTGCTGTTATCACTCGGATGTGACATTAAACTGAGGTCCCGTCTGTGACTGTTCAGGTAGACGTTAAAGATCCCACGGCGCCATTCAAAAAAGGGAAGGGAATTTCTCTCTCCCGGTGTCCTGGCTGATAATCCCCCAAATAAAAAATTGGTCATTCATTTCATGGCTGTTTTGTGGGACATTGCTGTGCGCAATTGTGCTGCCGAGTTCGCCCACAAATACACGCTTACTCCATTTCACAGTAAATCCTGCGAAGCGCTCTGAGACGCCTTTCCGACGTGATAAGCTGCTTTATCAAATGCAAGGATTATTATTACGATAATTATTATTATTATTATTATTATTATGTACTCTTAAGTGAGGTGAGCAATGCAGAAAATTGAACACTTTGTCATCTTTGTCATTTATTGTCACATGAAACATTCCCACGTCGGCCTGGCTTAGTTGAACAGTATGTGTCTCTGGTAATTTCACGTGTACTGAACATGTTTTTTCTTTCATCTTTCAGGGACTTCCAGGAAAACCTGGCACGAAAGGTTTCAAAGCAAGTTCATTTCAGCTAATTAACTCTTTTACTTCCATGCTGTATCTTCTAATGATGTTCCGACCTGGGCGAATTGAAGTTTCTATCAAGTAAAAATTGGTATCAAGGGTATTTTGTGTCGTGATATAAGGGTAAGGGTATTTTAAGTAGTAATGCTTCAAGATGTGGTACTGTTTAGCTATTTATTTTAACTTATCTTGTTTCTCTGCTAGTGTTTTTTCAGTCTTGGTGGTCCAATCATTGCGGAATAGACCATCTGCGCTTATCACCTGCTTTTGTACTTAATCCTTCTTAACAAATTCATTACCCAATAACTTCTCGTTTATGACCTTGACCCACAGGGTGACGTTGGACTAGGAGCCGCAGGGCCAAAAGGAATTCGGGGAATCCAAGGACAGAGAGTAAGACACTGGAACGCTTCATTTAAAAAAAAACAAGCACTAGAGAGATTCCACTTCAAAGCTCATCACAAGAATCAGAGTTCATTGACAATTGCCAACCCCAACTAAAGGAATTTCAGAGCACACGTCTTGCGGTGATTGCTTCGCATTTGGGAGTGGACATGAGTGTAAAAAAAACACTTAGTGGTGACATTACTCTCAGTGAATGTTTCATTTGGAACATAATATAAAATTGTGCCTACTCTTTGTTGGGTTCTGAAGTATGACCAGAATAAGACCATCTTATTCTTTCTAACTCGCTTTAAATTAAGAAACCAGAGAACAAGGGAACCAAAGTCACTCAGCAATTCCTGCTTTAAATTTTCTGTACTTAATCATTTCTTTACTTAACTAAAGTTTGTTAGCTCATTTATCACAAATACAACAGACAGGTCAATAGCATAGTCTCTTGCTTCAGACCAGAAACCTCTTGCTTGGGTTCGTTGATTACAAAGTCAACGTTCGAATCTTCGATGGTGTACACCTGAGCTGCGTTCCGTTACTTTGCAGTTGTGATTTGTTGTTATTCCTCTCCTCCTGTTGCTTTCCGACGAGTCCAGCTGTTCTGTTAGTTTCTTCTGCAGTTTGCCTTCTTTCCGAGATTGTTGGAGTCAACAAAAGTTGATGGAACGATGGAACAGTCCAACTCTGACGGGTTTTTATTTCTAACCCAGAACAAAGCACACCGGCTTAAACACCTCGAATCGAAACACGAGGGGTGGCTTTTGTGCGTACAGCCAATGCATCTTTCCCTTCCACAGTCAGGGTGAAAGGGCAAAGTCTTCCCGTTCTCACGTCTTTGAAGCAAGTACCCCACGTAGAGCACAGTGGTCACGATCTGATAAATCCCCAGAATTGTGATAGAAAAACACAAACACAAAGCAAAATACTGCAGATGCTGGAAATCTGAAATAAAAACAGAAGTCGCTGGGAACACGCAGCAGGTCAGGCAGCATCTATGGAGAGAGAGAGAGAGAGAGAGAGAGAGGGGAAAGTGAAATCACGTTTCAGGTCGATAACCTTCCGTAGATAAAACCTCTTCAACAGCCTTCGGCTACCGTAAACAACTCAGCTTGACGTGATTCCAGCCACCACAAACATTTCTAACCAGTGATTAGAATAGTGCTTTCACCCTATAACAGAGCATGTTAACATGTAGTCACAATTTCAGTCATGAAACGGATCACAACATCATTCATCGTGTGAAAGAAGTTCCACTGCTGACCACCAGATGGGACTCACTGACATGAAAGTGGTTGCTCTCTCTCGCGCAATAATAATAATAATAATAATATTCCTTGCATTTGCAATATCTCGTTGCATGTAATTTCTCTGTGCTTTTTACACATTATCTGTAGGGAGAGCGTGGAGCACCTGGATCTCTTGGACCTATTGGACCGACAGTAAGTTGCAGGCTGTCAGCAAGTGGGTTTACCAGTCGATTCGAGGAATACCAACCGAATAAAATAATAATGGCTTAAAAAAAAAATTTCAGTTGACATTGGCTGAATACATTCAACCTGCTACGTGCTGGTGAGGATATCATTGCTGCCAAGCGCTGATGCTTACGACTTTGTTCCTTTTTGTTTGTTTTTTAAGTCAGCCGGGCGTCTGACACACGTGGAAACTCGAAACCATGCTTAAGAGTATCCAAACCAGATTGAGGGTTCCGCGTATAGATGACGTGCTCCCGACGCGAAAGGCGCTATATGAATAGAATTTGTTGCTGTTGTTGTTGTACCTACGCTCAGAGATTTCTCGCTGTCTGTAAGGGAATGTGCACACTCCCTCCCCTTTATGCATGGGAAGTCTTGACAATAAGCCCAACACTGGATCAAAATTACCGTGCGAAACACACAGTATAAATCGCGATGGAGCCCTGCACCTGAGATTGTCTGGAGAAGGTGGTTTGTTTGAGGCACGGTTCAATTCAGATCATGTCATCGTTCTGGGAATGAGAGCAGCAGCAGCTTTTTTTTCTCTCTTTCTCTCTCTCTCTCTCTCTCTCTTCCTCTCCACCACTCCCCACCCCACATTGTGGAGTCCTGTACCTGAGTGGTTAGAGCACTCGCTTCGCGAGCGAGAGTATCTGGGTTCAATTCTCTGACAGGATGAAACTTAGGCAAGTTTCCTTACTCCACACGCCTCTGTTTGACTAGCAGTAAGTAGGAACCCGGTTTTTAGTTGATTGGTAGATGGCTTTTCCGGGGATAATAATCCCTTCTAAAAAAAATAATAATATGGTGACTCAATCCACGACTGTTTGTGGGACATTGCTGTGCGCAATTGACTGTCGGGTTTCGCCCACAAAATACACAGTCAATTCACTTTACAGTATATTCTTATTTAGATTATTAAATCTACAAAAGCAAGGATTATTATTTATTATTATCATAGCAAGAATGTGTTAAATCCCTGTGGTCTCGTGGAAAGCTCTAAGGCAGCCCAATGGACAACCATGCTCCAAGTCCATATTGTTAACTAATGAATGGACAGTCACACAAATAACAACAACAACAACAACAACAACAAGATTACATTAAAACACTAGTACAGAAATTCTGACCAGAGCACATCCCTAGTCCATCTGGCACTCTGGGGGTTAATCTTCCAACCCTGAAAATAATTAGACGCAAACGTAATTTTTTTTTCCTCCGCTGTGAAAAAAACAAAAAACTTGCTTTTGCCCTTAGAGATCTGAAAATTGCTTTTGTGTAGATTAATCGCGGAAACCGTATGCTTCGCGAGGGCTCAGTGAGCGGTTGTAAGCACCTACGTGTGAGCTTGTGAGCGTGTCAGCCTGTGCGTGAGAGAACACTTTATCAACTCATTAGTCTGTTAGAGAGATGCAACTTTGTGGGCATTTATTTTAATCGCTAATAATAAATTCCAATTAATGTTTCTTTCTTGGTAGGGTCTGAGTGGACTAACGGGTTCGAGAGGAGACAAGGTATGAACTGAAGTTGAGTGGGCGACGCAAAGCTGTTACATCTAAAGAGCGTCTCTTGATGAAAACACAACTTATAATTACAGCAGCTGCTTTACTGAAGGCACAAGGAATGTGCTGAGTGTAAATGGTGCTGTACCTTGGTCATTAAGAACATAAGGAATTACTCAGCGAAAGAAGACCAAGGTCCATCCAGTTCACCTTCCACCATCCTGGCAGTCGCATGACATGTCATGTCCCAAACTCTATACTGTATCCCGACATATTATTTCCTAACAGAAATCTATCTAATTTGTTCTTAAAAGAATCAACACTTTCTGCTTCCACCGTCTCCCTAGGGAGCCTATCCCACACATTTACTACTCGATCAATGAAGTAGTGTTGCCCCAGATTTGTTTTGAAATCCGCACCTGGAATCCTTTTTATTATTATCATTTTTATAGGAAAAAATGCTAACAATAAAATAGAACAGCAGGAAAATGCTGGGTTGTTTACCTGAAAGAAACAACAATAAATTCATCTTTTGAGAAAAGACCACCAAAAAGGAAGGGATTAGGCAAGATACACCTCGATGATGGGACTTGGGAGCTTTGCTCAGACCTGCCCAGGAAAATGAATAATAATAATCCTTGCATTTGACATCGCTCCTTATCACGTCATCAAGATTTCTCTATGTACGAAAGATTTCTCGTATTTTAGTTCAGTACTGCGAAGTGACCTGACGGTGTATTTTGTAGGAAGATTCGCGCCAATTTGCACGCAACAATGTCCCCCAAACGACCGTGGAGTGAGCGACCAATTGTATCTGGTGGATTGTTGGTCAGGACAGAGGGAGAAGCTCCCTTTCTTTTCCCAAGGAATCTTTAGAGTCCTTCTGAACAGGCAGACGGGACCTAGGTTTAATGCCTTGTTGGAAGGACAGCAGCTCCAACAATGTCACACTCCCCCAGCACTGCACTGGGCTGTCAGGCTAAACTGCGTAAACTACCGATGTGGGGCTTGAAACCACATCCTTCTGACTCAGAGGTAAGAGTGCTACAAACCGAGCCAGGCCTACACCAAAAATTCTAGCATCTTACACCAGAAAAATCTGACCTGATATTTGAGGTAGAGATTTAAGGGCTCTCTTGTACCTCTTACGCACAGACGACCTATTTTCCTGTCCCTCGACTGTAAGTGAGCCGTAAAACTGGACGATTTGTTTATTTTGTTAATTGTATTTCAGGGAGATCCTGGATTTGCAGGGTTTAAAGGAATGAAGGTAAGCTAATTACTAGAGGTTCGGGATTTCTGTATTGGATATTTCTATCATCAAAAAGATGCGCGATTAATATAAAAACGGGAATCTTTCTAGTAAATCATTTAAAATAGTAATACTTGCATTTGATACAGCGCCTTATCATGTCTTCAAGACGTCTCGTAGCGCTTCACGGAATGTACTGTAAAGTGAATTGATGTAGATTTTATGGGTGAAACACAACAATAACTTGAATTTGCGGTGAAACTTGTTAAAGCAACCACGTCTATTCAGCTGCCACCTGTCTAAAGCAACCAGTGGCCACACNTTTTTTTAGCCTCGTTGGTGTGCAGACCATTTTTATTGACCAGTCCTAAGTGAATTTAAGTGCGTACTTAAGGGTAATGCATTACTTACCAGTCATGTATTACCAATTTCTGTGGGTTTGTGTGTTGACTCCAGCTAAACTCCCAGCGCATTTACCAATGCCGCGCTGCGATGCCCACAGGTTGGTAAATATGCTCGGAGTCTGGCTGGAGTCTACACACAGGCCCACGGGAATATTTGACCCACAGAATTTTTTTTCTTTAAATTTAAAATTTCTTTAAAATTAAACAGACCAAACAAATCCTTACGTATCGGCCACTTTGGTCCATTCCCTAAGTGGTTGCTGAAAACAGGTTTGACTGTATTTAACGCCCTTCGAGTGAGGTAACATCTCAAAGCGCTTTGCAGTGCCGAGGTAAAACAAGGGAAGAGGAGATGAGGAGAGGTGAGGTGACTGTAGGCCTGATCAAAGGCACGTTGAAAAACTTCCGCTCAAAGATAGTGACTTGTGCCTGAAACTTACTCTATCATGCCTGGGTCACAGCTGAGAATTGAGTGAGAATTCCTCACTCAGTATCCGCACGACTGTACTTCCAATGAAGGGAACTCCCATCTGGTGACAGGGAGCTAACCAGGGTTCCTATTATAAAGGCCATAGACATCACCAAAGCAAATGGCTTTCTCTCTTTTAAAGATCTGCTTTTTAGTAACCTTCTTTCTTTCGTGTAGGGAGATCCACATGGTGTTTTCGGACCCCAGGGATACAAAGGAGACAAGGGTGATCCAGTAAGAAAACCGATGGCTAAATGCTCCTACTCACATTATTTAATCGCTCATTGAAAGAGGCCAACATAGATATGTTGTGCTGTAAATTTCTATGCTTCTAATCTAGTTGTCGAGTTCAGCATAAATATGCAAGGATCAAATGTCAAGCCTGAGTACTTAACGACCTGTAAAAAACTAGACAAGGTCTGCTTGCTAGTTGGCTTTGATTTTTTTTCTCTCAGTGAAATTGAAAAACGTCACTTTCCACCGATGGAAGTTTATAATAATATTCCTTACATTTGATATAGCGGCTTAACAAGTCTTCGAGACACCTCAAAGCGCTTCACGGAATACACTGTAAAGTGAATTGACTGTATATTTTGTGGGCGAAACCTGTGTTGTTTGGGAGCTCAACAACAACAACAACAACAAGATTACATTTATAAAGCGCCTTTCACGTCAGGAGGACGTCCCAAGGCGCTGCACAGTTGGGTCATGACCCGAGCAGGGGGGAAATGGTCAGGGTGAGGGAAGGGAGGGAGCAAGGAGGGGGAAAATGGTCAGGGTGAGGGGAGGGAAGGGAGGGAGCGAGGAGGGGGAAGAGAGTCGAGAGGGGAGCTGAAGGCACGGTCAAAGAGAAAGGTTTTGAGACCGGCCTTGAAGGAGGAAAGGGAGGAAGCAAGGCGAAGGCATTGGGGGATGGAGTTCCAGAGCCTCAGGGCTGAGAGGCTGAAGGCCCGACCACCGATGGTAGGGCGGTTGGGGCGGGGGACGTGGAGCAGACCAGAGCCAGAGGAACGGAGGGTACGGGCAGGTAGGTAGGGGGATAGTAGGTTGGAGAGGTAGGAGGGAGCAAGGCCGTGAATGGCCTTGTAGGTGAGGATGAGGATCTTGAAATCAATCCTCTGGGGGATCAGTGTAGATGCATCGCTGAGGAACCTTAAATGACCAAACTCCAGTAAGAGTTGATATTGGAAGATTTTTTCCAAACGGTTGGAATGTTATGGAGATGTAATATTGACTCCTAGTTAACTAGATAATTATGCAGTTCTATCTTCTGGTGTTGTTTAAACAGAATAAGTTATTGGTCAGAAATCATTAAGCTTAAGGATAGATAGAAATGATCGGGGGAGAAAAAATAAGTTCTGAGTTGCTGGATCACTGCTAAGGGCAGGAGTCAGTCAGTGATGCATAATATAGGATAAAAGTTAGATATCTTTCTGGACTTTCATTCACTTTTATTAATTAAGCTTGATTAACGTATTTGGGGTAAAATTTGTGGTGTTCCTTAAAGCATCACTTAATTTATTTAAGGACAATCAACAGCTTTCCAGCATATAAAACTGGATACTGAAAATAGGATTGGCTGATCTTGATGGCTCAGTTTTAAGACTATTTACAACAAGAAATGACATTTGTACAGCGCCTTTCAGATCAGGAGGATGTCCCAAGGTGCTGGACAGTCAGGGATCTGCACCCGAGCTGGTGGTTGGGATCAGGACGGGTGGAGGGCCGGGAGGGTACAGGTAAGAGGGTGACCGAAGGCACAGACGAAGAGGAGGGTCTTGAGACAGGTCTTGAAGGAGGCAAGGGAGGGAACGAGGCGGAGGGACTGTGGGATGGAGTTGCAGAGGGCGGGGGCAGAGATGCTGAAGACCCACCCGTCAACGGTGGGCCAGGCTAAGTGGGGGACGTGAAGCAAGCCGGAGCCCGCTGAGCGGAGGGAGCGGGCAGGTTGGTAGGGGGTTAGGAGGTCACAGTGGTAAGGGGGAGCGAGGCCGTGCATAAATATAAATATATTTACCCAGTTATTCGCAGAGTTCTGGGTATCTTTTAAACCAGCGATGTTTTTTCTGCATCTTCCTGTAGGGCGACAGGGGTCCGCCAGGATTTGATGGTGACAAAGGAGAGAAAGGTGAAGATGGACCTCCGGGAGTGAAGGTAAATATTTCAGTAATTCTCATCCATTTCACGGTCCTTTGCTACTCTAACGTTTTCAAGATGAGGAACAATCACATTTTAGAAGGTGGAACATATTCCTGTGTATGTTTTCTGATGGGATCAACATTTCCTCTCCGTTGTGTGGGAGAGTCCTTTGTGGAATGACTTTAGATGGACTAAACTGAGTTGATAGTGTGCGGTGGGCTTACAACAGCAAAAACGACTTGCATTTACATAGCACCCTTCACGTATGGCAGCGTCTTGGAGCGCTTACAACACAATACAGCCGTTACACCATCGCTGGCTGTATCTGGAGTGTCAGTCCGGCTCATTTGGTAGCACTCTCACCTCTGATTGTGGTTTCATGACCCACATAGGATTCATATAGTCTTAAGATGACATTCCAACGCATTGCCAGGCTGGGCTGCATTGTTGGAGATGCCATTCCCTGGATGACATTTAACCCGAGGTCCCGTCTGCCTGTTCAGGTGGACGTTAAAGATTCCATGGCACTACTCAAAAAGAGACGAGAGTTCCTCCCAGTGTCCTGGCCAACAATCCCCCAGATAAAATTGATCATTGATTTCATGGCTGTTTGTGGGACTTTGCTGTCTACAAATTGTCTGCCACATTTATTCACAAATAAGGTCACTCCATTTTACAGTATATTCCGTAGTAATCCAAGGCATTGCCCTTTCTACCTAACTCATGACTGACACCTGACACCTTGTCCTCAATTCTAGGAGTTGAAGCCTTTGCAAGCTGGATGGTCCTTGCGGGACAAATGCCATGCACCATAGTACCAATTATAATTATCTTCAAGACAAGCCTTTCTCAATAGGCTTGTTCAATAACTTCCAATATGATTTTATTAATAATAATAATCCTTGATTTTGATATAGCGCATCATCACATCATCTAGATGTCTCAAAGCGCTTCACAGAATATACTGTAAAATGTGTATTTTATTTTATTTTCTCTCCTGTACCCTTTTTTTTTAAGCTCTCCCTGTTCACAAAGTATTCTAGACGCAAGTGAGAGGACTCAGGTTTGCTTCCCAGGCAGGGCGAAACTTTAGGCAAGTTTCCTTACTCTACATGCCTCTGTTTACTTAGCATTAAGTAGGAACCCGGTTGTTAGTCGATTGGTGGATTGCTTTCCGGGGATAATAAGCCCTTCAAAAAAAAATAATAATAATTTGGTCACTCAATTCACGACTGTTTGTGGGACACTGCTGTGAGTAATTGCGTACCACGCTTCACTCATAAAATATAATGAATTCACTGTACGGTATATTCTGTGAAGCGCTTTGAGACATCTCGACAATGTGTTATGGTGCTACATCAAAGGCAAGGGTTATTATTATTAATGCAGTATTCCTAATGATCTCAAATAACCATGCATTTTCTTTTCAAGGGCCACAAAGGAGAGCCAGGATTGAAGGGGTCGATGGGGCTATTTGGTGCCAGAGGTCCTGCAGGACAGAAGGTTAGTTTGTATCGGTGATTTCCACCCCAGTTCAGGTGCCCAACCATCAGTGCTAAGCCCTTTGAGACATCCTCCTGACATGAAAGGAAATTGCATTGTAATGTATTTGTTATAACTATTTGATAAACATGGATCCAATGAAGGGCTGAAATATGAAGTGATTTTGAAGCTTGATTTATTTAATTGGTGTCCGAATCCATCTATTAGATTCCTGACTTTTGATCACTCAACACAATATTGATATTATAATCAGATTATTACTTTTTAGGAGGAAAGGAAATCGTAATAGTGACGTAAGGATCTCTGCAGTATTTGAGGTCCTGGAAAGAGTTCATACTCTCTCCTCTCATACGTTATATTCTTTTTTGGCTGTATCTTTATAATGGGAACAGAGGTAAAAGATGAGCATATTTATTGGTTAGACTCCATAGAGTTCTAGTGGGTTTTCCTCATCTCAAAGGTGGAGGGTCTCAGAGTAAAGCCATTTACTCCGCCGGAATCAGCTAACTCAGCCCAGACTGGGCCTCAGACTCTCAACTCTGCACAGTCTAGCACACAGGCAATCATACCCTCTAGGGTAATCTTTAGTCATTGGCCAACCTGCGGCCCACGGGCCGAAAGCGGCCCGCAGGTCAAGAAGTGGCCCGCCAAACATTCGCACGAGTCTGGGTAAGTCCATGTTCAATCAGTAGTGCCTTTTCAGTTTTTCTCTTGATTGAATATGTTTTGATCTATGGCATCAATCAAGACACATTCAATCAAGTCAATTTATTTTGTTGGCCAACCACAAAGGTTGGCCACCACTGCACTAGGGCATTAGGGGATCTATCGTGAACTATCTGACATCTGGGTACGAGAGCATTGGAGGAACTATCATGAACCATCTGACATGATTATTGTGTTTCAGGGGGAATTTGGTGAACATGGAACCAACGGAACTACGGTACGTCCAATAAGAAATTTGAGAAGTTATGAGATGTTTTGTACATTCTGTGAAGCGCTTTGAGACGCTTCGACGAGGTGATAAGATGCTATATCAAATGCAAGGATTATTATTGTTATTATTATAATTTATCGGCACATTAAATGGGTTGGGTTGTCCATGATAGCAAACCTGCAGCAACTAGAGTGTCCTGCCAACAGAGGGAGATATTTTTTTATACCTGAATAGGAAAAAATAATTGTACCCTAATCATTTCTCATTATTCCCCAAATACTCCTGAAATAATTTGCAGTATTTTGCCTTTTGTTTAAATAAATTTGATGATGAAAATTCACAATAAAAATATGTACTTATCCATGCAAGTAGACTTCATCTAAACGAGCCCCGAGGAGGATTTGGTTTTATATAGATATATTTAACATGTATAACTGCATACATGTTTACTGACTTTGCTCGAATATATATATATATATAGATAAGCTTCATCTGTCATAAGGAAATGTCACAACCAATTACTGACAGAACTCTTGTTGTTAAGCAGAATAAATGAAGGGTTTTATATTGAGTCTCAACTGAACTCCTGAGATTTGCCTCAGGTTTGAAAGAAAGAATGACTCACACCATTTGGATCGCCTTTACAAACATTCTATTTCAAAGAGATATAATAATCATAATAATAATAATTATCGTTACATTTGATGTATCGCATGATCACGTCTCTGACACGCCTCAAAGCACTTCGCAGAATATACTGTAAAGTGAATTGACTATATTTTGTGGGCGAAACGGTAATGATCAACAACAACAACTTGCATTTATTGGCTTTTCCGGGGGTAATAATCCCTTTTAAAAAAAAATAATAATTTGGTCACTCAATCCACGACTGTGTGTGGACGCTGCTGTGCGCAATTGGCAGCCGCGTTTCGCCCACAAAACACACAGTCAATTCACTTTACAGTATATTCTGTGAAGCGCTTTGAGACGGCTCGAAGACGTGAATAGGCGCTGTATCAAATACAGGGATTATTATTGTTGATATTTCTTAAACTTTTGAATGCGCATTTGCTTCATTATCCGATTTCCTCAGAATCTGGCTGATTATTTTACAGTTGCCTTTTGAAAGATCTGCCTTTTGAAGTCTACAATTACATGCGTCCTTGTTTTGTAATGAAAGGGCTTAGGATTGTTTGAACATAAAAGTGCTAAAAGTAATCAAGAAATTATTTTCCTCGTCATTTAAAATGCATTGGAGGGAGGTCTTGAGACGGGATATTTGATGCAAGGATATATCAAATGCAAGGATTATTTGTACTAGTTTGAAAGTGTGAAGTAGTCAAAAGCAACTTGCATTTACGTAGCACACTTCACGTAGAATAACATCAGTCAGTTTCAGTTAATACAATTCTGATCCGAATTTCCACATCTTTTCTCTCTGTGACGTATTGCAGGGCAGAGCTGGACTTGACGGTAAAAGTGGAATCAAAGGAGCCAAAGGTGCCCGAGGTTTGCATGGTCAGAAAGGCAAGGAAGTAAGTAAAGATGATTTAACCCATAGCTTAACATTGTGTTGACGCCTTTCACATCCCGAGATCATCTCACAGGATTTTACCGTGAAGTGCGGTGATTCTGTATTTTCGAGGTGAATGTCTAGAAAAAAAAATCTTTACAGGAATTTCAGCGATAGATTCAGTGCTTGGGAGCAGTGATGTTCTCTAGTTGGAGAGGGGTCTTCTGATGGTACCAGCCTGGTATTATCACTAGCAGTCCAAATGCAAAACTATATTACAGTAAACATGATAAGACGCCATATAAAATTCACGGATTTTTGCACATGGGAGTCCTGCAGCAATAGGTTAGAGCACTAAAAAGTGAGAGGACCCAGTTTTTGAAAAGCTGCCGCTTTTCACTCACAAAATACGCAGTCAATCCACTTTACAGTATATTCTGTGAAGCGCTTTGAGACATCTCAACGGCGTGATAAGGCGCTATAGCAAATGCAAATATTATTATTATAATAAACATGGTGTCCCTCTTTCTTCTTTTTCAGGGAGAAAAAGGCGACATCGGCTTAAAAGGAGACAGTAGGCTCAGGGGAGATAAGGTAAGAAGATCCTTTGCGGCTCATTTGTTTGTTATGCTGTTTAAGACAAAGAAGATTTTGAGACTAAATATAATTCTGGGCTGTGTTGATCCTCAGTGGATCCCATCAAATAACACTCTAACAATGTTGCTCAATTTTACAAACACCCCCGGCTCCACTGGCTCCCCATCCCTCAGAGAATAGAGTTCAAAATCCTCATCCTCGCCCACAAAGCACTCCATAGCCTTGCCCCTTCCTGCCTCAGTGACCTGCTAACCCGTATCAACCTGTCCGCGCTCTCCGCTCAGCAGGCTCTGGCCTGTTCCACGTTTCCCCGCCCGGCCCACCCCACCATCGGCGATCGGCAGCCTCTCTGCCCCCGCCCTTTGGAACTCCATCCCAGATTACCTTTGCCTCGCTCCATCCCTTGCCTCCTTTGAGGCACGTCTCAAAACCCTCCTCTTCGACCACACCTTCAGCCACCCTCCTACCCTCTCTGCCATCCACTCTCCCTTAACCGAATCCACCCCCCCCCCCCCCCCCCCCACCGTCGCCCCCACCCGTTCGGGTCTAAACTCCTGACTGTCCAGCTCCTTGGGACATCCTCCCAACGTGAAAGACATTATACAAATGTAATTTTGTATTGCATTATTCTAAGAGAGTGGAGTGTGCCAGATGAATGTTGGCATTTAGAATAATAATCCCTGCATTTGCATTTCATATAGCATCTTATCACGTCAACAAAATATCTCAAGTCCTTCGCTAGATTATACTGTAACATGTAGTAACTGTACATTTGGAGACAGACACGGCAGCCAATTTGGACACAGAAATGTCCCATAAGGAGCCATGAAACGAATGATCGATTTTATCTGGGAGATAATAATGCCATGGGATCTTTAACGTCCACCTGAACAGGCAGATGGGCCTGGGGTTAATGTCCCAGCCTCCCAACAATGCAGTGCATCCCCAGCTCCGTATTCAAGTGTTATTGTAGACTGTAGGTTCAAAGATCCAACACCGGATCTGAATACTTCTTGGGGGACCTTTTAGTAAAGTGAGAATCGTGAGTTTCATTTGAAATCAGAGGACTTGATGATATCACGAACGTCAGGAGATGAAGAAGGAGGAAATGGAGGGATTAAATCTTAATGAACTAACAACGGTTATTTTCTTACCCTCCAGGGATCACGAGGTCTCCCAGGGCAAAAAGGGCAACCAGGGGTCGATGCTAAAAAGGTAAATGTGCTGTTTTAATTGTCTATACGCCTATTAGCTTCTAAACTATTGTTTTAATTGTACATTTAACATTCAATAATTTACTTTAGAGTCACAGAATCTGCATCCAACACCAAATTGCACTTATGTAGCACTGTTCATTTGGACTGGGAAGGATGCCGATCCTAGGTTATGTAATAAGAGCTCATCACTGATAATAATAATAATCCTTGCATTTGATACAGCGTCTTATCATGTCTTTGAGACGTCTTAATGCGTTTCACAGAATATATTGCAAAGTGAATCGACTGTATATTTTATGGACGAAACAGGAATTGCACAAAGGGAATATAAATATATATATATATTGGTGAAGTTCTCTTCAATGTTTGGGAGAACCAACATAGTGGAAATTCAGCAGGATTGCCAGAGACTGAGGAGTAAAATTCGTTCTTGTAGATTAGAGAAAGTGCTTTATGATAAATCGGGAGGAGGAGGCTTTAAATTGAAGGTGATTTTGAGCAACTGCAGTCTGAATCATTGGTGTTTTTCTGTTCAATAAAAGTAAGCGTTTCCAAGACAAGGTCCAGTCACAGTAGATGACCCACAAAACTGAAGGAAATGTAGCCAAGTTTGGGAAAAGGGGAATACAATTGATCATTGATATGTGTGAAGGTCATCTGAAAAAGTTGGCTGTGCAAAGTATTCTAGTCTCAGTATCGTCAGGCTAGAGAGATAGGGGAAAAATTAACCAAGGATGTTCCTTCTGATCATGACCTAGTAAGTACCATTTTCTGGGTGGTGAATACACATAGCTGTTGATATAATTGAATTCAGCTGTGACACTCCACAAAATATAATAGCCAATTGGGGGAGTCAGCATCAATGAGAATCTCTAGACATGAACATGGAAATTTTCTATTTTGAAAACAAATCTTTAATCAAAGTAATCATTTTGCTTTTTGTAATGAGTAATAATACTCCTTGCATTTGATTCAGAGCCTTATCACGTCATTGAGACGTCTCAAAGCTCTTCACGGAATATACCGCAAAGCCATTTGACTGCATATTTTGTGGGCGAAACATGGCGGCCAATTGCGCACCAAATATCTCAAATAAAAAAATGAGTCGAATAAGAAAGGTTACAAAATGATTTTCTGGAAAGAGAAACCTTTCCCAATTACGCACCGCATGTGTCTGCTTAACTCTCTGACGGGCTTTAAACTCAAGCTTCAAGAAACCTAATAGAAAAAAATGTATATCTATAAAGAGATAGGAAAAAAAACGGATTTCAATTAAGATGGGTGCATTCATGCAAGACAGCGCATCACAATCAATACAATTACGTGCCAATATAAACCACTGAATTATTTCCTTGTTATTGTAAAGGGTGAGAAAGGTGAGCCTGGGATGCCAGGGAGGCCTGGATTAAGCGGTCTGGTGGGACTTAAGGTCAGTATCTCTCTAAATATTTTCCAGTTCATCAAGCTGCCAGTTCCACAAAAAATGCAATGCCCAAATGAGCACTTGATTGAAATTCAATCATTTGCCTTAATGTATTCCAAAAATGCCTGACACGATTGAGACAATTATTCCTATCAGAAGGCAGATCACCTTGAGTATATTATTAACTGTCTCATCTAATAATGACCAACTATTTGAGCATAAGAACATAAGAACATAAGAATTAGGAGCAGGAGGAGGCTATTCGGACCCTCGAGCCTGTGCCCCGCCATTTGATAAGATCATGGCTGATCTTCAGACCTAACTCTAATTACCTGTCCTATCCCCATATCCCCTATATGCAATGCCTGCAACAGATCCTAATTTAGCAATGACAATTCACAGAGAGAGTTTTGGATTCATAGATGAATAATAATAATCCTTGCATTTGATATAGCACCTCATCACGTCGTTGAGGCGTCTCAAAGAGCTTCACAGAATATATTGTAAAGTGGATTGACTGTATATTCTGTGGACAAAACGCAGCAGCCAATTGCACACAGCAGTGTCCCACAATAGTCGTGGACTGAGCGACCAAATTTTTTGGAGGGTTTATTACCCCTGGAAAGTGATCCGCTAACTGACAAACAACTGGGTTCCTACTTACTACTCGGTAAACAGGCGTGTGGAGTAAGGAAACTTGCCTAGGAGTTCGCCCCACCTGGGAATCAAACCTGACCCTCTCAAAAGAAAGTCTATTTGATCTCATTCTCTCCACAATGTGGAATGTACAGCACGGAAACAGGCCACTCAACCCCTTGGTTTAATGTCTCAATAAAAAGTCAGCATCTCCAACTATGTACTCCCAGTACTGTACTGCAGTGTCAGCCTGGACTATGTGAGTTCAAAGTCGTAACGTGGGGCTTGAACTCACAACCTTCTGACTCCCAAATTGCAGTTTCCGACTTTCCCTTTCTCCAGGCAGAGTCACAGCAAACTGAATTGCATTGAACACCAGCTCTTACAGTCTGAGAGATGGGATATTATCAAGAGGTTTACACTTATTCTAATCAGTGGTCAAGGTATTATTAATATTTAAATATTACATTTCTCTCAGAAATAGGAAATGTCATACATAAGGACATAAGAATTGCTAGACAAAAGAAGACCAAGGTCCATCCAGTTTGCCTTCCACCATCCTGGCAATCACGTGCACATTGTCCCAAACTATTTACTGTATCCCGAGATGTTATTTCCTAAAATAATCTAATTTGCTTTTGAAAGAATCAACACTTTCTGCTTCCACCGTCTCCCTAGGAAGCCTGGTCCATACGTTTACTCCTCGCTCACTGACAGTGTTTCCCCAAATTTGTTTTGAATTTACCCCCCTTCAATCGTAGGCTGTGACCTCTGGCTCTACTGTTCCGGACAAGATAAAATACAGATGATCACCCACATCAAAAGCAGATGAAACAGATTAGCTGTAACAATTGCTGACATTGAAAACTAACACATCAAAAGGATCGAATAAAGCCTAGAATAATTGATTGCATTTTAGATGGGACAGCAAATAGCTGCAAGGTCATGTCACTTACATTACACGAATGGGGTTTGGAACCACCAAATAGACCACTGAGGTCTCAAGTACAATTCCTGGTCTGTGCTGAATCAGTAGATTTGGGTTAGTCGAGAGTCAAGTTCAGATCCATATCCCCATGGAAAAAAGACAGAAAGACAGAAAGTCCTGTTAAACACCACCCCCCCCCCCCCCCCCCCCGTTACAAAGCTATGATATGAGATTACGGAGGAGCTGAAACAAACTGCTAGAGATTCATTTTATCTCCTCACTCCAACGTAGTCATTGCTGGAACTTATGGAAGTACAATACTTCTTTGCCAAACCACTCGGCTGGGAAGATTTTGAGGGAGGTATACTTTTGAACTCAGTGTACAAATATCTAAATGTTCGGTTAAATCAGCAATAATGCCAACGTCTTTATACAAATAGGGGGCGAGAGGACTTCCAGGGCTTGATGGATCTCGTGGAATGCCAGGAAAAAGAGGCAAAAAGGTGAGTCCTTCAGATATTCTGCTCATTCAAAGAGTAATATTAAGGACTTGGTTGATACATGTGGAGTGACTCAGGTTCCCAAGAAATACCCTTGCCCCAGCATGATGGTGGAGTCTGAGGGAATCCGAATCTTTCCAAAACACTGTTTTAATGCCGAATATTGTACTGTACAATATTTGCATTTCAGAACTGCAGCTGAGGAAACTCTCTGAATTCATTCAGTTTCCTCTACTGCTGAGGTCCAAATCTGCCTTGAGGAGAGCAATATAGGTCCATGCATTAGAAATAGGTCATTCACAACTGCCAAAAATGCACTTAGACCAGATAGCCACATTGTTAAGCATTGAAGTCAGTGGTAACTGTAAATTTGAAACAGACTTCATATATTTATATATAATCCTTGCGTTTGATCTGGCGTCTTATCACGCTGTTGAGATTTATCAAAGCGCTTCATAGAATATATTATAAAGTAATAATAATAATAATAATAAAAGTGAATGGACTGTGCATTTTGTGAGCGAAATACATTTATAAAAAGAAAGTGAACATTTACACTAAACTAACTGTGACAGTATGTGCGATGTGCTAAGTTTGGTTGGTAATATTGTATTGTAAAAGTTTTGTGCCTAGCTATTAAGAGTACACTGCGTTATGTCAAGAGAATGCAGTAAGAAAATAGAGTCAATCAGGTGAAATTTCCCCCACATAAGAGAGCGGTTGGTTGTTAGATCAAGGTGAGAAAAGTATGACAAATCAAATGAACAAACATTTCCATATCAATAATAAAATAACCTTACGTTAGTCATTTTTCATGTCAGGAGGACATCTTGAAGCCCTACACAAGATATTTTGTCAAATGGAATGACTGTTATTGTGTGGGAATATTGAGTCGAGAAGGTTAGAATAACTCTACCAGATTCAGGAAGGGTATTAATACTTGAATGCCTCTATTCTCAGTAACTGTTTGGCTCTGGTTTAGTAATATTTTTCTGGCCCTTTTGACGTGCAGTGTACTCAAGGTGTACCTGGGCTGGCAGGTTTCAAAGGAAAGGCCGGTTTACCTGGAAAACCTGGTTCATTTGGGATACAAGGGCCTCAAGGACACAAAGGAGAACCTGGCCCAAAGGTAGGACTGACATGACTTTATTTATAAAAATAGATAAAAGAGATTCTGCCTACGCTTTTCACAGATCTTTTCACGAAACTTCAGAAGGAATGGAAAATGGAGCCTCAGGAGCCTCTCTATCAAAATAGAGAGAGTTTGTGTGGGAGGATGGTTTGGAAACAATTGATGCATAAGAAGATTCTCAGAGCTCACTTACTGATATTTTTCTATCATGGAAATAGATTCCGTTCTTATACACAGTTTTCTCTTTTGGTCAGCTGGGTGTCTGACACGTGCGGAAACCCATCAACATATTTAAGAGTATCCAAACCAAGCTGAGGATTCCATGCGTCCCACCTCCACATGGAAATCCCAAGAGATATATTGTTGGAATGGAATGCATACTCTCTTTCTGGAGGAACACCTGCTTACCTAATTCCGGAGAGTATTAGGCGCAGCTTGGCAAGAGCCAAGGCTTGGGGAACCCAGCGTGTGTGTTGGGGGTAACTGCTGGAGTCTAACCAGCTAAAACCGCAATAGCTTGCCATTGATATTGCTGGCTGCACAAATTCACCGATAGAAATTTATTGAGTGCGTATAATTTGAACTGAAATGCAAAAGGGCTCTTAGCCAATGCTCGGCTACGTTTAAGATACTTAGACACTCTGATGAGATTTAACAATTCTATTAAGAAAAAAACTAGCAAAACGTGCACAGATGTTGAATTTTGTTTGACTTTATCGCATTGAAATGTATCAAATTTGCACTTTGCGAAATGAAAGGTAATTTGCTGAAATGTCATTGATTATTGTGGATATATGTCGTTTTTTTTAGGGGGAAACAGGAAAGAAGGGAAGGTCACGACCTGGTAAGAGAGGATCCCCAGGTCTCCCTGGAGCAAAAGGAAATCTGGTTAGTAAACTCCCTCCAGGTAAATAATAATAATAATCCTTGCATTTCATACAGGGCCTCATTGCGCCTTTGAGACGTCTCAAAGCGCTTCACAAAATATACTGCAAAGTGAATTTTTGTGGGCAAAACGCGGCAGCCACTTGGGAATAAATCATTGGGAATCTTCTTCATGTAATGCATCGCATTTCGCCTAATACTTTCCGGGATAAGGTTAGCAGGATGCGTCCCTCCAGGGAGAGAGAGAGAGAACGCATTCCATTCCAACAATCTGTCTCCTGAATTTCCATGTGTAGGTGGGATGAGTGGAATTCTCAGTTTAAGCACGGTGACGGGTTTCCGCTTGTGTCAAGACACCTGGCTGACCCCCTCCCACCCCCCAACCCCTCAAAAAAACAACTCTTGTGCATCAGTTGTGTTATTTTTTTTTTGGGTGTCGTGCAAATGTAGATACAGTGAATACTAGGAGAGAGAGAGAAAGTTTCACAGAGAGAGAGAGAGAAGGGTCGGTGCAACATGATGACAATATCACCCAGGAGAATGTAATGTGTTAAATTGCATTCGGAAAACATGTTATCATTGTCATTAGAGTAACTGTATTCTTGTAAGTTTGCTCCAATATTATTCTTAAAATAGTGCTTGTTGATTGCACTGTAATTTCCGAAATATAACTGGAAATTGGGGGATAATTGAGATCCTTGTATTGCGAATAGTGGAGTATTTTATGCTATGCAGTATATCATATTATTTGGGGCTTTAGCATCATGGATTGTTGGACTGAGACACGCAATCTAATCCTTCTCTAATGCCCGCTCCCCATTAGCTTTCATTTTCCTCTTTGTTGAAGACTTTGTTGAGTGTTTGGTTGCGAAGGAAACCAGGAATGGTTGTTGGACATGGACATAGGCAGACGATGCAACAGAACCTGTGCTTAGTTGGATCTGGAGAAGGGTGAAGGTGCTTTACGCTTGCTTGTCAGAAAGTCAGTTCTTATTCAGCTTGCAGTTGGTGCTAAAATCAGAATTATAATAATAATCATAATAATAATCCTTGCATTTGATATAGCAATTTATCAGTCACAGAATATACTGTAAAGTGGATTAACTGAGTATTTTGTATCAAGGGGATTGAGCAGACAAAGTATTGATTCTATCAATACAGTTTAAGGCAGTAAATCAATGAGTTTTGATGTCATTTATGAGCCACTTGTTTTTTTTAGCTTATTAGGTAGGATGCCAGTGGAGAATTTGGGCTGACTGTTTGCCCTCTGAGACGCCACCTTGTGTAAAGTAAATGCAAGTTGATGTTGTCGAATAACTTGTTTCACGGGAGGATGTCCCGAGGCGCTGGAGAGTCAAGGATTTGGACCCGAGCTGGGGGTTGGGATCAGGAAGGGTGGAGGTCAGGGAGGGTTGGGGGGGTAGGAAGGTGACCGAAGGCATGGTCGAAGAAGAGGGCCTTGAGATGGTTCAATCATTATTACGTAAACGTCAACAACTATTTAATGAAAATAAATCGGGAAAGGGTTAATCGGTGAAGTGCAGGCAACAAAAAAGTCGCAGGTATAGAAATCGCTGGAAATTACATGGAAAGTTTCCATCAAGTCAGAGCCACTTACTCATTGCCTGAGCTTGTGTGATCACACAGTCTAATGAACTGGACACAAAGCTTCTTACTCAGTCTGCTACCCCAAGTGAGTGCTTGTTATTTTATTTCCAAGTGAATAACTTGCACAGACAGCCTTGGTGTCTTTCGGTAAGCAATGATTCATCACCCAACATAGCGGAGAACAATTAATTAGTGTCCTTTGTGGCGTTTGATTATGACAACCAAATATTTTGTTGGAAATTGAATAAATAATCTCTTCTCTACATTTCTAAAAGGGAGACTATTCACTTGTCATAATGATGATAATAATAATAATGGTGATATTCCTTACGTTTGAGATAGCACCTTTCACGTCGAGAGAGTGTTTCAGTGCACTTCACAGGATTTGCTGCAAAGTGTTGCTGCACTAGCTGTGTATATTGTGTATTTTGTGGGCAAACACGGCAGCTAATTTGCACTCAGCCATGTCCCGCAAACAGCCATGAAACGAGTGACTGATTTTATCCCGGGCATTGTTTGCCAGGACACATGGAGAAACTCCCTTCTCTTTTCGAATAGCACCATAGGATCTTTATCGTCCACTCGAACAGGCAGACGGGACCTCGGTTTAACATTTCATCCGAAGGGCGCTACCTCCAACAACACAACGCACCCCTAGAACTGCATTGGAGTGTCAGCCTGGACTATATGAGCTCAAAGTCCTGATGTGGGTCTTGAACCTGCAAACCTGCTGACTCAGAGGCAAGATAGCTTCAGTAAGATTTACTTAGTAAGAGATTCCAGAGGCAGGGTGAAAGTAAGAACGATCCACTGGGGAATAAGGGGCCAATTGAGCCTGGAGAAGGTGGGAGTGAATGGCTCAAGCAGCCTAGTGCAATTTAATCCAAAGGATGAGACCTGATGATGCATTTGATATGGTGATTGCTTCCTCTTGAATCAACCTCGAGTGGCAATTTGGTTCAAGTCAATTCAAATGTAGCATTGACTGTGATATGTTCATATTGGCATCAATTTCCAGGGCATTTGTAAAATAAATATTGAGATACACAATTGCCGCTCAACTCCTGCTACATCATAAACACACTGCAATATTAGTGGAGTCGCATAGGGTTGCGATTAGAGCACTCGCCTCGCAAATGAGAGGACCTGGTTTTGATTCCTGGGCAGAGCAAAACCTTAAGCGAGTTACCTTATGCCACACAGCTCCGTTTACCTCGCAATAAGTAGGAACCTGGTTGTGAGTCGACTGGAGGATCATTTACTGGGGGTAATAATCCCTTCAAATAAAATTGGTCAATTAATCTATGATTAATTTGTGGGACTTGGTGTGCACAATTGGCTGGACAGTATATTCTGTGAAGCACTTTGAGACATCTCAACAACGTGATAAGGCGTTATATCAAATGCACAGATTAATATTATTATTAACATAGGTTCTAAGTGTGCTGATTACTGCAGTTTCGAATAACTATGGGGCATCACTACAAAATCAAGGGTGAGAATGAATGAATCCTGAGCTATTCTGCATTGTGAGTCACTTTCTTTCCTTGTTTTTCACAGGGAGAAGTTGGCCCCACTGGTCTGAAGGGTGAAAAGGGAGATCTTGGACTCTCAGTAAGTACCAAGTAAAGGCAGCACATATTTGAGGGTTAGAGCACTCTCTTTAATATCTGGTGCCTGGATTCAAATTTGACATATATTGATAATGTGAAAACCTCATCTCTCTCTCTGCTGGTTATAAGTGTCCTAAGGGCAGTTTCAGCCCAATTCCAATAACATAAAACTCTTCATAATTTAGCACTGAGTTAAAGAGGTCTGCCTCTCCGCGGGTTCCGACGATGGTTTGGTGTGAGGAATGAGAAATGAGGCAGCTGGGTTTTTAAAGGGTAGTGTTGCCATCGGGAACCTTTGCTCAGCATCTGACCCATTGCTACACTGACGTTAGTGTCGAGAGTAGAAGCAAGCTTATTTCTCAACAAAACTCGCATAAATCTAATCTGTATCAATCATATAATCGTCTAAGTTGTACATCTGGCCAAGAGTTTATATTCTACGCCGTTTGGACATAACTCATACTTTGCACAAGTCTTATTAAATGTATGGTCATAACTGATATGACTTACATGAGGTTTACTGTATTCCCAATTTAGTGTCAATGCATAGATATTATTTTGGGCTCTGGGAACTAGGACGATGCTGCCCTCCTACTTCACACAGATCCTGCACCCAAATTAGAGAGAGACAAATTAGTTCCGTGTTAAAGGTGTCACAATCCATAGGGACAACTCGCTTTCTTGTATAGACAAATTTTCATGTAAATGGTTGTTCTGCGATGCAGGAATTCTAAATACAATACAAAATTACCTTTGTACAGCGTCTCTCACATCGGGAGAATGTCCTAAGACAGAGATTTGGACCCGAACTAGGGGTTGGGATCAGAGAGGGTGGAGGGCAGAGAGAGTTGGGGTTGGAGGGTGGCTGAAGGTGTGGTCAAAGAGGAGAGTCTTGAGACGTGCCTTGAATAGCTGGTTCATAGCGAATCCAAAAAAATAGTTTTGTGAGAACAAAGATTGAAGAACGTGGTATACAATGCTCCAGAAGGCCCTGACTGTCCAGCACCTTGGGACGTCCTCCCGACATGAAAGGCGCTATACAAATATAATTTTGTACTGTATTGTTTATAGCTCAGAATTAATTATGGTGTATATGGTTTGTAAGCATGTACGAGTGGGTCCCCAGGCCTTGGCTCTTGCCAACCTGCGCCTAACACTTTCCAGAATTAGGTAAGCAGGATGCATCCCTCCGGGGAGAGAGAGAGTGCGCATTCCATTCCAACGACCTATCTCTATGGATTTCCATGTGTAGGTGGGATGCGTGGAATTCTCAGTTGGTTCTGGATACTCTTATGCATGGTGATGGGTTTCCGCATGGCTGACGAAAAAAAAAGCATGTGCGAGGACAGATTTCAGCTCATAAATGCCCCTCTGCCCAGTCAAACAGTTAAATAGCTTGTTGTCAGTGCTCAATGCCTGAATGAACGCACAATTGAACAAGAGTCATTTGGATGGGATGTTAACAGGATGCCAGGAAATGTGAAACCCACAACCCAGCATGACTCACTCACTGCCTTCGGGAAGTAAGGGGAGAAAACAAAACGCTAGATCGCTTAAGATGGATACTGTGCTTTACGGAGACAACCTGTACCACTTTCTCATCGTACAAACACAGTCTTCTTTCTGCGTAGGAAGAAGATGTGAAAGAAATTGTCAGAAAAGAAATGAGCGCTAAGTGTGGTAAGTCAATTAAAATTATTGTGTCAAAATGTTTTTTGTTTTTTTCTTGCTTGGAAAGCACACGTCAGCGATTCTCAAATGAGTTCAAAATGCGTCAACACACACCACAGGGTGACCAACTGTAATAATAATAAAAAAAATAATCCTTCCATTTGATACAGCACCTTATCACGTCTTCGAGACGTCTCAAAGCGCTTCACAGAACGTACTGTAAAGTGAATATATTTTGTGGGCGAAACGCAGCGGCCAATTGTATCTATGTCATTTATTAACGCGACAGATAAAAGCACTTTAAATTTAACTTTCATTTGATTCGTTCTTATTACTCATAGTGCCCACTTAGAAAGTAAATCCCAACTACAGTATTGTGCAGACCTGTAGCGTATTGGGTTAGAGCACACGCCTCGTAAGCGCGAGGAACCGGGTTCGATTCCCGGGCAGGGCGAAACCTTAGGCAAGTTTTGTTTCTCCACACTCCTCTGTTTACCTAGCAGTAAGTAGGAACCCGGTTGTTAGCAAATGCAGTATTTATATTGCAGGAATAAAGCAACTCCAACTATCCACATTAGCTTAATTGCTGTAATTATAGTGTTTGTTTCACTGCCACAGTGTTTGAGCTGAGAATTTACGAAACCGGTCAGCCCAGAACCATTGACATTTCTTCAGATTGGACAAGATTATTAGACGCACATTGAAGCTTCGATGAGCACAGCCTACAGCTCCTCAGCAGTTGATATTGCCCTTTTTATAACAACTGGGGCCGTACATGTTAAATGTGAACATGGCCCTTGAGAATGGGTCAAGCATTGAGTTCCTGCTTCGTGCTTAAACGAATCCTAACATTTACTTACAAGCAGGACCACTTTTCCCTCATTCCTGGTCGATCAAATAATATTTTTATTCAGCAACGCAGCACTAAACGACTCTGTGCTCAGAATGATACCAGTTAAATTTCTTGCCATATTAGGCTCATTAGAAACGACAGAATCTGAAATAGGTTGGACTTGAAAACTCAATTTGGTGTCACTCAAATAAAGCACGTCTCCGTTAACCCGTGCTGATCCAGTTTTGATGTGATTATTCCATTACATCTGCGATGTTTCCCTGTAACCCTCGCAGCATCAGCTACAATCATTTCCTTCTCAGAACAAACACTGGTTACTCTCCCCTTACTCTCCGACCACGACACCATTCTCCTGCAGCGTAGCGGTTGGAGTTCCGTAGCGTAGTGATTAGCGCGAGGCGAATGTACTCACCGATACGCTCCAGGACTCGGCTACAGTCGGTTTCCGTACACATAACGTTTATATCATCCTCCCGACGTGAAAGACCCTATACAAATGTAATTTTATTGTTGTTCTTATATTTAAGATGGCTAGCGTTAGCAATCAGTCCTACGGTCTCTTGCTGTACGTAAAAGTAAAATCTCCCTGCTTAATAAACTCTCTTGTGTGTTTTTTTCCCTTCTCCCCCCAACAGCTTGCGCAGGTGAGTGTGAATGCAGACTGGATCCACAGAACGGTGAGATACAATCTCGCTGCGTTTAAAACGGTGAATGGATTTTTTCACAGATACTTAAGACCATCCTAAAACCATCTGACTGCATGGGAAGATGTACATTGTTTGGACAGTGAGTCACAGTCCCTGTCTGTGTGCCTGGTCTTTGGGTGAGAACGGTATCAGATTACCCCTCCCACTCCTGTTATAGCAGAGGAATAGTTATCCAAACTTTAAATACTCACCAGTTGTGGAAAGTATTTGCCAAACCTTTGATTTGTTGATTTCAAAGAAAAGACACAGTGAATGATACAGTGGATCAAATAAGCAGCTGACGTCAATGGGATTAAACAATAGAGTCTCTTAGTCACTGACAATGAATTGTGCTTCGCAACCCTAACAGACACTTATGATCAATAATAACACTTGCAATGGATACAGTGACTTGTCCCGTCCCTGAGACATCTCAAAGCCCTTCACGGAATAGATTGTAAAGTGAATTGACTGTATTTTGAAGCTCAGCTGAAATTAGCAGAGTGAAGTTTACTCTGTCGCACAATTAATGGGGGTCTTATTAAGGTTTTGATGTCGTTCAGTTGTTTCGTGTGAGGAAAAAAAAAGGCCTCCGGGATATTTCTTACATGGCCATAAAAGGAAGATACTGCTTAACCTGTGGGATCTCAATTCCAAATTGTGAGATTGTGAGATTTTTAGCAGTATTCCCTGTTAGTGGTTAGAGCACTCGCTTTGCAAGCGAGAGACCCGAGTTCAATTCCAGGCAGAGGGCGAAACCTTGGGCAAGTTTCCTTACTCCACACAGAGCCTAATAATATTCCCTCCAAAAACCAAAAAGAATAATAAATTGGTCATTTTCAATCCACGACTGTTTGTGGGACATTGCTGTGCGCAATTGGCTGCCGCGTTCGCCCACAAATATGCAGTCAATTCACTTTACAGTGTGTTCTGTGAAACGCTTTGGGACGTCCTCCCGACGTGAAAAGCGCTATATCAAATGCAAGGATTATTATTATTATTATTAGCGGCTGTAGCAACAATGATACAAATCGTTCTGCAATGAACCACTTGAGTGTAATAAAATAACACTGCCCTCTCTCTACCTTTCTCTCTCTCTCTCTCTCTCTCTCTATATATATATACATATATCCCTCCATAAGCAGAACATTTCATGGATTTTTATACATAGATAATTGCAGTGCGCAATTGGCTGCCGCGTTTCGCCCACAAAATACACGGTCAATCCACTTCACAATACATTCCGTGAAGAGCTTTGGGACGTCTCGACGACGTGATAAATCGCTATATCAAATGCAAGGATTATTACTATAATAATAGTAATAACGTGACAATTGTGTAACTTAGAAGTCTTTTCATCACGCATTTAGGATGGGAGATGGTGGTGATCAGTGCGTGATGGATGCTTGGTGCCTCCAATCCCTCAAACAGCAAATTATGTCTTGATAATGGAAAGATTAGACATTTGAGTTCAAATCAAAGGAGCTGCTAATCACTCGCGTTCAAGTAAATAGAAACGTGGGTGGTGCAGAATATTGCGGGCAAAAAAAATAAATCAAAGTACACCAAACATCTGTTGCCCGCGCCTCAAACGTTCATGTTTTTTTACATTTTAAATTAANTTTTTTTTAACATTGCGGTAAAGTGAAGTCCTTTACGTTCCTTTATTTCCTGAAGGGAATGACTGAAGCTGGGGCTTGTTTCCATGGAAACTATTAGCCCTCTCTCAAAATCCTTTGGGACAACAACAAATTACAATTGTAATAGCACCCTTCACGTCGGAAAGACATCCCATGGCACTGAGACGTCTCTTACTCCTTTGCACCCTCCCTTCCTGCCTCCTAAACATCTACCTGCCCGGACCTTTGATTAACATCCTCAGATTTTTTTTTCCCCCCATCCCCTCGCTTTGTTCGATCAACCACAACATCTCAGTAAAGCATTTCGAGATGTTACCTTATGTGAAAGATGCCAAGTTATTGTTGTTTGCCTCGCTCCAGTTGCCTTTCTTCACGTTTCTGCTAATGCAAGTGTTAGAGGTTATTTTTAGAGCAGAAATAGTGCATCATGTTTCGCTGCGTTGATTGTCAGAGATTATGGAAATGTACAGCTGCGAGTGTGAAATGTTTCAAATAAACTGAGGCCAATAATTAGTGTCATCCGGAACAAAATTGCGGAAAGTAGTAAAAGTGAAATGAGTTACACGTATCTGCTTCATTTCCATTGTACGTTGTACTGTAATATTCACTTGCCCAGGATATTTATGGTGCAGGCTAAGAAACATGAACGCACAAAAATAAATACTTGAGCTGACTAGTTAAATGAGTGTGTCATCGAGGAATGAATGTGTTGAAAGGTTTGAGTCTTCTCTACGATTGCACTAATTGCTTAAGCCTCTAATGAAATAGTAATTATACTTCACGGAATTATCATTCAATCACAACAAAACACCTCAAATTACGAAACCTAAAATACAAATACGGTACTTGGTTTAAATTTACATAGCGGAATTGGACAGGGTGTCCACAAAGTCCCATTACCCTCAATACAGTACACTGACCAACAACTGAAACAAGTGGAAGAATGATAATAATTGCATTTAGAAGTACTTTATTGTATTCAGTACAAGTGTCTAACTGTGTCTAGGATAAGTGTGTGTGAGCGCCATCATTTTCATGGGAGATATTGATCTGTTGCCATGTTTGGTGCCACATTTCCTTAACGTAACGGATTGAGAAGGTGAAATGCTTCTCCGACAGCTTGTTTCAGCTGCTCTGTAGTCTCGTCTTGTCGTTTTGTAACAGGGGTTTTGTAAGAGGACTTTGTGTGCGCTGTACAGATTTCAGCTCAAGATGTGACGAGATGAACGAATCGAAACATCAGTGTTCCTTTGAGATGACACGTTTATTTTCTTATGATTAATTGTTATCTTTATTAAATTCAGAAAGGTAAGTATCGGGGCACTGAATATTTTTTCCCCTCGGTGTAAGAATTTAGTAACCTCACCCTGTGTTTGACCTCCAGAGCTCAAGACCCTCCTCTTCGACCGTGCCTTCGGTCACCTTCTTACTCCTACCCTCCCCGCACTCCACCTCCCGATCCCAACTACCAGCTCGGGTGCGGAGCCCTGACTGTCCAGCACCGTGGGACGTCCTCCTGACGTGAAAAGCACTGTGCACATGTAATCCCTCCGTCTTGCCCCCTCCCTCCCCACCTTCAAATCCCGCCTAAAGACCTTCCTTTTTGATCGTGCTTACGGTCACCTTCCCCCCTCCCTCTTCCCTTGGCTGATTGTCAGACCCCGCCACCGTGAAGCGCTCCAGGACGCTATTCCACGTGAAGGGCGCTATATAAATGCAAGTTGTTGCTGTAAATTGCTGCTGCTGTTGTTGATAGCAGTACAAATGTGGAGGGAATTGGGGATAAAAAAAATGTTTTACAATGAACCACTAGTTTTTCCCAATCTATTAATTAAAATTGTGTTTTCGTTAAATCAAGTGCCGTCACGAGGGACTGAGATACTTTTCTTATTTATCTCGCAGGAAGAGATTTCCACTTGGTAGTTAGAACAAGTGATTCTGATGAGGACTATTGGGAGAGTGATGGAGAAAGGAAGGAAGACATGTATGACGAAGAGGACTATGAAGAATACAGCGAAGAGCAACAGTTTGCGGAAGACATTAGCTTTGAAAACGGAACAGAATCCGAGCATTACTTACGCAACACCACAGGTAAATTGCAGGTCCTGTATTGTCACCCATCACCAAAGTCCTCGCCAGGCTCCACTGACTCCATGTGTTCCATTGGATTTATTTCCAGGTCCTTTCTCTCACTTACAAATCCTACCCGCTACCACCTCCTTACATCCTGTAGCTCAGTGGTTCAGCACTCGCTTCGCAAGCGAGAGACCAGGCAGGGAGATATGTTAGACAAGTGTCCTGACTCCACACCACTCTGTTGACCTAGCAGCAAATAGGAACTCGGATGTTAGTCAATTGGTAGATCGCTTTTCCGGAGGTGATAATCCCTTCAAAATAATATTAACAAAGTCGGTGACTTCAATCCACGACTGTTTGTGGGACGCTGCTGTGTGCAATTGGCTGTCGCGTTTCGCCCACAAAATAAACAGTCAATTCACTTTACGGTATATTCTGTGAAGCGCCTTAAGACGTCTCGAAGATGTGATAAGGCGTTATATGAAATGCAAGGATTATTAATATTATTATCATCTCCTATCCTACTCTTCTGCTCGCTCCCTCCACTCAGCTAAATCGGGCTTTGCATGCGTACCCCTCCCTCTCCTGACCACTCACAGTGCCTGAGCCAACTCTCCCAACTGCTGGAACTCCATCCACCTACCACTCCATCTCGCCTTCTCTCTATTTAAGAATCCTTTGCATTTGAATCACATTATTAACAAGAAGAACCACTGCCATTGATGTAATGTGGTTTTCACATTGTTGAGATGTCTCAAAGCGCTTCACGGGATAGTACTGTAGAGTGCAGTGACTGTATAGTTTATAGATGTAGGCGTACACAGCAGCGAATTTGCACAGATCAATGTCCCACAATACAGCCATGAAAGTGAGTGAGCAATTTTATTTGAGGCCAAAACAGAAGTCGCTGGGAACTCAGTTCTGGCGAAGGGCGGTGGACCTAAAATCAAAGAGTAACTGTTGTAATCGCAGGGGCAGTTCAATCAGCACCTAAACAAAAATGACAGGTTAACCTTTTGGGCGAGGCTGTTCATCGGGACTAAGAAGAGCATCTATATACGATGGAGAACGAGCCCAGGATCAGATCAAGGAAACAAAACCATTCAGAAGATGTTCAAAAAACGAACAAAGAAACACTGACTCAATCACAAAAGTTCAGCTTATTAATAGATTGCGAAATGTTGAAAAAGGTGCAAAGGGTAAAACAAAACAAAACAGAGTATGACGGAATAATTGTGAAACTCCAGTAAAACTCTGTTCAAATGAAATGCCTTATCCATAATGTAATCCGTCCCTTGTTTTCATATGTTGCAAATCCCCAGCAACTGAAATTTCTTTTTTTGTATTTCTGCACTAAAGCAGCATCGGTTTAGTGATGGGGCCTGGAAATGGATATATTACTGACAATGTGATTTTTCAATCTAAAATTGGTTTTGCACATGATCCAGCTCAGCGGAGCACTCAGATCAATATGCATTACCACCTCAGCAACAAGAAGGACTTCGAGACATCTTCCTGATGTAAAAGGCGCTATGTCAAATGCAAATGTAAGGATTATTATTATCCAAATAAGCACTGAATCACATTATGTCTAGAAATATTCAGATCATTAGTCACGAGGAAAATAACACTGAACCCTTCTGATGGTAGCAGTTATTTGCGGTTTGACTCAGAGTATTTACATTAAAATCTGCTGCTGTTAGTTGCTGTTTCTGAATTCTTTTATGTAAGAAGTTTCAGGCGCAAGCTCAAGTCTGCCGACTTTTTTTAAATAACCAAATGTGTATAGTCTCGCACATTTTGTTTGAAATCCATATAGGATACTGCGAAAATGTCGAAAATAACAATTATGTTTAATGGAAAAAAATTTGAAAGTGTCCAGTTCATTTCCTCACCATTGGCTTAAGGACGTAAGAATTTTGCGCGACCGAGAGAAGACCAGGGTCCATCCAGTCCACCTTCCACCATCCTGGCAGTCGCATGACATGTCGTGTCTTAAAACTATATACTGTATCCCGAGATATTATTTGCTAAAAGAAATCTATCTCATTTGCTTCAGAAAGAATCGACATTTTCGGCTTCCACCGTCTCCCTACCTCTGCTTCTAGTCCCCGGCTTCCTCGTGCTGGGGTGAGGTTCCACTGACGCTATAAGGAACTGGGCGTTATTCACACGTGAATGTTGTCAGGCAACTTGACTTTAAGTGGCATTACAACAACAACAACTTGGACTTAAGTAGCGCCCTCCAGTCAGGGTAGCGTCTCAGAGCGCTTTACAGATGTTCCCACACACGTGCAGTTATGGTTGACAAAGGCCTTTCGACCCGTTTGATCTCAAATAAGAATCAGTAATGCCAGGAAAAGAGTAAAATTACTCAAAATAATAGTCAGAAAGATAGAACAGGCGGAGGGAAAAATAGTATGCAAATGTTTTCTTTTTATACCTGTTTTTTTGGTGTTTATTTTTGCACTTCAGGTTTACTGTCATACTAATAGAGCTATTCCCGACACCGGAGTAGCTTTGCGAGTATAATATCAATGTCGTTCGCAAAGTCACAGTATGGAGCAGTGGTGAAAACGTGTGAAACCTAACGTGCCAAGGAGACAATGTGCCAAGGCGGGGGGGAGGAATTTCCCAGGATCTGCTAGAATCTTAGGGCTAATTAGAAAGTATCTGATTAGGGTTTAATTATTCTGCTACGCAGTGCTATTTCATGTACATCGGACATTCGCCCCCAAAATATACAGTCAATTAAATAATAGTAATAATCCTTGCATTTGATTTAGCGCCTTATCACGCTGTTGAGACGTCTCAAAGCGCTTCACAGAATATACTGTAAAGTGAACAGACTGTATATTTTGTGGGCGAAACGGCTGATGTACAGAGAATAGCACCACGTAGCAGAATAATTAAACATTATTCAGATACTTTCAAACAAGTCTGATGCCACATTTCACAAATCAGACCTCCAACTCCTTTATAAATTCGCTTTACAATATATTCTAATGAAGCGCTTTGAGATGTCTCAACAACGTGATAAGGCGCTATATCAGAGGCAAGGAATATTGTTATTATTATTAATGGTAACGAAACTTCAGTGTGAATATTGATTTTGTCACCAGCATTCGAAATTAACGTTTGAAATCAATTTATAGTTCTAAAAAAAAATAAACGTTTTCATCCAACGGAAAATATTTTCGGAGTTTAGAATTATTTAGGCTATAACTGCTTATGCTAATCATCACTTAACATTCAATAAAACTTGTGACTTTTCAAACCATGACTCACGAGGAGAAATGCATTCCTTTCAGAACGTAAGAACTCGATTCCTCTTGAAAACAGTGAACTTTGTCGTGACTCAGTGGGTCTCGGCAAGGCTAGCAGAAGGTGCTACAATTGGTGTCAGTATTCCTGTAAATAAATCTGTAAAGAGTTTCCACTCCTCATCGTTATCGAATGACGTCCCGCGGCGCTGGATAGTCAGGGATTTGGACCCGAGCTGGGGGTTGGGATCAGGAGGAGGTGGAGGCCAGGGAGGGTGACCGAAAGTGCGGTCGAAGAGGAGGGTCTTGAGACGGGCCTTGAAGGAGGCAAGAAGGGGAAGTTGGGGGTGGGGGGGCGAGGCAAAGGGACTGAGGGATGGAGTTCCAGAGAGTGGGAGCAGAGAGGCTGAAGGCCCAACCGCTTGGTGGTTTATCCAATGATCCGCTGGAATGTACGTGTGTGGTAAACCATGTTCCTTGAACTCTGGAATATAGTAGTACAGAGTGCGCTCCTTTCAACACTAAATATTCTCTTGTTTTGAAATAGGGGGCTGAAAACTGCATATAGTACTCCAGGTGTAGTCTCACCAAAGCCGTAGGATTTGGAATTAATTTTCTGACCTTATACGTTTTTGTTATTGTCATTGATCGAGAGATTCACTGTGCACATTGAAAGTAATTGGTTGCTGCATTTCACTCATGATATTGATACAGTCAATTGACTTTACAATATATTCTGTGAAGCACTTTGAGACGTCCCAACACGAGATATGATGAGTCGCTCCATCAAACGCGAGGATTGTTATTATTATTAAAATTGACTTAATTTGAATAAGTAGCTGAAAATAATTTTATTCCAAGCGACACACTGTCGGAGGTGCAACTCTCTCGGGCAGCTTTGTGGGGGCAGAGACCAAACTACACGTAAAATGTCAGGAGAGAATAGCATTAAAAGAAGCCCTCTTCATTTTTATACACAGACATCCTGGGCTCATCAATCCATCTCATGTTTCGTTCACCAACTCCAGTCGACAAAAAAAACTAATTTACTCAAATAAGCACAATCACTGAGAAATATTATTGAAGCTTTCAAATGTCCAATCTAAAATATGTACGTATCTTGATAATGAGCCACTAAAAGAACAAAGTAACTTATTGAACTTCATTCTAAAAACCACGGTTGAAACTCAGATTAAATATTTGATCGTAATGAGAAGGGTAGCAATTCTGAAATACGCAATAGTTCAGGCAGTGCCATGTCTGAAATAACACAACTAGATGTAAAACGTCAGGGAAGAAAGACATCAAGAAAACTATTTAGAAAGGTTTCATTTTGATAGACAGCGTTATCATCATGAGCTGATTCAATCCGTCTCACTGTTTCATTCACTGACTCTAAAAGGGGGGAGGTGAGGAGGATGAAAATCATGCATTCAAGTAGGCATAACCATAATAATCTTTGCATTTGATACAGCCCCTTATCACATCGCTGAGACGTCTCAAAACGCTTCACAGAATATTTTGCAAAGAGAATTGTCTGCGTATTTTGTGGGCGAAACGCGACAGCCCATTGCTCACAGCAGTGCCCCTCAAACAGTCGTGGATTCAGAGACCAATTTGAGATTCTGAGTGTGTTCAAGATTTTATTGTAAATAGTCCTAGATCTTGGGATAACCTCCTGCTTTTGACCAGGACTAAATACTTGTCTTATACAAAGAAAAGTAAAGCACAGCCCTGTTTACCTTCATTGTCTACCTGGAATTGTTCAGTACAATAATTGAAGTTATGAGCAATGTTGATGGTGGGCTCTATCACAATCTGTGCTGCCAGGTGTAAAATTGCAACACCTTTAATGGATGAAATACCATTATACATAAAAGTTAATTTGCTTCCTGCTGAGAATCAGCCAGTAAATTTCAGTTTGCGCATAGGGATTGAATGACTACATTTTGGGTGAAGAGTGGAGTCCTGTAGCTCAGTGGTTAGAGCACTCGCTTCGCAAGCGAGAGACCTGAGTTCAATTCCAGGCAGGTCAGGGCGAAACCTTGGGCAAGTTTCCTTACTCCACACAGAGCCTAATAATAATCCCTCCAAAACCAAAACAATAATAAATTGGTCATTTTCAATCTACGACTGTTTGTGGGACATTGCTGTGCGCAATTGGCTGCCGCGTTCGCCCACAAATATACAGTCAATTCACTTTACAGTGTGTTCTGTGAAGCGCTTTGGGTCGTCCTCCCGACGTGAAAAGCGCTATATCAAATGCAAGGATTATTATTATTACCCCTGGAAGGCAATCTGCCAATCCATTAACAACCAGATTCCTACTTACTGTTAGGTAAACAGAAGTGTGGAAACTTGGCTAAGGTTTTGCCCTGCCCGGGAATCGAACCCAGGTCCTCTCGCTTGCGAGGCGAGTGCTCTAACCACTGAGCTACAGGACTCAGATGTGTCTTGTGATTCTTGAAGTTGTGTTTAACTTTCACTCAAGTTCTGATTCTGACTTTGTAAAGAAGATCCTGTTATCGCTCTGCCTACGCTTTACTGAACTGGACTTCCATCAATGAAAAGTCTAGTTAAAAATTCTAATATTTTGATCAAAAGGACATATTACGTGCAAATCCTATTTTATTAAGCAATGCTTTTGATTGCTTGTATAATAGTGGTCTGATCAAACAACTGTATTTATAAGTCATACAGCTGAGGGGGGAAATAAAAAACAGTTATTACCTCTCAGATCAGAGGAACCAGCTTAGTATTCATTTTAGCCTGCTGCAAAGACTTTGATTTTATAAATACTACATCTACATAACTCTAAAGCGGAGTCCTGTAATGCAGAGGTTATTCCACTCTCCTCGCAATCAAGAGGACCTAGGTTCGATTCTCAGGCGAGGTGAAACCATGGGCAAGTTTCCTTACTCCTCACACCTCTGCTTGCCTAGCAGTAAGTAGAAACCAGTATGTTACTCGATTGGTGGATCGCTGTACCAGGGGGTAATAATCCCTTCTTTTAAAAGAAAAATTTGTACGCAATTGGCTGCCACTTTTCGTCCACAAAATATACAGTCAATCCACTGTACAGTATACCCCGTGAAGCGCTTTGAGACGTCTCAACGATAATGATAATAATCCTTGCATTTGATATCGCGCCTTGTCACGTCTTTGTAAAGATCCTTGGTGAAATAATAAAGGCAACTACAAAGTTGTGCAATAGTTTGTTGTACTTGAACAACTCGGTGAATTATAATAGTCCTTATATTTGATACAGCGCCTTTCATGTCTGGAGAACATCTCAAATGCTTCACAGGATAGATTGCAAAGCATAGTGTATATTTTGTTGACAAACATTTCCTACTCCTGCTTCCTGAGTAAGACACCTTACAATTTTGTGTCCTTTTTTTGGAAAATCTGTATTTTTTTTCCTAAAATGTTCTATTTGAGATTCAGAGAACCTTTTAATTGCTGTCATCAATTTGTGATATCTTGACAAGGGAGCAAACTGCCAGTCTCTCCCATTTCAGACCTGACAATCAACAGATTGAATTGCCGTGGAGAAAATACCAGTGGTTCGCCTATTGAACCTCAGTTACTTTTTTTTTCCACGTATAATTTATAATTATTTCTAATAATGGGTTGATCTGGAAGACCTTGGACTGAGAAGATTAACTCTCATCATTAGTCCATATTGTCAGCCTGCCTGAAATGTTGAGCCTTTGTGATCAAATACATCCACTTATCTAATTAATTTATCAGAAAGGGTAATTACTGTGAACTGCCCCTTTTTGCCATGTTCTATCACAGCAGTGTAAAATTGCTGCAGTTCCCTCAAGTATTTGAGTTAAACATCTCTTGACTTTGCTATATTACACATCTCTTAACATTTTGCTAAGCACCACGAGTAAAATATATCTCTAATGAGACGTTAAACCAATGCTAAAGATGGATAAAAGAACCTAGCTGTCATTTGATAATTCCTTATGTCTGAAAGTTAATTGAACAAGAAATTTGCTTGCATATCCAGAGCATGTCTAACTGTCTTAAAGGTCTTAAAGTTACACGACTACCTTTTGAGAACAGTAGGCATTCAATTAATGTCTTCCAAAGTATTAATTGCTACAGAAAAAGAAGTGTTGATTTGGAGAATCTAAAGCTTAAACTCATCAAACAAAACAGTTTGATCCTCCGAGATCATGATCAGTTTGCCCTTGTGATTACATTATTTTTCCCCACATTTTTCAAGCATTCTTGGATGCTTTCCAACACTCCCATCGTAAAAGTGTAGTAAGGAAATATGGCAAAAATGTCCTGATACTTGGTCAAATAGCTCTTTCAGCCACTACGCCCCCAAACTCTGGAACACACTTCCTCTATCCCTCAGCCTCGCCTCTTCAACAACAACAACTTGCACTTATATAGTGCCCTCCACGCAGGGTAGACTTTCACAGCGCTTAACAGTGGCGAAGCCTAACTGACTCCGAGGTGGGGGAGGGGGGGGATGGGGGGTTGGTGGTTGAAGAGGACGGTCTTGAAAAAGGGGAGAGAGGGGGCAAGGCGGAGGGATTGAGAGAGAGTGTTCCAGAGTTTCGGGGCGTAGTGGCTGAAAGCGCGATCTCCGACGGTGGGGCAGAGGGTGCGAGGGACGGGCAGGAGGCCGGTGCCAGTCGAGCGGAGGTGTCGGGTGGTGGATTGAGGAGTGAGGAGGAGGTCAGAGAGGGAGGGAGGTGCCAGGGAGTGAAGGGATTCGAACACGAGAGTGAGGATCTTGAAGTCGATCCTTCCGGCGATGGGGAGCCAGTGAAGCCATCCTTCCCCACCTTTAGGTCATGCCTCCCCACCCCAGTGTCACGCTCTGCCACCTTCGAGTGCTCTGGGACGCTACCCTGCGTGAGGTGAGGGGAAGCCATATAAATGCAAGTTGTTGTTGTCAAACAGTAAAGAAATACCCGAGGGCATAGTTTTCAGCATTCCTAAACACATTCTGTTCCTTATCTACCGTTGGTGTAAAGGTCAGGAATGGTATGAAATTTGCAGCTCAAATTTATCGTTAATTTTTGCTGCCATATTATCCTAATTGTGATGCTCTGACCAGTTCCCTCCCCGGCCCCAGACTCTCACATTAAACTGATTCACTGGCCCCTAGAATTTTTAAACAACCGATCAAACTTTTTTGGGCAAAGAGAGACTGCGATTAACGCGTTCGGTCTGCGGCACACGGTTAATTCACTTTGCAGTACACTCTGTGAAGCTCTTCGAGACGTCTCAACGTCGCGATAAGACGCTGTATCAAATGCAAGGATTATTAGTATGAATATTTTGCTATGTCGGAGAGAGAATGCTGCGAGGTAGTATACATTTAACGACTGGAATATTTCACCTGTTGTTTGGGCAGCTTAAAGGGAGCTTTATTCTGAACTGGCCTGTACTGTAAAACCTCGAGAAAGTTATCCATTTCTCACTACTGAACATCCCTGACTTTGATGAGCACAATTCCTGCCTGGTATAAATTATGCATTATTGTCCCCCTTTTTTAAGAAAAACGTGCTTGACATTTCTCACGGTGTAATTGAAACAAAACGGCAGAAATGTAATTTCTTTCAATGAATTGGGAGACCTTTCAAGGAAGCACCTGGAAGCAATTACATGCCCATTGGTGTTCACAGGTCAATTGTCCTGTGACATTTACCAAGTTTAAAGAATATACTTGTTATGTTATGAAACACAGTAAACGACACGACCAATATTTAAATAGAAGCTAATTCAATGCGTGTGTCTCTCGTTAACACCTAAAACATCTCTCCAACCAGTGTAATTGAGTAATGAAGCTTAATGGACAGATCCTTTTGGTTGAAGCACCTTGTGGAGAGATCATTAATAGGTAAAATTCATGTATTAATGTCCATTAAACTCAGTCACATTGCACGTATTCAATGCCTCAAACTAAGTGAACTTTGTTGTGATCAGTCGGATGTCTGTCACGTACGGAAACTCATCACTATGCTTAACGGTCTCCAAAACAAACTACTGGGGGTTCCATATATGTATTGTTTATGGATAGTATTTATCTTCAAAAAGGAATATAATCTATTTCTCTTTCTTTCTATATATATATTACATGATGCAGGTATTTAGTTGTATAGTTAAAATGGACAATGTGTCAATAAATTCTGAATATTAATCAAAAAACGGGCGGTTGAATTAACATGCTATGAATTAATTGTGCTCGTAACTAAAATAGAAGTGCCAATCTTTTCACTGTCTTCTCAGTGGGATTTCCACCATCACATCAGTAAAAGATCACTTATTATTTGGATGTATGTTACTTTAACAAAAATCTCAGTGTAGATTAATATTGGGTTTGTCTGCAAGATATTACACTCTGTAGTAAAATCCTGTGAAGCGCTTTGAGATGTCCTCCCGACGTGAAAGGTATTGTATCAACCGTAAGGATTATTTATTATCATTAATAACAGACCAGCTTGTTTTTAACAGGTTTCTTTAACTTTATGCTCCATACAGATCCCTGCAGCCAACCCATGGATGAAGGTTCCTGCTCACTTTATGTGTTGTTGTGGTATTACTATCCTGAGAGCAGTGAATGCAGACCATTTGTATACAGTGGGTGTGGAGGAAACAATAATCATTTTGCTTCCAAACAAGAATGTATGGACAGATGTGTGGAAAGAAAAGAAAAGGTAATAGTTTTTTTCCTACACTTGTAAATTGCCATACATTTAAACTAAAACCCTTATTATATGAAGTCCTGCAATGTTTTGGTTAAAGCACTCGTCTCGCGAGCGAGTAGACCTGCTTCGATTCCCAGGTGCGGTAAAACCTGAGGCAGGTTTCCTTACTTCACGCAGCTCTGTTTACCTAACAGTAAGTAGAAACCCAGTTCTTAGTCGATTCAGGGATTGCTTGTTTGTGGGACACTGCTATGTAATTGGCTGCCATGTTCCTCCCTCAAAATATACAGTCAATGTATTCTGTGAAGCGCTTTGAGACGTCTCGAAGACGTCAGTGTATATCAACTGCAATGATTATTATTAAGCAACGTAAGGAAAAGATGGCACAGGTCTATTGAACGGGCCCCAGAAAGAGAGAAACTGGCTTAAACTGAGGTCCTAAACCTACGTTTGAGAGATCAGGACCTGAGAAGTTCAGGAATTCAGTCACAGAGGTGGAGGTTACATTGCAGCACTGTGTACACACCGTTCCACTTTTGTAGTGCATAAGTTTGGATCAAGTACACATTCAGGATTCCGCAACCCCACTTTATTCCTCCTACAGCATCCGAAAGGGGTCACTAATTTAGGTGGAAGTATTCTCCTGATGCTTTGCAGAAAATATTAGATCATTGTTTCGTCCGCAAAATATTCAGGTGGATAAATAGATAAGAATGATGGACAGAACAGTAGGTATCAAGAAATTAAGACCGATGTATGCACAGTTGCGCGTAATGTAACTAACAGTAGCACATTTGTAAGAAAACTAGACGCTTGATGTAATTCTGTCCAATAGGCTGCCCACAAAATACACAGTCAATTCACTTTACAGTGTATTCTGTGAAGCGCTTTGAGACGTCTCAACAACATGATAAGGCGCTATACAAAATGCAAGGACTATTATTATCCTTGTATAGGTACCTTCCAGAAACTGCATAACTTTTGTCTAACTTTATTTGTTCTTTATCATAGGACTGACACCTGTTAAATGAATCACCATCTGCCTCTTTTACATACATATATATTATATATATATCCATCTTGAGCCTTATAAGAACTGCCTTACATTGAAGAAGATAAAACATTTGACAGCAGAATTTATGCGCTGGAGAGGAAATATATCATTAAAACTGACAGTGGATCCCTGGATGTGAATCACGAAAGCTGAAATAGTGACGATAATTATGTGAACTTCACGAAGGTTTTTTTAATATGTCGGGAATGTTTATGTTTGATTTCCTTCGTTATTATGGACAAAAGATCTTGCATAGTGTAGCTGTTATTTAGCCTTTAGACTACAGTGTACCTTCAGGGAAGTGCTAGATTGTGTAGCTGTAATACTGAAACCATGTTAAAAGCATGTGAAGGTCATTTTGAAATTGGCTGAAACAGTACAGCGAAACAAATAACTTTTCTTTTGCTCACTTTTAGCACAGAAAATCAAGCAGCCCGAGAGGAAATTAACATTAGAACCACAGCATTGCTATGAGAGAGTTCTTCCAATAATATTTCTAGTTTTCTACTCTAGTATGAGCCTGCTATAATATTTTTTATATCAAAATCTCTTTTATTACTCCCGCTGGTCTCACGACCCTCCTCTTCAACCGTGCTTTTGGTCCCACTCCTATCCTTCCTGCCCTCCGCCTCCTCCTGATCCCAACCCCCCGTTCGGGTCCAAATCTCTGACTGTCCAATGCCTTGAGACGTCTTCCCGACATGAAAGGTGCCATACAAATGGAAGTTGTTCTTGGTATCACGTGCTGCCTGTTTCAGTTCATCATTCTCCCATTTTCCCTGTGGGTATTGGAAGAGAATCTAACGCCACATTCCTTAATTTTTTTTCTCATTTAATTTTTTTTCAGTGTTTGCATAAGTCTCCAATTGATGCAATTTAATGAGGAGTCACTGTACGAAGTCACTGTGCCACTGCACACCTCATAGTTTTCAGATTCCGTCACATAGGATGCAAGGAATATTATTATAAATGTAAATGGAAGAATATTAAAGGGAATGGGTGACTATAGGGAAAGCAGGGTCAGACCAGGCAGAGAAGATCACAAGCATATAATTGATAAGTCTCAAGGCCAATTTCTGTGTTGTGGCATTCAATGAATGTCTTGTAATAATGACTTATACTTGTTCTCACCTGATATTTGCAGCTACGGTTGTGACAATAATAATACTTGATGTTTCCAGAAACTGGTGTTTTCTATGATAATTAACATAACTGTACATAAAAAGTCCTGTACTACTTTGTGTGTCTATTAAATATGATACAAAACCAAGCTTTATTTACTATATTAAATAGACTTTCTTTTTACATTTCTATTGTGTAAAACAATAAATATATAGTGATAAATATACACATGAGAATCCAATAGTCTTCTCAATAGACTCCCTTTATTATTATACTTGATACCATAGTATCACAATGATCTGTAAATTTATTCAGTCAACTTTTGAATAATCCAGAATATATTAGATTGGTATTGAATACTTTTCTAGTATCTTGCATTATATGTAATATACTTTATTTTCCATTTATTAGCGCATAATAATAATAACTCTTGCATTTGATATACGGCTTTTCACATCTTCTAGACATTCAAAGCCCTTCACAGAATATACCGTAGAGTGTATTGACTGTATATTTGTGGGCGAAACGCAGCAGCCAATTGCACGCAGCAGTGTCACACAGACAGTCGTGGATTGAAGTGGCCAATTATTAGATTTTTTTTTGCTTGAAGGATCATTATCAGGCGAGAGGAGTAAGGAAACTTGCCCAAGGTTTTGCCCTGCCGGTAATCAAACCCAGGTCTCTCGCTTGCGAGGCGGGTTGTCTGACCACTGAGCTACAGGACTATGTGCATACTTTAACTCGAGCCTTTGTTGCCTTGTCTTATTTCACAGTTCCCCTCCAATTTGGTGTCATCTGCATTACCTTACACAGGGTCTGTGAATCCAGGTCATTATCGAAGGAACAGGAGAGGTCCCAGTAAAGACACTTAAGGCACCCCACTTAATAAGTCCCCTCATTTTGACCTAGCTACCCTATCTCCTTGCTTCCCTTCAGCCAATTCTGAATCCATGTCCACATTATGCCCTTGATATCAAATAACCAGTTGGTGAAGGCAGCCCAAAGCCTTGAGCCAATCCTAAATGTTCATTTGTTTGGAAGCATGAATTTTGGATTTCCTCTTCCAGTCAACCTTGCAAAATCAATATGAAGTTAAAAATAAACTGGAGTCAGACTGAGCAACTCATAAGATCATCGAAACATAGTGCAAACGGTGGTACTGCGTACGTAATATGCAGATCATGTTTTATTTTACGGTAATAATCCCAAAAAGAAATAAAGAAATAATAATAATTTGGTCACTCAATCCACGATTGTTTGTGGGACGCTGCTGTACACAATTGGCTGCCGAGTTTCACCCACAAAATATACAATCAATTCTCTTTACAGTATATCCTGTGAAACGCTTTGAGACATCTCGCAGACATGATAAGGCGCTGTATGAAATGCAAGGATTATCATTATCATCCCCCCCCTCCCCCACCTCTGAGAATGGATGGTCATTCAGTCATGGTGGGTTTCATGACATGATTCAATATGATTGAATGTTTATGTGGTTTGAAACATTATGATATATCACACCATTTGAATTGCAAAACTATCGAGTTTCAGACCACTGCACGTTCCTGGAGTGAAGCACAACCTCAGGATACGTCGCCAACTTTGTTGCAGCTGTATTGACGCCCACTTCTGTTATGATCTCTTTAGCCTTATGTTTTAATGAAATGACAGTAAAACAACCCACGGCACATCATCCTTGATACAATTAAAAGAACGGAATACAGTCTTATTATTATAATTTTCCTTGTTAGAGCTCGAGTAGGAATTTATAGAGGAACAACTTGAAATGTTACGATGACTTTGTCTCCTGGTTGTGACTGATTTACTGAAAACCCACGAAAGGTTTCTGGTGAGAAATTTATTTATTCTTGACACTTGTTCTCCAGTAGAATATCCCGAAGCGATGGACAGTCCAGACAGTAGAGATGAATTTAAGAGGAAGCTAGATTTACACATAAAGGAATAGAAGGCTGTGTGAGAGAGTGAGGTAACGGGAGGAGACTCATGTGAAGTATAAACACGGATCAGAGTATTTGGGTCAAATGGCTTGTTTCTGCGCAGAACAATCGACTTTGAGACTATAGTGACCACATTTCCAGGGACAGTCCCTGAATAATAATAATAATAATAATAATAATAATCCTTGCATTTGATATAGCGCTTTTCACGTCGGGAGGACGTCCCAAAGCGCTTCACAGAACACACTGTAAAGTGAATTGACTGTATATTTGTGGGCGAACGCGGCAGCCAATTGCGCACAGCAATGTCCCACAAACAGTCGTAGATTGAAAATGACCCAATTTTTTTTTTATTATTGTTTTTTGGTTTTTTTGGAGGGATTATTATTATCTTGTTGATACTCGTCAACAAGGTGATGTCTCACCACTGTAATCATAGACAGACTGCAGACATGGTTGGGAAGAGAGACTGCAGACATGGATGCAGTGGGCATGGAGAGAAGGAATAACATGACCAAATCCAGTGGCAGCCGGTTTCATAGCCAAGACCAATAATTTATATTTTGAAATAGACTGAGAACAGGAGAACTGTCTGCAATTGTTGTAGGCCTAGAAGCTTTCTTGCTTAAAAGCAGATATTTGAAAAGGTTAATGATGTCCTTTGAGAACACAGACTTCAGATGAAGTGCACATATACATACCAAATGTTGCACACATCAGTTTTGAACCCTGCACCTGCTTGATTTGGATACAGTGACAGCTGACTTGAGCCCAGGTCCCATCACTGCATACAGGCTGGGGCGGGAATGAGGTATAGTGAGATAATAATCCCTCCAAAACCAAAAACAATAATAAATTGGTCATTTTCAATCTACGACTGTTTGTGGGACATTGCTGTGCGCAATTGGCTGCCGCGTTCGCCCACAAATATGCAGTCAATTCACTTTACAGTGTGTTCTGTGAAGCGCTTTGGGACGTCCTCCCGACGTGAAAAGCGCTATATCAAAATGCAAGGATTATTATTATTATTAGTGTCCCTGGGTCCAAATTTGCCCCGTCTTGAGTTCAGCAACAAACTGAGCAAGAACAATAAGATTCTAAAACACATTCGCTCATCATAGAAACACGGCCATTAATCCAACAAGCTTCTCCAGTCCTGCCAGCATCAGGAAATTGTGGTGAGTTCAAATTTTTTTTTGTGTATGTGTTCCCGAATTTGGTGTACAAATTACGGTCGCCGTATTTGAGACATCCAGACAACGCAATACGGCACTTTATCAAATGCAAGGCTCATTGTTATATAATACAATATGTTGGGCATTAAAAGTTGTTTGAAACCAAAATAACAGCTTGTCCCTCCATCCTTTGAAATTCCATCCCACTGTACCTTCGCCTCGCGCTCTCCCTTGCCTCCTTCAAGGCCCATCTCAAGACCTTTCCTTTCAACCGCGCCTTTGGTCACCCTCCTACCCCTAACCTCCCTGCCCTCCTCTCAATCCCTGACTGTCCAGTGCCTTAGGATGTCCTCCTGATGTGAAAAGCTCTATGCAAATGTAATTTGTTGTTATTGTTGTTGATTAGACAAGCTTCAGCCTTGAGAGAAAATGACTGAGAGAGGACCTTACAGAGGTGAGTAACATTTTAAATAGGATTGAAAAACTAAACCTAGAGCAATACTTTAGGATGCATCAGGAAAGCAGAACAAGAGGACATGGGTTTAGTGTTGGGAAGAGCAATTTTAGGACGTTTTGCCAAACCGATTGCCAGAGCAGTGTCCCAAAAACAGTCATGGATTGAGTGATCAAACTCTTTTTATTTTTTTGTTTGGAGGGATTATTACCCCTGGAAACCGATCCTTCATTCAACTAACAACCAGGTTCCTA